CCCCCCCCCCCCCCCCCAAAGAAAAAGAGAACTACCCCCACGTAAGAACTCGCGCCCTAACATTGATCCTCGTTCGCCCAACCAAAAGATGGTCCGAACCAGCGTCCTCAGCGACGCCGAGAAGCAGGGGCAAGCGCCAGGTCGTGCTACGCCCTCCAAGGTGATCGTACGCTTTCCTCGAGTTCTCACGCAGAAGCAAGCACGACTACATTCGACGCCTTCGAGGAGGAGGTCGTCAACAACCACTCGCGGCGGCAAGATCGTCGCCGTCGTCGTCCAGCTACACCGGCCCGGTTCGTTGTTCCATCACCACTCCCAAAACCTCAAAAAACGAAAACATCCGCGCGGACTGAGTGACGTGCTTCCCTGCCAGACTGACCAAGTGCGGCGTCATCAGCCCGCGGCCAGTGATGCCGGCATCTAATTTCAGGCGTCTGAATGTCATCGAAGGACTGCACGGTAAACATGGTTCGCCACAAATCCGAATAGCAGTTTCTAGCCGTTCGAGATGCCTAATAGTCATACTTCTTTCCACGTGTCAGTAGAAGCGTCGTTCACGGAGTAGTGCCGGTTGTTGAGGCCTATTCAGGTCGGCGATGCAGGTGTGACCCTTTTCAGCGCCTGGCCGCTTACTTTTTCCGGGGCTGCCTATCATCGTCATACAGATGCTGCTGTTATGCAGTGCGGAATGCTTGTTATGCGAGCAAAAAACAGCATTCAGATCAGTCTTCGACCAAGATGCTCGGTCACGGTTTGGAAAGCAAATACACAACAATGGTAAATTGAGTAGAAATCATAAAACTCCAAGTCTTTTCCTATGCCTAATTCGCCATTATATATATGCCCCTTTACTGCCCGAGTGCGAGGTTAAATTTCTCAAGCACTGCGACGTCACATCTAATCATGAAAACTACGTGAGGCTGTTGCCCATTTCCATCTCAACCCGGGCCAGCTACGTGCCCCATCCACACACACTCTCTCTCTCGTGTCTTTTCTTTCATAGCCATCAGCCAGGATGAAGTCCTGGCCATGGTCGTCTCCACCGTCGCCATCTTATGACGGCCTATTTAGTGCTACTCAAACGAAATCGTCAAGCCCATCAATATCTTACCATTACTTCAATCCTCAGATTGAACTCCTCAGTTGTGCCATCGACTTGACGCCGGCCTTCTCCAGGTCATCCTTTCCAGGAACGACTCTCCAGCACCAACCACACCAACCCCTTCGGATACCCTCGACCTCTCTCCGCAGAATCTTGTGCTGGCTTCTCTCATCGTCCCATTCGGGTACGCAGGCGCCCACGCTCACCATCCTCACGAGCTTGGTCTTGACCACACCCCCGATGCCTTCGATCTCGTGCCTCTCGTACCCCGGGCCGAGTTGCGGGCTTGGTGTCCGCTCATAGCGCACAGAATCAAGATGTACGTCATCCGTTGCCGTCCACAAATTTGCGCCGCTGACAGCTGCGTCCTCTGCGTCGCAGTCGGTCTCATTCTCGCGCTCCTTGGCGCCGATGCAGGTCTGCTCCCGACCGCAAATGACGCCGCGGTCGCCTTCACCGATACCCGTACCCAGGCCACCGAGGACTTCACCGTATTGTGCGCGCCATTTCCAGATGCTTGAAAGTTGTCAGTGGTGGAGTCGCGGAAGTGGCGATGGGTACTTACCGCCGGTAGTCCTGATCGGCGGCGCGCATGCTCCGCCCGCATGGCTGGCAGAGCCAGACACCATCAAGCTCGCATCTGCAGATCTCCCGTCGCACAGCGTCGTCGCAAAGCGACGTTTGGGGATCCAGGGCAGGGTTCACGAGTGAGGCGATAGGTGCTTTAACACAAGCCTGGCATAACCTGCGATGGCGTTCGCGAATCACCTCGCTGGATGGGGGCTTGATAGCACAGTTCTGTTTGCGGGTTAGCGATCAATCGTTCTGATGCAGACTTCTCGATTCCTCCCCGAGCCGATACCGCATATTCCTTGGGGCTCGATTTCTCGGCCGCTCCCCTTCAGGTGTGAAGGGTTGCCTCTCTCGAAGAGAAAGCCAAGGATATACGGCACAGCATAGGACGGCATACCCTGCACACAACGGTCCCGCACCTCCGGCAACCCATCACCAGGTCCCTGGCACAGCTACCGCTCTTGCCATTGTAGGCGCGACCGTCTTCCATGTAATAATGATTGCTCGCCCTCGCGCGGAAGCGAAATGTGGATTCCGGGTCGACGGGAGCGCCCTCGTTTGAGCAGTGTAGGGTCGATGTGAGGAGGATGTTGCGGTACTGCAGCAGGCCCTGGTGAACCAGGCGCGACGTGCGGGCCAGACTGTCGAGGGTATTGAGGTCAATGTGTTCAGCAATAGCCATGACGATGCTGTGAGAGGTCTCGTGTTAGCAGTAGTCGGTGTTCTGGGGTCGAGGGAGCTTACGGGTAGCAGCCCAGAGCTTGGGTCGCCGAGCTCTGGAAGGTCGGGGTCGGCTCCGGTGCAGCAGCAGGAGCCATAGGCATACCCGGGGCTGGGAATGGAAGAGGAGCAACGACGGCAGCCATGTTGGGCTTAAGGAACTGAGTTTGATACAGGCGGTTGTGTGCTTCGATGCGTTCCGTGATGGTGGCTGCTGCTGCTGCTAAGCGACGGGCCTCGAGGACATGAAGAGGTTCGTCGTCTTCTTCTAGATCGACGAAGACGACCATGCTGGGCAACTGCTGCACGAGGGACAGCTATATTTGACCGGCGGGTTGAGACGCACGAGCAATGCTCGAGCTGCGTTGCTGCCAATCTGGTCTCGGTTCCTGACACCCGAGCCGAGCTGAGAGCTGAGGTGATGGCGTGGGAATTGGAGGGGTGGGGTTGGCTTGGGTTGGAGATGGCCCCGATGCCGCAGCTAATGCTTGTTTCTCAACCGGGATTGATGACGCAAGGGAGATCTTTTAGAAGATCATGTGGAGATTTCAGTAAAGAGAAGAAGAAAATCAAACGCAGTAGATAAGATATAAACGACGGGCGGGAGAAACAATACTACAAAGTCTCGAACACAATGTTCGAGTCCATCGCAAGTCGACGGGAAAGAGTGCCGGAACGGTGATGGAAGGATGAGGTGAGGTTCGATGCTGAGGTGAGGAGGAGCTGTGTGGCAGGGGGTGTGGGGAAAGAGAGTTTGTGGAGAGGGGAGCCACGGCGCGCGCATGCAGACGGCACCGTGGGTGCACTGAAGCCACGCAAACGCGCCAACTCGGAAAGGCGCAGGCCAAATTTGGATCAGATTAGATCGGTGACCGCTGACCTGAGACCTGGCGGGAAAAGCACAGTTGTGCACTATTCTTGAGACCACCACAACTTCGAAGCTCAGGTCAGATACAGAGGAGCTAACTCGTAGCTTTCGTTCGAACGGTGGCCACGATTGCGAATTGCAGACGCGACACATCACAGTTGAGCCTTGAGATGCTCACCAGGCCCAACGGTGTGCGACCAACGCCGCAAAACATCTGCAAAGATACTCCAGCTCAGTCAAGCTCGAAACAGAAACAGAAACGTTGGGGATCGCGACATGCACCTTAGAAAGTCCGTCTTGTTAGCGCCAGCCAGCTCAGCGCCCTGTGACCTGTGCCCCGGTGAGCTTGGGTCACCAGGACGCAGGTGCATCGGCACCGGCATGAGCTTCCCCAACACCTGTGCGCAGACTAGAATTCTCACGAGAACACTGTGCTGAGTTCCATGGCGTGCTTTCTCTCTGCCCCTTGGCGGCGGGTCGTGACCCCCGAAAGCCGGAGACGGAACACCCCACCCCGAGCCTCTCGACCGCCGAGCCGTCTTCGGTCATCCTGAGACCTCCATTTCTTTTAGCTAATATTGCCGATATTCCGAGAGTTTATATATATTCACCGTGCATAACGCGGGGGTTCTTCAGTTTACCCATGACATGTTGAGTTTTTTTCTCTGGGGAATGACCCCTGATTTTCACTTCTAGAACTTCTTGCCCTGCTCAATTGCAAAAACTCGGGTCCGGCCCGGTGCTCGCACGGATCCGCTTCCCGAGGATCGGTGCCGGAGTGCTGCACCGGCCCGGTACGTGATCGTGTATAAATACGGCTTCGATGACCGACTTGCACTTACTGACCAAATCCTCTTGCCCTGCTCATCAAGAAAACAGAACCAACTAAGGTTTCTAAGCAGACAACTGCGGTGTTAAATGAAGGCACCTGCAAAGCTCATAACTACTGCATTTCCCTCATATAGCAATAAACAAGTGGCTAGAGAGGGAGCCAGCAAAATCCGATGGCCTTTCGGGAAAGAAACCAAGCTAGGGTAAACAGCGCGGGAAGGAGCATTCGTGTGATAGCAGAAAGTCCTTCTAACTTGCGCTGCAAATTACAGTATGACAGAAGAATACGTGGTGGAAGTGGGTAGCAAGGGAGACATTCCTTAAATAGGGATAGGGACTCGGCAAACCGGTGATCTCGGCAGCTGTGACTGAATTGCGTAGCAGATTCAACTTCGTTCTGGGTCTCATCCTCGAAACGGACCTCGAGCGAGGTGGCCAGCTCAACGTTCTCCAGGGCTGTCGTGAAGTTGGTATAAGGTAGTCCCACCGGCGTAAGACAATACGCAAGGTATACTCGCGGGGCGACAACGCCGGATAGAGTCGGTTCTATCGAGACTCTCATGTACTCCAAGAAAGCCTTCGGCTGGATACCAAATATCACCAAGATCTTTTCCCCAATTGAAGTTTCTGAAAGAGAACTTGGATTACCACTGGCTGGCTGTCTGCAACGTCTTCTAAGCTGTTTGGTTCTAAGCATTAAGTAGTCACAAGCGCACTGCTAAAATCAATTAAATGAATGTGACACAGTAGCCAGAATGAATCGTGACCTAAAATGGCAAAAAAAGCAAATGAGAAACTCCTCGACGGGGAATTGAACCCCGGTCCCCTGCGAATCGTGTTGCCATGACAAGCAGATATCCTCACCACTAGACTATCGGGGATGTTGCGTTGTGGCTCGATCGCCGTTGAGGCCTCATGGAGGACCCACAGGCTGCGGTGGGACCGGTCGTGGTGGAACAGGCTCGTGTAAGTGCTCGGTCGGCGACACGGGGAGGGACAGAGCGTTTGGCATGGCCTGGTGAGACGAACAGAAAAATCTGTGCCTCGCTTTTAGTTATGCGGTTCCCAAGTGCGTGGAACAAAGTCGATAATTGCGACCTGGCGAAGTTCGGTGGTGAGGTCTAAAATCATCATGGAGGTGGCGGGGTGCTGCTTTTACATGACTCGTGAGTGTGTGATGTTGTTGGGAAGCGCCTGCGACGGAGACCACTTGGGTGATACCGCTGGATCGATCGCTAAAGCAATTGAAATGACTTACTCACTGTTTCTTTAAAGACGTCAGATCTGCCCTTCGTATCGTATGACTGTTACTAAGCTGGAATTTCCTCTCCAGATGCCCGTTCCAGCTTGTGATATTTGCTGTAATGCCTTTTTGCTGGAGGTCAAGGCAAGGTCTCTCGCCTTCGCACATAGGTATTCATGAGGGATAAGTTAAGAACGACAGAAGTGAGGACCAGACAACTAGTTCAATCGAGCGCTACCAGAGTCGATCAGCATGAAAAAGATGGATTGAAACTTAGATGCTGGTTTATGTGACTTTCTTAGAGACCCACTCCGTCGCGGGAGGACCAGAACGTAGCCAAGTCCGCCTTGTTGCCTGCCGAACACGCCGAGGACCTCTTGGCCTTCCTTTGTCAATAGGAGCAGCGCGATACGGACTGTGGAATCCTTATGGTAAAGCAGGATTGATGAGTGGGAACTGGGTCTTCAGCCAGTCTATGAGATCGGTGACTGAGACCTTAAGTTTGGTGCCAACATAACGTTTTCAAAGACCCTTCAACACAACCGCCAACTCTAGTGCTTCGGCTAAAATATCACCTTTCTTAGACATGTTGGGTACGATCTCCGCTTGATTGTCTATCTGCGCGGAGGAGCCTGTCATCATTGTAGTCTCGCAAAACGACACCTAGCACTACTTCACATGTGCACACAAGCTCACTTTTCGAGGCAAGGCGATGCCCTCGATCTCACCACGGGGCAACGCGCATCCACCTCCCTTTAGATCGATTAGAGATCACCAGCCTTGCGCCACCCAGCAACACGGAAGATGGCCCACTCCTCCCAGAAGCTCTTGGACTTGTCAAGTACCTTCTCAGCAGGAGGCTGGGAGCTGGCACCTTGAGGACGGAGCACCTTGCGACCCTTCCCAGCGCTGATGGGCAGGATCTCCTGCTCAATCTTCGCAACGCCAGTTCCCCTCAGAACTCCGCCCAAAGAATCGACAGCCTCGGCCGCGACGCGAGTGACCCTTCGACCAGGCACAAGCAGAGAGGTCTCAAAGCCGGTACGCTTGGTCTCGCCCAGGAACTCCCTCGAGCCGTTCTCGTCGGTGAGCTCATAGAAGCGCCACACCTTCGTCTCGGTATCGCCGTTCCAGGACACATACACCGTCGTGCCGTCCTTGTTCTCGAGCGCCACGATCGCGGGCTCCTCGGTGGGTAGGCCGGTCCAGTTGAAACGGAAAGCGCGGTAGTTCTCCACCGCGACACCGAGATCGCCCGAGTCCATGTACGCGTGAAAAACGGGCGTGCCGTCGGCCTTGAACTCGGTCACGGCCCCGGAGGACCCCCAGTTGACCAGCGCGTTGCCGCCCGGCAGGATCTGCGTCGAACCCTGGCTCTTAGACAACAAGTCGTCGGGAGGATAGAAGCCCTGCACGAGCTCCGCCGCCCAGGTGCGGGTGTTGACGCGGATGATCTTGCCGCTGCTGGTCGGCGCGGTGTGGACCTCCTTGCCGCCGCCGTGCTCGGTGCCGTGGGCGCTGTTGTCGTACAGGCTCAGGACCTCCTCGTCGCCGTCCTGAGACAGCCAGCGCGCGTGGTGCTGGAAGCAGAAGTCGACGCCTTCGCCGAGGGTGAACGAGGAGTTGGTGCCCGCCAGACGCCAGATGATGGACCCGTCGGTGCCGTTGATCTTGTGCACGGAGCAGGCGTCGCGAGCGGAGATGAGGTAGTTGCCCGCGGCATCCTTGTCAACGCTGTTGATGTGGAAGTAGTCCCATGCGTCAGAGCTGTTGTAGCCCGAGCCGGCCTGGCCGGGGTTGATGGGCAGGATGGCCTCTATGTTGTGTAAGAAATGGATGCTTAAGTGAGGGCTATGCTGCTTACCTTCGGGAGTGACATGGTCAAGGCTGGACCACTCAAAGAGCAGCTTGCCAGTGGCGATGTCGAGCTCTGGCAACTTGTCAATCTCACATGCAGGGCACTGAAGGGAATAAGTGGTCTTACCTTGAATTATGGCGTTCACAATCCACTGCTGCTCGGGCTTCGCTCCCCAAGGCGTCAAGTCTCTGGGCACAGGCTGATAGATCTGGATCAAGCCCGTCTCCTCATTGACGACATGGAACTCATGCTTGTCAACAAGCTTATGGTTTCCAGCTCGCAGCTCTCTGATCGTCTCATAATGCTGGTTCAGGAACGTAATGTGCCCATGACCGTGCCCATACCCGGGGTTATGATCCCCCTCAAAGCTGAACAAGACATCCTGCCCGCGCCAGCGCGCCGCCTGGAAGTTGGTCGACCAGATGCTGTAGATGGCATACCCGGACCACACGAGCTCGCCGTCGTCGCGGAAGATGTACGGCCCTGCCTGGCGCGGACCGTGCTGCTCCGTCGGGGTGTCCGGTAGGCCCGCGAACGGGGCGACGAAGAGATAGCCCTGCTCGACGCCCGCGGTGGCCGGGATGGTGATGTTGAGGCGGGGCGGGGCGAGGTCGGGGCGCGTCCGGAACTGCCAGTCGGCGGACGCCAGGGGCATCAGGAGCGCCGAGGTGGCGATGAGCGTGGTCAGGTGCTGCTTCATTGCGAAGGTCGGATGAACCTAGGTGCGTCAGCTTTCCGTCGGGTTACCCATTGCGAAGAATAGGTACATTCACCTTGGTGAAGTACATGAACCCTAGATATCAAAGACTTTTGAGAGAAGGTATCCTCCACTGCTGATTTCCTGTGTCTGTTGTTTGCAATTTCTTGACCGTGAGACTGCGTTGAAGACCTGAAGCGAAAAAGGGTTTCTCGGTGATGACCCCGCCCTTTTCAACTCGACAGAGTTCCCCCTCACGATGGATCGGCGTATCTACATCACCATCCCTGCGTCTGTGTCCGAACATGTGGGAATAATTGCATCATGAAAGTTGGAAACGACGCGATCAACTTCGATATTGGATGTAACAGAGTCCGGTTTCGTCTCACCGGCTTGACTCATTTCCTTCCCATCCAGCATGTCATGTCCTACATCGGAGAGCCTCGAGCAGCTTGGCGACCGACACAAATAATACGCAGAGAACGTATTCAGGTAAGAGACAAGTATCAACAGCATTACGGACCAAAAATTAGCCAGGCCTTGGTGCTGCACGTTGAAAACTCTTTCATTGCGTGCTCAGCGTGACTTCTCCGACACTGCAACCTTTTGAATGCAGCTCGGGTCCTGCAAGAAGATCACCACCAGATATGCTATCCGGTATCAAGTTTGTCACTGCAGCTTCTCCAAGATGATGTCAAGAATACCCCTCCGGCAGTGGCCCCGGAAGCGCATGCCGTGCCCCCCGCTAGCGTGGGGGACCAAGATTCCTTCACCATATTCATTAGGAAACCGAAAGCCAACAGACGAACTATAAAGCTATTGCGTGCTCGAGATGCGTATGATGTGCTTCCATCTTCTCCATATAAACCAAGAATCCGGCCGTTGACGTCGGCTACCCGACCCGGCACCGAAACCCCCCGCCGAAATCAGGACCCTGCACGGACACTGTCCGGCGGCCCCACAGCGACCCAAAGGGCCCCCCCGCCGGTTCTCCATCGGCGGATGAAACTGGGCGAAGAAAATTCCCGCTTCGCGCACCGTCATTCCCGCCATACCCCGGTCTCTCAAACCCGTCAATGAGAACTTAAAGCGAGTCGGGGAGAGAGTCAGACCGTGTGACTGGCGAGGGCTGCGTTGTCGATTGCGTGATGGGCCTGCGAATTTTCTTCGTCTCTCGCACTACCACGACCTCTTGAGATCCTCCTCGTTCACTGCTGAACGCACATATTACCCACTTCCAAATCGGTCTCAAACGTCCACGCGGCAACTTATCCCAGTTCCTGCAGACCAGGACTTTGATCATCCGATACCACGTGGGAGAAACGTCGGCATTCCACTAGCGAGAGATGACGAGCTACCAGGCCGTCCGGCCCCGCTCCGACGAAGAAGCCCGAGCGCCGGCTACGCCCGCCTCGCCGCCGCCTCCGTACCCGGACACGGATGCGGACGCCTCAGCGGCACCCCGCGAAGATCAGCCCCTGCTTCGCGACCCGGGCGCCGCGGTCACGGACGGCGAGACATGGAAGCCCCCGCCCGGCTTCAGCTGGATCGAGCTGGCCATCATGTCCAACGTCTTCCTGTACGGCTTCGACGGGACCATCACGGCGGCGACCTACGCCGTCATCAGCTCCGAGTTCGACGCGGCCAACACCGCGTCGTGGCTCACGACCTCGTACCTCGTCACCAGCACCGCGTTCCAGCCGCTGTACGGCAGGTTTTCCGACATCTTCGGGCGGAGGGTGTGTTTCTTCGTCAGTAGCATCACGTTCGGGCTCGGGTGTCTCGGGTGCGGGTTGGCGGGGGATATTGTGTTGTTGAACTGCATGCGCGCGTTGACTGGTTTTGGCGGTGGAGGTCTGATGACGATGGGTGAGTTATAGCATGAGCCTCACAAAGAGGATAATGGCTGACTGGAACTAGCGACCATCGTCAACTCGGACATGATTCCTTTCCGCAAGCGCGGCATGTATCAGGCCCTCCAGAACGGCATGTTCGGCTTCGGCGCCGTGGCGGGTGCTTCGTTTGGTGGCTCGATCGCCGATCACATCGGTTGGCGCTGGTGCTTTCTTCTGCAGGTCCCCGTGTCGGTGTCGGCGCTCGTTCTCGGCGCAATGGTCATCAAGAACCCCGAAGGCGGCTTCGACATTGACACGACCGACTTCAAGGCCATCTGGACCCGCGTCGACGTCTCTGGTGCGCTGCTGCTCGTGGTGGCTATCTCGGTGCAGCTCGTCGGTCTGAGTCTAGGCGGCAACGAGCTTCCCTGGGGCAGCCCTATCGTTATCGGGACTTTGGTGGGCAGCGTGCTGCTTCTTGTGCTGTTTTTGGTCGTGGAAGCCCGGACGAGGGCGATTCCTGTTATTCCGCTGAGAATGTTGAGAGGGAGACTGCCGGTTTTGACGCAGATATCGAATGTTTGTGCTGGGTTGGCGGCGTACGCTGTGAGTGGATGGATACTGACAAAGTTGAGTTCTTTACTAATCGCTAACATCTGATGTAGTATCTCTTCATGCTGCCGCTCTTCTTCCAAGTCGTCTTGCTTGATTCCGCAACGAAGGCCGGTGCGAGACTGGCGATCCCTTCGCTGGCGACTCCCCTCGGAGGCCTGGTGGCCGGCATCGTCATGTCACGATGGGGCAAGCTCGTCTGGCTGGTTCGCACGGGGGCTTTCTTGATGCTCTTCGGCAATGCGCTTGTCACGGCTTTGCAGTTCCAGGACAGCAAGTGGAAGTATCTGGTCTACATCTTCCCGGCGAACCTCGGACAGGGAATTATCTACCCGGCTATTCTGTTCACCACCTTGGCTTCCTTTGACCATGCCGGTAAGATGAGCTCAGATCGTGTTCCTGTCTTATGCTAACCTTGAAACCCCCACAGATCACGCAGTGTCAGCCTCAACTGTCTACCTAGTTCGCTCGCTGGGCACCGTCTGGGGCGTCGCCATCACCTCGGCCATCGTCCAGACCACTCTGAGCGTCCGACTCCCCGACGCCCTCGGTGATATCCCCGACAAGTGGAGAGTATGTGTTACACCACCCCTCCTTTCTCGACTCTGCTATCGCTGGCTCTGGTGTGCAACTTACTAACAAAATTCTGCGTCGCAGCTCATCGACGAGATCCGTCACTCTGTAACGGCCCTCAAGACCCTCCCGGTGGAGGTGCGCCTCCCTGCTCGCATGGTCTACTACGAGGGCATTCGATACGCGTTCGCGGCGTCCACAGCTTTTGCTGCCATTGCTCTGATTGCGGCACTTTTCGCCAGCCCGCGCGGTCTCCGTAGCACTCACAAATAAGTAAAAGAGGATCAATGCCAGGGGCGAGTGGTCACGCCATTTTGAGATCCATAAAACGGATGGCCGTGATCGGTGCGAGGGGGGAGGGGTAGTCTAGACTCAGGTTATGGACGTACGATGATGAAGGACAAGGCTTTTACGTCGTCGATGGGGTGTGCATCTGAAGGCTAGACAGGGCCAAGATGTGACATTTGATAGATACATAGAATGGATAGAATAACTGGTGCGCTGGGAATGGATGGATAGACAAAATGAGAAACATTTCGGAGTAGATGCGGTTGAAGGTTGCAACATCCGCAAGCCCGCGCAAACGCGTGGTCGGTGACTTCCCGACTCTTAACGGCTGTTGTTCCTCAAGATCCCGAATCGTCGGGTTGAGAGTTACAACGTTCAATCCTTCCATGTCGAAAGTTTCCACCTTAAAACATGGCGTCTGCGTCTCACTCGATTGCGCAACTGCACATGCATATCACGGAATTGCTGAATCATCCAGAGCACATGCAGTGCTGCGCCGATGATGCAGGGGCCTGGCAGGTGCTGTTGGCTGCTTGAGCCTTGAGGGTACGACGTAGTGATGCAAGACGTCTGTGATAGATGTATATAGCCATTACTTGGAAGAAGATACGCGAGTCTCTGTATCGGAAGTGAAAGCATTTTTTAACTGCAAGCATTTGTGAGCGATAGGTCATCACGATTCAGAATGTCTTCGAAGGGTCTCGACAACAGTGGCTCTGAGACTGACGTGAACGTCATCGGCGACGAACTTCCTCCTTCAACCGGGGACGTCCTTGGGTCTGTTGAGCCTCATGTCTTCTCTAACCCCAGACGTGCCGCGCACTGGCAACAGGTCTACGATGATGCGACATATGAGGGCAGACACAGGTTTGATGCCTCGTTGACATGGTCAGCTGAAGAGGAGAAGAGGCTCAAGAAGAAGGTACTACTCCATCATGTTTCTCTCAGTTTCGGAATGATCAATCGTTTGCTAGCATACTAACCAGTCGTCCCTAGCTCGATTGGAGGATCATGGCTTGGGTTTGGATCATGTTTTCGAGCCTCGACTTAGTTCGCAGAAACATCAACCGGGCTGTCTCCGACAACATGGTGAGTTTACAACCCCTTCCCCTTCCATACGGTACAACAGACTAAGAAACTCGTGGATCAGCTCGATGATTTAAAAATGAATACAAAGTCAGTACAACCCTCCACTTCTACCAGATTCCCTGAGCCAACCGATCTCCAGCGACTACAATACCGGCCAGACGATCTACCTAGTTTGTTTCCTCGCCGCCGAGCTGCCTGGAGGCTTGATCAGCAAGAAGGTCGGGCCGTTCAGATATACACCCACCATCATTACGATATGGGGCACTCTCTGTGCTTTGCAGACAGTCATGAACAACCGCGCCAGTTTCTGGGCATTCCGAGCGGTGCTCGGATTCGTTCAAGGAGGGTATGTCAGATACCTTCAGTCAGTATGATCAGAATAACCACTTACCGATCAACTTTTCTTCCGACAGCTTCATCCCCGAGATGGTTCTGTATCTTTCCTATTTCTTCAAAAACAACGAGCTGCCGATCCGTTTGAGCGTTTTCTACACCGTCATACCCGTAACGCAGATCTATGGCGCACTTCTTGCGGCCGGCTTTCTCGCTATGAGAGGCATTCACGGATGGGCCGGATGGCAATGGCTGTGAGTCCCAAAGATTCCACGTCCCTACCACTCCATATCGCAGAAAATCGTCTCTGACCATCAATCCAGCTTCCTCCTCGAGGGTCTAATCTGCATCGTCATCGGCCTGGTCAGCTTCTTCGTCATGCCACCCTCCGTCACGGAGCCAGCCAGAGCTTTCCGGCGCCCAGACGGATCCAACAAGTGGTGGACCGAACGCGAGGAGAAGATCCTCGTCAACCGCATCCTGAGAGACGACCCCACCAAAGGCGACATGAACAACCGCACCGCCGTAACGCTACAGGGCCTCTGGGCCGCGCTCACCAACTTCGACCTCTGGCCCATCTTCCTAGTCGGTATCTTTGCCTGGATCCCCTTCCAGCCGACGGCCAACTACCTGTCCCTCATCCTGCGGGACATGGGCTATTCGGTCTTCGAGTCCAATATGTTGGCGATTCCGAGCTATGCCCTGTTCGCCGTCAACGTGCTCATCTTCGGTTGGCTGTCCGAGTACTTCAAAGAGCGATCTCTCATCTCCTCGTGCAGCAACATCTGGATGCTCCCGTTCTTCATTGCTCTGGTTGCACTTCCCGAGAGCGCGAGTCCTTGGGTTCGATACGCGCTTTTGACGGGAATCAATTCAATTCCGTACACGCACTCTATTCTTGTCGGGATGACGAGCCGTAACGCTCGCAGTGTGGGTACTCGCGCCGTGTCTACTGCCGTCTACAACATGACATACCAGGTGGGCAGCATAGCTGCGGTAAACATCTACCGAGACGAAGATAAACCATACTGTAAGAACGCCTTCGCAAACCTCACTCGTGATCAGTCTGGTAGCTAATTCATCTCTCACACAGACTACACTGCAAACAAAGCCTTGATCGGTCTTTGCGTCGCAAACATCCTGTTGTTCATCGGCATGAAGCTCTACTACATCTGGCGCAACCGCGTCTTGGAGAGGAAATATGCGGAGGCATCCGTGGCAGAAAAGCAGACCTCCATCGACATGCGCTTTGCTCATTAATCCGATGTAGTTGTCCTAATCGAGAGCGTCGTACGGTACATCCACAACGCCGACGACTACATAGTTGTCAAAGCCCTCTTGCATTTGCCCAGCGTTCGACAGCATAAGCTTCTCCGTTCCGTTGTTGTCAATCACCTCGATGCACCTTGAATGCGCCGCCCACTGTCCCACATCGACTTCAATCCACCCCGCGGGGTCCGCAGAATCCTCGTTTACGAACAACTGCTCTCGGCTGGCGCCGTCCATGATAATGATTCCCGAGCCGTCATTCTTCTTCTTGTTCGGTGTCCATATGACGTATGGGGACCCTCCGGTGGTATGTCCACCGTTGCTGGATACGATCTTCTCCCCTCGTCCCTGAATGGATGCAAATGTCAAAGGGGAGGACGAAACTTTGTAGTACCCCTCACAACCTTCGTTCGTCGCGCAGACCTCGTATGTGATGATAAACTGGTTTGTGGACTCAATGTGTGCCACAGTGGTCATCCCAGGTCTGTCCTCGTAGGCCGATGAGGCGACATCATCGACTGGCTCACTCCATGTCTTGAGGTCCTTAGTCGTGATATGCGCAAGCTTCTGCGCATGATTCTCGTCCCTCTGATCCGAGAAAAAACAGACGAATTCACCCTCGTACATGAGAAAGAATGGCTCCCACACGGCGTCGTTCCCGTTACCGGTCGTCTCCGGTCCGGCGCCGTAGACCATGTGGCTGACGAACTCCCAGTTCAAACCCCCGTCGGTGCTGGCGTAGAGGTCGAGATAGGCCTCGCTGAGATCAGCAGGAACGGACGCTCCCCCGATTAGGATTGTTCCATCAGGGTAACCGCCGAATTCCTCTTCCAAGAGATAGAAGTTGGGCTGGTATCGGAGACCCCAGCCGTTGACCTGGTCTGAGACGGAGGAGAACTCGGACCAAGTCGCGCCTCCATCGACTGACTTGTATATGGGGAAGTTGGCTTGAGGAGGCTCAGGGGGGTAGTTCTCCCACGATAGAAGGTGACTTCCGTCAGGGAGCTGGAGAGTTCGCGGATAGATTACTTTCCAGCTCGTGTAGTTCCTGTCTGGATAGAAGACGAGGTTGTTGGTGAAGTCGCTGAAAGGGGCAGGAGGGGCTCGTTGAATGATGGACTCCAACTGCGGCAGGGCAGCTACGGAACCCAAAAGGCATGCGAGAATCATAGAGGCCTTCATTTTCGCCGATAGATGATGTTCTAACCAGGGGTATTGAGGTGTGAAGACCAAGCAACACGTACGCTGCTGCCAATTCTCAGTCTCGGCGATTGCTGTCCTCACTTTATACAATTTCTGATGCGAAGTAACGGACACCGAATTGATGTAGTTAGAAATGACTCCTCTATCTTAACATCTTAGACCTGAGTATGTCCAAAGCTCATTCGCGCGGTTATCATTCAGAAAGCTACCCCGGGCTCGCCGTGAGATCCACTTCCCCAGTCAACCCACAGCGGGGGATCGTCGCCCCCGATGCAGCAGCGAGGGGCCGAATGCCGCCCTCGCTAGATGCCATTGGCCTCGGTCTCTAAGTGCACCGTTATCTCACTTCTATGTCCTCCATGAAAAGACTATCATGTGATATCGAGCTGTGAACACCCCAATAGGCCAACACAATCTCGTATTGCTGGCTCCACACCGGACCGAATCCGACAAGATCTTGCTCCGATGTCATTTCGTCTATGCTTAGTTGTCGCAGGGTTATTATTTGAGTATTCAACTCGTGAAACAATGCTCCTAGCATGGAAAAACGTTTCATCAGTCTTTGGTCGGGTGAGAGCTCTTGAATGGAGCGGTTCGTGTCGATGAAAACCCATGCTCAAGATGGAAACACGTTTCTTCAGTGTTCTCCGTTTCTGCCCTAGTCACTCTTATCAACATGGTGGAACTTTGAGCTATGAATATCTAGAAAATTAGCTGTCTTCTACATATTTCCTCCAAGGTTCGCAAAACCATGATAACCTCAACGGCCTCAACCAGAGAGTCCCGAGAACCCTGAGGGTTGCCGTGCAGTCTCTTCCATATATAGTCTCAAGATAACCGTGGTTTTTCTCTTCCTCCAGTGTCTTCGACCATCCATGTACCAACCCAACCATCTCTGAAGCACTGGCGCGATGTCTTCGACGAAATGGGACAGCCTTCCACTGGAAGTTCTGCAAGAAATCGCCTGTCTAGTATACGATTTCAAGGATTGCAGTCTCTCTTCTTTCAATTCGGTCAATAGAACCTGCTCGGCCGCTGCTTCTAAGTTCTTTTTCCGAGACATTACCATCACCTTCACAACATCGCATGAGGCGTACGGGTTACCAGAATATGACGTCGCACTTCACGAAACGGAGGCCAGGAAATGGCTTGAGATTTTGCGTCTTCGCGACGCATTCAAGTACGTACGCCGGCTGCACATCCAACAATACACAAAAGAAAATCCACATCAGCGAGAACTAGTGGAGACGCTGCTCGGAAGACACGAACACACCAGACTGAGTCGAGCAGTTATCCGCAGAGAGTTTGATCAAAGATATGTCTCAGGATATCGACATGTTTTCGGACGAGACTCAGGGGATGAAGATTTTGATATTTCTGCCACAGACGATGCAACCGAGCAAAGCGACGACCGCGACTGGAGGCAGACGTGCAAGCTCGTAGCCAGCTTGAACCGACTGACCGACTTGACCACGGATTTGGACTATGTCAGATTCCCGGCGGCGCTGCTCGAAACACTTCATCGAGATCAACCGCAGTGTCGCCTGAGCCTCCGGTGGCCTGTTGGGGCATGTTTGCCTACAAATCCTCGCCAACTGGCCATCGCAGCTTCCCCTTGTTTGCACAAGATCACATGGGCACGCACCAAGAGGTTCGGGGCCGCTTTTCCTCATCTCGATTTCAGTGCGGCGGTCGCAAATGGACTGCTTCGCGCGGTCACAGCGCCAAACATTAAACACATCGACTGGGATCGAGGGGATATCCGTAGCCTAGAGGATTTCGAAGCGGCGACACCTTTGAAATCAGGTCTATTAGAGTCCCTGACTTTGAAAGGGAGGCGTTTTGACCAAAGGTTCCTACAGATTTGGCAAAACACGACGGACTTCTCATTACTTCGGCATATTAAATTCGGAGGAGGGCTGACGAAGGACGCGTTATTGTTTGTTGCGTCTGAACCACACGGCAGCCCGTTGTTTCCGTGCCTAGAGAGCCTGGAAATCTTCACGCAATTCGACACGACCCCTCTTACCCCTCTTCTGATAGGCCGCGCCGACAAGAGACGGAATGAGATGAACGCCTTCACTAGATTCTTTACGGATCTGACGCCTCTCAAGTCCCTCAAGCTCACCGGCGAGATGAACCGTGGCATCCTTCTCAGTGCAGTCAAGCGACACGGATGTAAACTGCGAGAACTGATCATCATGCCTCAATTGAACATGTACAAAACCGATTCCGATACTGGTTACAACCCCTGCATCAGGTTGCACAAAGACGACATTCATCAAATCCACAAACTAACACCTTCATTACAAGCCCTCACTATCCCCATTCCACGCACCAAATCGGACGGCCCGGAGCTTGAGATGTACCAAGCACTCAGCCAATGCAAAGGAATTCGCAACCTCCGCATTCTTCTCGATTGCTCAATGCCGTGGGTGGTGAACCACCAGGACGAGTTTTGTCTGATCGATAAGCATGACAGTCAGCTATGGTGCTATCCGACCGAGGACGCGTTCTATCCAGCTGAGGACGCGTCCTTCGGCAGCTTCGAGAATGAGCTCTGCGACCCCGAAAACGTCTGGGGACCCGGATGCCCACGAAGAGGGCACATACGAGACAACCTTCTCAACGCAGCCGTCGACGAGAAGCTTGCATCTTCGATTTGGGATGTACTAAAGTCCGGCCCTCTTGGAAACACACTGAACCACCTTACGCTCTTAACAATAGGCATTGGTCATTTCGGGCCGGGCAAGCCTGTTGACGCTTGGGATGTCCCTTGGCCGAAATGCGAATTGGGTATCGAGGAATATTATCGGTACATGGGCAGTTGCTTTGAAATTGATGCATGCTGGACCGAGGGTCCTCAAGTTTCAAGGTCGATCCGTGAGATAGGAAGAGAGGGAAGGCTGGCGGCGACGAAAGAACTGGTTTTCCTGTTTAAATCACGGCTAAGTGCACGCGAATCTGACGACGATTCCATCGCAGATTCCTCGGACGCATTCCATCGTACATGGAGGCGTAATACTACATGTACCAGCAAAACATGGCTGGACGAGGTGGAAAGTATACCCCTGCAAGCTGATACGATCAGCAATATCAGTCTGTGGCTGCGGGAGACCAAACTTGGATATCTGCGTTATGATGATCCATTCTATTGAGCGAATGAATCGAGACAACAGCTTGAACTGTACGTTAGAATCTGTTACCTGTACGTCTGCGCTTGAAGTCCACATCCTATCACTTGTGACAACTAGCTGTTGACCCAGTAAGCGGAAAAGACCTTGTTGGCCTATGCAGATAGCATCCTTTTGTTTTGAATTCCAGCACATTCTCACCTATGTTAGTACCGTCGGCATCACGACAGCTTAGGTAGCTCCGTGATCAAATGGAGATACCCGGGGGGAAGAAGCCGGTCCCGGCCCGGCCCGGTGTAAGCCGCGACCCACCTGTACTTCATCGGGCCGGTAGCGGCCACCCGGTCGGAGCGGGGACCACGCCCTTCCATTGACGCATCTTCGACATTCTTCCATCACCACTTGGATACCCTCGGGAGACGTCAGCGGTCGGCATCGTCAGTAATCAGATCGGATCAGGGAAACAGTACTCACGCTGAACATTTAAGGAAGCCAAAGTCGCTTCAAATCATCGATAATATCATAATCAACCCCGCACTCTACGAAGAGGACTTGAAGCCGAGTCCCATACTTGACATCATTTCCCAAACACAAACTCTCATCACCAACACTTTGGAATAAGCAAGAGACATGGCAAACCTGAAGGATTTCCGCGTTCTGACCTTCGACGTCTACGGCACCCTGATCGACTGGGAAGGCGGGATGCTCGCAGCCCTGCAACCCCTCTTGGACTCGAACAACCGCACAGACTTCACCCGCAAGCACCTCCTGGATGTGTACCACGAGCTCGAGGCCGCGCAGCAAAAGAAGACCCCGGACATGCCCTACTACCAACTCGTCGCCACCATACACCCCCAAATCGCCTCAAAGCTCGGCCTCGCCGCGCCGACGGCTGAGGCCTCCAAGGCCTTTGGCGACTCCGTCGGCCGCTGGCCCGCTTTCCCGGATAGTGTGGAAGCGCTGCGCCGGCTCTCAAAGTTCTATAAGCTCGTCGTTTTGTCCAATGTCGATCGCGAGTCCTTTTCCCGCAGCAACGCGGGGCCTCTGGACGGGGTTCCGTTTGATCTGGTGATTACGGCGCAGGACGTGGGCTCGTATAAGCCTGATCAGCGCAACTTTACCTACATGATTCAGAAGGTTAAGGAGATTTTCGGGGTTGAGAAGGACGGGATTTTGCAGACGGCTCAGAGCCAGTTCCATGACCATCACCCGGCGAAGGAAGCCGGCATTAAGTCGTCGTGGATCGTGCGGCCTGGTGCGGTGATGGGTAACAGGGACGTTGAGATTTACGACTGGAAGTTTGACACGCTAGGACAGATGGCGGATGCACTGGAGAAAGAACTGGCGTGATAACAAATGCCCGTAGTTTCTAGTCGACGTCATATAGTTGGCTTATACGAATTTATCAACAGACAGCAAGGGCCGTTTTGTGGAAACATGAAATCGTTTTCGCAACTTCTTGCCAGTTAAGGTATTTTCATGTCAGACTAGGAATCTCCGGTGACATTTCAGCGACCTCCTTGTTCAATTGAAAGTGAAGTTAAGCCGATGCTGACCACCTAACAAAGTCGGGACCTCCGTGCCGAACCCGATTTCAAGGCCCGGCCCGGCCGAGATCGGGACTGCCAAGCCATATGCTCCACTAACATCGAAGCGTGGGGAACGTGGGGGAAATGCCAGTCGGCGGTACTGAGCACAAAGCATCTACACCGAATGGTTTGACTGGACACTGTTGGCCAAAACGTCTTTTCACTTCATAATAGACTCCCCTTACTTGATTCTAAATTCGTCTGTCATTCTGAGCCTTAAGCGCAGAACCGAGAATGGCTTCAGACCTCTTGAGTGGTTTCCCAGCGCAAGCTCCGGCCAAGCCATCAACCAGGCTTCGCTTCGCAGATGTGAGCTTCCACTCTCCGCCACGACTAATACCAGACGCCTTACCCCGTCAGCCATGCTTACTTTTCATATCATAGGTCGCGGTGACAGCAACGGCAAAGGACTTCGCAGGCTTCTACAGAGGCAAGCAATATCACCAACCAGACTTCGATGCCGTTCTCGACCGCGCACTCGCCGCGGGAGTGGAGAAGGTCATGCTGACCGGGATGTCCCTCAGCGACGCCGAGTTCAACCTCTCAATAGCAAAGTCGCGCCCTCAAGGCTCGTGCTTCGTCACTATCGGCATCCACCCATACCACGCTGCTGAGCCGAATGCGGAGACCGATGGCGGTGAGGACGGACACTTCGCCAAGCTCGCGCAGCTCGTCCGCGAAGCACGACTTCCTTCAGACGGCGGGAAGACGTTGCTAGCAGCGTTCGGCGAACTCGGACTGGACTACGACCGTCTGAACCATGCCTCGAAGGGAGCGCAGATCCGCACCTTCAAGCGCCAACTCGATCTCTTCGTCGCTGAGAAGCTGAATCTGCCGCTCTTCTTGCACTGCCGAGCTGCGTTTGACGACTTTACGGAGATCATCAGGCCGTATCTTCCCGACATCCCTCGTCGGGGTCTCGTGCACTCTTTCGTGGGGAGCGCAGCGCAGATGAAGGAGCTAGTTGAGATGGGCTTCGACGTCAGCGTTAACGGGTTCAGCTTCATGGACAGGGAGAGCCTGGAGATGGTCCGCGAGATTCCGCTTGAGAAGTTGCAGATCGAGACCGACGCGCCGTGGGGCGAGATACCTGCGGGATCGGATGTGGCCAAGCGGTATCTCGTCAACGCGCCGGCTTTGCCGCAGAGCAAGAAGAAGGATAAGTTCGAGCTGGGGCTTATGGTCAAGGGCCGGAATGAGAGTTGCACGATGGAGAGGGTCGCGTTTGTTGTTGCGGGGCTGAAGGGGATCACGGTGGAGGAGGTGGCCGAGGCTGCTTGGAGAAACAGCATTAAGATGTTTACGCTTGGAGAGAGGGAGTGACTTAAGCAGTTGGAGTCTTGGTTCATGTGAGGTTTAATGCATTTGTTTGTTCGAAGTTGTCGCTATGGAGTACCTGGGTTGAGATGAAGTAGATACCAATGCATACCCTGGCTCCATCAAAGTGTCTTCTCAATCAACTTGATGCCCTCATCTTCAAGATTCTTACGAATTGGGTCGCAAATGGCCGCCTTGTAAGGGGCCAATACCCCGGGGACGTTGAGAGCAGGCTCGCCATCAAGGAGAAGTTGAGTTGCGATGCCGCAAGTCACGCCCACCGACTTGGCCATGCCGGAGTACCCATTAGGATCTCCAAGAAGCTCGAGTGTGGAAGTGATTGTTTCCTACATGGTATTAGTCGTCTCTTGAAAACACTGGCGACACCTAGAAGGTTCGAGAATAGAGCTTACCTTTCTACCATCCTTCCACTCAACGACGAACTTGTGCTGGAGCATTACCAAGTCCCTCTCGCCGGGCTGGAAGCTCATGAGCTTCTCAAGCTCGGCGCAGAGAGTGTCGAGCAAGTTGCCGCGGAGGGTAGCAGGCTTGTCAGAGAATAACCCGATCCATCTCAAGCCAGAGATAATTCTATCGCTCTCGCTTTCGTCCGAGAACTCACACAACTCGTTGATCCTCGCAATCAGAGTTCTTCAAATAGTCAGCATGTTCTCCGGCCTACGCACAAATGCAAAAACCACTTACGCCTCGTCGTTCCTTTCGGCGTCAATACACCGGAGGAGCACCTCTCTGAGCGTCAGACCCTCGCTCGAGCCATCCAACCATGTCTTGGGCTGCGTATCCAACCAGCCCATATTGATCAGCGCCCGCACGAAAGCAGGATTACCGTCATATCTCAGCGACCCGCGAACAACCGTCTCTGCCTCGGGGATGTTGTAAAACTCTCGGAAGGGAACGGAGTTGCGGTTCGGGTACGCCACGAAAGAGTACCCATCCACAACGTGATACGGCTTCGCCTGCGCCATGAGGTTCTCGTTCGGGATGTCAACTACCTTTCCATTTTGCAGGAAAGAGGCCGAATTGAATTGTGAGAGCAGGGCGCCGCGTGGGGACCAGGAGAACTTGAACTTCAGAGGGTTATCCGCGCACTCAGGGGCGGGAAGACCGCCGCAGTAGGAGTAGAACTCCTTGATCTGTGACACATCATTGGCCGAGGAACATAGTTGGTGGAGAAAGATCTGTCTACCTGTCCTCCCTTCGCGTGGACTTCATCGATCGTCTTGATAGCGTAGAGATGGTCCACGCCGGGATCGACGCCGACTTCGTTCAAGACCGTGATACCAGCGGCCTTGATCTCGTCCTCCAGGTCTCGAATAGCGGGCGAGACGTAGCTGGTGGTCACGACGTTGGTCTTTCCGCGGATACCTGCCTTGATGACAGTCGGGTGGTGGACGAAGGGTACGAGGGAGAGGACGACGTCGTGTGCTGCTACGTTGGCGTCTAGGTCGGGAGAAGACACATCGAGGGAGATGGCCTTGGCTCTTGGATGACCTGCGGCTAGGCTCTCAGCTGTAGCCAGGGTTCGGCAAGCTGTTCAGAAACTGCATTAGTCTTGGTAACGGCACTATCATAAAGAGAAAAACACGGAACCGATTGTGAGCTTGTTCTTCTCGTCGCGCAAGAGATAGTCAATGCAAGGCTTGGCGACAAGGCCGCTTCCAAGGACGAGGATCTTCTTCTTAGGCATGTCGGAGGTCTTCAGATATGAGATGGTGATCAAGGTCAATTGGTTTTGTGTTCTAGCTCAATTCTAGATGTTGTGAGAAGCAAAGAGTACCATCCATCAAATTCAACACCGAAACAATAGTTTAGTCATCGAGAAAGAACCGCTATGGCAAGCCCAGTCTCTCAGTTGCGTCGTGGTTTTCACACTGTTCTCTGAAACGCCGTGAGTCATCCGGCGAGAGGATGCCTATGGCGTGCTACCTTGATAGAGCATTTCACAGAAATATCGACGAGAACCACTTTTATAATAGGCGTCCATGGAGATAGCTAGTCCATGCGAATACTGCCAATGCCCGCGTAGGACGGGAGGAACGCAGTGGTTTCGGGGCGAAATCGGCGTTGAAAAGGCAGCGCAGATATACTCGAAAGGTTCGACGTTCTCGCTCGCCACTGAATCTCACTCCACCTCCTAGTATTAGCTTTCATCCTCAAATTGCTCCCCCAAAGAGTTTTATAATCAAAGCGGCACTCTCTAACTACGAGATAGTCATGTATATCTTCTACTGCTGATTACAGCGGGTTGCTGAGCCGAAAATAAATACTGTCATCACAAACATGTCGCTAACTACATCATGCACTGTAAAGAGAACATTTTGAGGTTTTACTGACTGCCGAGACTTTATTCTCTAAAATATTTATCTCCCGATACCCTCATTAAACCTCCATGGGGGTTCAAAGAGTAGTGTCGTTTCTAGAGACGTGCCTAAGTACCCATGGTACTACAAAAATCGAAAACCAGCCCCAGGGAATATTCCAAGTGCACACGGGGCACTCTACTGGAGGGAAACAGAGTCGCCCCAGAAGCGAGGCTTGGGGTCCTCGTAGGCCTCCCATTCATCGCGAAACTCGTCTATGACCCTCCTTTTAACCTCGTTGAACTTCTCTTGGATCTCATCGCGCTCTTCGGCATCATTCGCCTGGCGCATGTCCTCCTTCTCCGCGATGAGGATTGATTCAAATCTGTTGATTTGACGCTTCTTGATCTTCTTGAACTCTTTCTCGATGTGTCGGGTACTCGTGGAGCTCGTGGATGGATAGCCCGTGGAGCTCGTGGAGCCTGAGGCGTCCTCGGAGCGTGAGCAACAGCAGCCCATCGTGATGGTTGGTAGGTTATGGATAGATAATATTGATTTTGTTACTATATTGGGTTAGAATATTGTTGCATGGCGCACTTGTGCTCTTTGCTTACGTACCTCGGTCGTTCGCCTGACTCTTGGTGATGGCAGAAGCTGGTGAGAGGTGGGGATGTAAAAGATGAATCTTGTTGTAAGTTGGAGGTGTTTGTGTGAGATGAATCTGAAGAACGAAAGAACATGTCCTGGGGACCTGGTCTCTCTATATATATTCGATTCAACCTACCTTTACGACCTTACTGATTGGGATTACTATATGGCGTCCTACCTTGATAGAGCATTTCACACAAAGATGGGTGAGGATAAGTGTAATCTTGATCTCCATTAATATCCCATCGAGTTCTGCGCGGCGCCATTCGGTACATGAGGGGCAGACCAGTGCACTTCAACAGTGATATTTTTGATCCAGTTAGAAATCTTAAAACTAGTGAACTTGAGGTAAAGATGGGCAGGTTATCATATCATTGCGTTGCGTTCTAGATGACTTTTACCTTTATTAGTATAATCGGTGTTACTATTGGCGTTGTCATCATCTCTATTAAAGGTGAGTGATCAGAATTGTTAGCAGTAGGTATCATTGCAGGAGTTGCTCTTTTAGACGAGATAACAAATTCTGAAGTGGGTAAGAACGGAAGCACGCATATTACGGTGAGACTTCTCCTAACAAAGTCTCCTGCTTGACAAGCTCAACCTCGACCCGAACGACATCAAGACCTGGATCGCGGACGAGACTTTCACCGACCGCTCACCCTCCTCCAGAACAAGCACCGACAACCCCGACACGGACGTCATCGCCAAGCTCGCCTGGTTTCTCCGAAACAAGTACATCTTCGACAAGTTCGGCACCAAAGAGGACCAGCGCGCCGTCGACGCCGCCGTCAAGGCCATGCCCGCCTCCACCGGCATGGGCAAGGCGGTCATCAGCGCCACCGCCATGTGTGAGACCATCACGGCCGATGTGGTGGTCTTCACGTCTGAGAACTGAGTTTGTATGTTCCGCTGTTCTTGATGCCAGGATTCTTCCGCTAACTTCAACAGCGAATCGGAACACCTTGAGGTCGTTGCATACTTGGCCCTGGGGCCGTGTTCGCTCGCTTTTTGGTTAACCTTTCCCTCGCCCTATGTCGACTTTTGAGCGTCGTCTATCTCCGTTCATTTTTGGCGACGGGCCTCGAGGCATGGAAGGAAAGAGGCTATCACAGATTTGGTCTTGGGATAAGGGATTGAAACCAACTTTCGGAAATTCACGTGGCGTTTTACGAGACTTGGGCTTTCCAACTCCGCCTTGAGCTTGTATGTAGTGGTACTCACAGAATCAGACTGCGTCTGGGTAAATAAACAGGCAGTACTGCACAAGACGAGTGAATATCCTCATATTCCATAAGCTTAGGTTAACCTTCAATCGTTGCGTATACCGCCCTCGCACCCAGTCCAAAAGGTATCCTGCATTTGCAAGATAATCGGAGTTAGAATTTGACCGGTCCAATGTCATGCCGCATTTCAAGTCCTCCGGCAGCTCTGAAGGCTTCATTTTTCATTGGCTTAGCCTTTTACGCAAACTGTCTATTTCCGTCGTTCATTTTCTTTTCCATTCTATTTATTAAAAGCTTGAATGTCTGATTTACGTGACAGGCAACTCTAATCTTGAAAATTACCTGATTCGGAAGCATCTGCCTCGAAAGCTGAACATCTTTTACCGGAGATACCGTGTAGACTTACACTGCCAGAGGTGTGAATGGCCTCCCGCAAGGTGACCAAGCTTTCTGTCAACGATGGCATTCGAAAGCTCACTGAAGCAAAGGATCAGAGAAATGAAATCAGTAAGACCGCAGAGGTAGGTTGGCTAGAATATAAAGAGAGAGAGATATTCCAGAATGTGTTCTTTCGTTCTTCAGACTCGTCTCACACATCAATCTTAACTCGACTCGTCTACTCATCAATTCCTCCACTCATCTACTCTGGTATCCTTCAGCTCTTCTACCTATCGGTCTCGTATTCCATCAACGAATACTCCTCGCCCCGCGAATACCCGCAACAAAACTCCATCCAGCCATAAAAACCCCCCCAAAACACTCACAATGGGTATTGGTCAGTCTGCGCCGGTCTCTTCCGCCGACTCCGGTTCGAACATCCGCGAGATCGAGCGGTTCCAGCGAAGCAAGTGGGAGTCGCTCCGCCGATGCGAGGAGCAAATGGTGGCCAACGCGGGGAGCGACCAAGAACGCCGCGAGATCAAGCGGGAGTTCGCCGCCAGGAAGAGCAATGCCATGAACGAGTACCGCATCGAGTGGTTCAACTGGCAGGAGCCGAACAAGCCTCCCTTCTGGGGCGACCACCCCTACTGGCAACGACCTTAGGCCCGCCACATCAACTAGGAAAGGTTTCAAGTGCTCGTGCCACTTAGGAAAGGTCTTGAAGTGCTCGCTTCACTAAGGGAGAAGTTTGAAGTGCTCGTGTCACTTAGGAACTCTTCTCGGACTATTTCCGAACGATCAAGTGGAAATGGAGTGGACATGGCTTGGATTCATGCGACCTAGTTCAATACGGATCCCACACTACTCTTCCTACCCTTGTGGACGTTTAACGAGGGTGTTGGGAGATAATATTCATAGATAATACAGTATCGGTAATTAGTATAACCTTAAGCCGTTCTTCGTGACATATCGTGGACGATGAATGCCTTGGCGCCGATCTTCGCCGAGGGAATGCAATCGATGGCCCAGGACTGGGTCCCAGTGCAGAAGAAACTCTTCTGCATTCAACACCACCGCGTCTCATCTACAAACACTGATAATACCAAGGCGCAGCGACCGCAGAACAGCTCGACCCAGCCGCGCACTTGGTAGCTCCGGTGTACCCCGACCCGCCGCACTGCCCGTACTTGGTCTGCGTCTGCTCAGGCGCCGGCGGCTGCGTCGTCGACCGCGCCGTGGACGAGACCCTGCTGGACGTCGTCGTCGAGGTCGTAGAGCGCACCGTGGTGGGCGGCGGCACCCATTTCGTCACCGTCTCGACGACAGTGTCGGTCTCGGTCTTGGTCACGACGGTTGTCGTCCAGCTCGTCACGGTAACGGTGACGACGGCGGCGGCTCGGACTCTGCTTGCGACAGCGGCTTGGGTGATCGCTGGGGCTGAGGCGGCGATGGGGAGGTGGTGGTGTAGATGAGCTTCTGCGGTGATGCAGGCGGCGAGTGTTGCGAGGAAGTTGAGAGTATGCATTGCGGGTGGCCGTGGGTTGGTTCGGCTAGTCGCACGTTCACAGCATATTTGCTTGAAGAAGAGGTACTGGCGCTGCCATTTTGTAGATTGGGGATGTGAGGACAGGAGGGCGTCTGTGGAATAAGGCACCAGACGTGGTTTCTTAGGCAAAACAGTGGCACTGCAACGGTGCTGCTGAGTTCATTTGGAAGAAAGAGGTCTTCGACGAAAGGGAATCGAGGCGGCATCTGCTTGGCGCGGAAGGGTACCGAACTTCAATATCCCAATGCACCACGAGCCTAATAGCAGAAGACGAGCGTGGCTGCAAATATGCCTAATCGGGTAGCGGAATCGTAAATGAAGTGCCTCAGACTTCCCGTATTGGACAAAACGAGAGCTCCAGTCTTGCTTGATTGAGTCCAGTGCGAATCCGCTCGCATGACATTGCTGATAATGTTTGTTCTCATGCAGAACTATCGTCCGAGATGTTTAGCCTGAATGAGACGCTTCGCTATCGTTTGACTGTCCGGCAATATGGCTGAACGGAAGTTTATTCTGAGCAACAAAGCGATGCGCATCACCCGAAAAGGATTCATGCTTATCCATATTTGGAGAGTTCGAGAAGTAAGGAGAGATTGGCGGCTAGACGTCTTCGTGTCTCCCTGGCCGTCTTGTAGTGTCGGTCGCGATGGATTAACGACTCCCACTTGGAGAAACTTCCACGGAGAACATCGGCGAAGGGAAAAGCCAAGTCCTGGCATCCCAGCATTGAGTTCCCGTCAGACGTGACGCTGAAGCCTCGTAGCAGCAGATATCAGATGATTTTGACTGACTTCGATCATGACGCCGTAGTAGCCCTGTCATACTATCGCTACTACGATTCGTGACGGGTGATCGCAGTCAACACTGACTTGAAGGTCGCATCAGCCGCCTGATAGTCCGGGATCCAATTTCAATGAACAATGCAGCCTCATCTTTGGTCTATCTGTGAACGCCTCGCCAGGCAAAGCTCAATGTGCTGTTTTGACACGTCGACTAGGCGCACTAGGTATGAAGAGGGGCTGCAGGCCCAGCTCTCTTGAGGCTCAAATGATTAACCCACAGACCCTCACCTTAATCTTGACATCATTCCAGCCACGTTGGGAGAGTGGACTCCGGCACGCGTGATCTCAGAATAGGGCGATGATATTGAGGCAGAATTGAGAATGGGGGCAGGGAAGCGTGGGGCAGGGAAGCGTGGAGAGTATTTGCTCCAGGGAGTAGCCGACTGAAGAAATAACTTAGCGACGGAGCACTAGCAGCTGACCTGGCCTGGAGCATAATCCCTGACTCTGTCGCAAGGCTGTCATCTCGATGTTTGCTGGGTTGTCTTGAAAGCCATTTTGACAAGGTGATCCTTCCAAGGAAGCCACTGGGTCATGCGGGGTCCGCATTCCGCCTTGATTGGGTCCGGAAAGTCTTCGGTTGGAGGTAGCATCGCTCATTGTAAGCCGTAGGAGGTATGTCGCTTCATCGTACGACTGAGGGGTTATCGAAGGATTTCACCTTGATTACTGATATAACGTTGGCCAGGCAGCAAAAAAAAGACCACGTTCCCTTGAAATGAACGGAAGATCAACTTCTGTGATGGCAAGGATCCCCAATTTCCAACGCTTTTGTCACAGCCGCCTCGTCGTTCCATATCCAGTCAGTGGTGATGAGACTGGGCTTGCGTCGTGTTGGTGCCGTGGATCGTCGACTCCGAGCCCAGGTGATAATGTCTCGGGAAATGCTGACCGTGTCCGAAGGAGCTGGCGGGAAAACATTACCACCAGACCGCAGATGAAGGGAGCGGCGAGGTAATGAAAGGGTGGCGCGTTGCAGGTCACTCTTCATCGGCACTTTGAATCTCGACAAACCCGGAGCTGACGGCGCCGATCACGGCAGCCCTGTGTTCCAGGAATCCGGGACCAACAACGGGTAGGCTGAGGGGTCCAGGGTTCATCCAGATCGTTGAAGAATTGGAGATCCTGGATATATAACCTCCTGCCTCCTTGGATGACAACGAGTGGTCGCCGTTTCTCGTCCCCGCATGTTCGCCTTGGAGTCGAAAACGACGATCGTCAGGATCGGCGCTGTCTGAATGCCAGTGACCAACGACACCGACGCCTTACCTAACCCACCGGGTCTATCCCTGGAAAGGAAGCACAAGCTGGAAGAAGATGCCAGGAAGCCACGAGGAGTTCCATCTCGGAAAGTTCGCGAACTGGGGATCGCGAGAATGACGGACCTGCAGAAACTGCAGCCGGGCGCCGTCATTGGATCTTGCAGCAAGGAAATGATCCATAATCGAGAACTGACGAATTGAGAGCACCCGAGGGGCTGATTCGATGGCTGGCATAACGGCCGAAATGACCAATTTTCATTTTCGTGATGATTCCGCTCATGACAAGGCATTTGGTCACTTGTGATTCGTGGTTTGATGGTGGCAAGGGATTATTACGGGCGTGAGGCGGACCGTCCTGGGGGTGGGCGCGTCGTCCGCCTCACTTTTCTGCCTATCTCCTGCAGGCTCACACCCCCCAACCTGCCAGGTGGAACGTACTCCGGATTGATGGTTCCCACTTGTGTTGTGAGAACCGTCGAGACAATGAAGGTATGTGGCGTACGTCCTTGCATGCAGGCATGGCAGGCAGGTTCTGACGACCGAGAAGGAAGTTGAAGCGGTGAGGATGCCGACAGCTGGGCCCCAAAAGGGAAAGTCTGCAAAAAGTGCGCTTCTTGTCTTGCACTTGGTGTAATAATATGACTTGGACGCTCGTAATCACCACTTGATGCAGCGTACGAGGATTGGCAGACCCAGGTGGTCGCATAGTTGGCGAAGATAAATACCGTCTTAATCCTCCCGACCGCCGTCATTCAAGACCAGCTTGCGCCATCTTGTGCTTCCCGGGTCACCGGACAGACAGATCATCTCTCTTATGCCCAGAAAATAGCTGTTGCCATGCCTTCGTCGTCAGAGATGAACAGATATTGGATCCCGCGTTTGGATATCCACAAGAAGATCATCACCCAAGAACTTCCTTATTACCTGGGTCCGGATGCAACGGTCAGACCGTACACGAACGAGGTGTGAAAATCTCAAACATGATGCGCGAGACGCCTCTCACAGCATCAATAGGGAGAGGATGGATTCCTCATCACCACTCCAGGCCCCTGCCTGACAGACGTAAGCATTTCCCGTCGAATCCCTACGATATGCGACGACTTTGCGAGGGACCGCTGACACGGGCCTAGGAGCAAATCGATGATATCTGCAGAAAGTCCAAGGAAATGTGGGAGCGGCAGGCTGCAATTAGGGCACAGGAAGCCGACAAGCCCCTCAAGAGACCACTGCATCAACCGGTGGTGATATCCAGAGGGTCGAACGAGTCGTCGCGAAGGAGACACGAGGCACACCGGAGCCACGAGCGGCATCGACGTTACGATGATAGGCGACGCGAGTGAGGTCGAGCGGGAGCCGACTGAAATGATCGAGATCTCAGATTGGGCTAGATTTTTGGATCTCAGCACACAAGCGACCAAGGCGTTGCAGGCGGCCGGGTGAGCCCTTTCATGCATAACGGCAGGAATTTGTGGAATTCGGTGATTCGAGGCGCTACCATATGCGAAGAAGGTCTTGTTGCTGGTGAGAGGGGCTGATTCCATTTGTGCGGCCTGGTGGCCGCAGCGGACGGTGGATCCGACCGAACACTCGTTGTTTCTGACTGGCTGGGCGACAGGCGACCGAAGCAGTATAACTCAGTCTGTCTGATTGGGACGGGCATGGCTATGTGTCCCAGACTCATCCAGCAACAGCCTGTCATCTGGCGACTTTTGGGGTCCAATGGTAAAGGCCTACGACTCCGGCGTCGTCTGTCCATTGCTCCTAATAGGTATGTGTATGCGGAATCGTTGCAAGAAGTGCACAGCAAAGTGCAGCGCCGGCAGCTGCGGCCAGCTAGCTTTTCGTCCTGTCCAGATACCCAATAGGCGTACGTACTGCATTTCCCGAATAGACACCATGCATCAAAACCGAGCCATAGTATCGTTGAAGACCAACAGTATCACACGTGTTTCCTCCCGTGATGACTGGTCGATGGGACGTTCCAAACGGATGGATGTAGCAACCGAAGCTGTATTCGGCCCGTGTCCGGCCCCAAAGGGTGAGGAATGAATCCATCCATCAATAATCTGATAGTAGATGTCGCTATAAGTTGCGATCGTTCGCGTGACCAAAGAACCAATCAAGGATGTAGAGCTGGCCGGCGAAGGTGGTGAGAAGATTGCAGGTTGCGACACGTCTGCTTGTCCATGCCGTGGCAGAGATCCATGTTGACATGTGTACAAGCCAAGTTGGTGGTATGCTTTGCCTCGCTAGGACATCGGTCGCATCTCCAGACTGATCCTCATTCAGTCCGCACCAAAGTTCGTTTCGTACCGCTGAACATTCAGAGGTCCGGCAGAATAGAGTAGCAGCGCCTGGATGGCCACGTTCTGCGGGTTGCGGCTCGTCCCTCTGGTCCGCGTTCCCGAAGGAGCAGGTGTGACATAGCCAATCACGTTCACCCACTCGCCGATACTTGTTTCGGCTGACTTGAGGGTCTCTAGAAGGAGACTGACGTCGACTAATGCAGTGACGTTCGATCCCTGAGGGAAGTCATGCTTTAGAGTAAGCACAGCTGATACCGTCGAGTAAGAGGTGACACTGGAGTCAAGTCAGCAGACAGAACAATAGCGACTGCAGGATATTTCCGGTGAGACGTTATCAACGAAACTCCTTGACGGGTGGCCCGGCACAAGGTGAGCGGGCATCTCACCATCCTAGAAACCGGACCTTTGCACCTGGTGATTTGGACAACAGGTCTGATAGGAGGCAAAGCTGGGTTGGCAGCGGGCCTCTCGACATGCTTGGTATGATTAGTGGGAGTCGCGGATGTTATGGTAGCATTTTTGACGCCGCAGTGACTTGTATCCGGAAGAATTTGATGACTGCGCTCGAAGATAGAAGATCCGCTGTTGAAGTTCAAGTTATTGGGGAAGAAAGAAGTAGTGATCTTAGCACTTTCAATTCATCGTCCTTTGCACATCCACCACGATGACATTAGGTAAGCAAGTCCGATAAGGCGATAAGACATCTCTGTGGTCACACGATTAGGCATCACGTGCCATTGGATCATCTGACCGGTTGAATAACGGGTAAACCAGGCAGGCATTGTTGCTGGGCGAGCACCGTCATCGCCCGCCGCCCACTAAACGGTATCGCTAAGCCAGTCGGGAGCCTGCATCATACCTGTCTGTCTACCTTACGTATCTACTCTATCTTTCAGCCTTCTGCCTATCGACCTTGCGACATCTCGACCTGCTGGCCGCGAGTGCTTTGTCGCACGATCTAGAGCCTCATCATCCGAGTCGTCCAATACGCTTCACTGTTCCCACGGTCCCTCCACGACGCCTGGTGCCCACTTGCGTCCTGTTTCGGTACCCCGCCATCAAACTTCGGTCGACTGCCACGCAACCCGATTATTACGGCTGCCTTCGCCCGATAGCTGCCTGCGCACACTCTCAAAAGCGACTCGATCCTCTCGAACAACCCTCTCCGATACCGTTCAACTCGACAAACCTCCAAGCAACGATCATCATGTCTGGTGTCTGGGGCTGGTTTGGCGGCGGTGGTGGCGCCAAGAAGAAGAATGACGCCAAAGATGCGATCCTCGGCCTGCGAGTCCAGCTCGATATGCTGCAAAAGAGAGAGAAGCACTTGCAAACACTGATGGACGAGCAAGATGCCATCGCAAGAAAGAACGTCAATACCAACAAAAACGGTGCGTAGTCTGCGCGATATATATCGTGGAGTTGTGACGTGCTGACGATTTGACTCGATAGCCGCAAAGGCTGCCTTGCGCCGCAAGAAGGGCCACGAACACAGCTTGGAGCAGACCATCTCACAAATTACGACACTCGAATCCCAAATCAACGCTATCGAGTCTGCAAACATCAACCGCGAGACACTGTTGGCGATGGAGAAGGCTGGCCAGGCCATGAAGGGTATCCACGGCAAGCTCACCGTCGACAAGGTGGACCAGACCATGTACGTACCTAAACTTTATTCTGCACAATTTTTCCCCAGGCAAATACTAACCAAGCGAACGTAGGGAGGATCTCCGAGAACAGAACGCGCTCAGCGAAGAGATTGTCAACGCCATCACAACGGGCCAGACGGACAACATCATCGACGAGGACTTGGAGGACGAGTTGGAGCAGATGCAGCAGGAGGAGTTGGACGAGAAAATGATCAGCACCGGATCGGTGCCTGTATCAGATGCCGTCCACCGCATGCCTGCCGCGGCAAACGGAGAACGTATGGAGCCTTTCTTCTCGGCTTTTGATCCGAATCTGAGAACTAACACGTATTGTCTAGTCAAAGGCAAGGCGGTCGCCGAGGAGGACGACGAGGAAGCAGAACTCCGCAAGCTCCAGGCGGAGATGGCCATGTAAGGGGCCCGAGACGTCTGGATATCCTACGGGGATGATGGAGAGCGGTGGCATAGCATTCCTGGTTTGAAATGGGGCTACTGGAGGCACGCATTGAACCACGGCGCGCTAAGGAGGTAAGAATTGCAAGGCGAACGGCTCCCTCCCCGAGGAAAGTGGATGCTGCACGACAAAGGCCGGAGCATAGGGGCGCTTGCGCGCTTGAAGCCAGGCGCGCTGCATCGACGACGCACTTGGCGCGGCAGTGGTTCACTTGTTTTCCGGCCATCATTTAGTCTCTTTCGCACCAGACCCTGTCTACTGGCGTTGGCGTTTTGGGGCACTCGGGTGCTATTCGATGGGAATCTCGCGGTTGTGGAGGCTGATGGGAGTTTGACAAGCTTTTTCTGCGCTGCGGGAGGGTACTTTACACAGTCTGCGTCTACGTCCAAGTCTTCATAGAACACATATTGACCATTGTTGAGAAACTAGAAGGTCGGTGTACTTCGTACAACAGCACAGCATGGCTTCATGATAGTGCAGCGTTCATCTTCCTTTTTCCGAGTACCAGACGGGATGGCTTGGCTCATGCGCCGGAGATACAGCCGCAATGCAGCGGTGTCTAGTCCGGTGAACGGCGGGCGAGACATCAACGGCGGTCCACCTGAACTCGCTGGCGTTCAGGGTCCCACCTGACCGGGACCGGGACAGAAGCCATTGCTCACGTGTCTCGGCACACCGCCAGTCGCCATGAGTGACCGATCGTGACCATGGATAACCGAAGCTACGATCATGTTCCCCGTGGGTGCGTTCAGGTGGCGGCGATCTGAAGGTCTCGACAGCGGCAGATTCGCTGTCTCCGTAAAATGGCGGGGCTTCAATGTGTTGGGTGATGCATCGTGAGTTAAGTCTCGTAGGTCGTTGTAGCGACTAGAACCTTGTTATCTCGATGACGTTGTGGGTTCGATTGTTAGGGGAAAAGAAAATGAGGCTTCGGGCATCGTCAATGCAAATTCTGTAGAGGAATTAAGGCGGTTGGTGTGGTGGTTGGCATCTCGGGAGAGTGTCAGGGACAGATGCTGAAGAAGCGGGCGCTTGGAGATGAGGCAGAAGTACTCCCTCGTCCAATTTGCGTAGATATTGAGTGGTGGCGGGGATACCGATACTTGTGTCTTATCAGGATCCACATGAGACGTTTATCAGCGCACTTAAGGACAGGCAGGAGTGGCAGGCTTGTCAGGCACAAGTGCCTTGGAAATTTTTGTTTTACCGCTTATTCCAGCCCGATGGTGCCCTGTAGGGTGACAACGGGCTGGTAACCTGGGAATGCTTTTTCCTTCCAGAACAATAAACCGCCTTCCTGGCAAAATTGAAGGGTCATGCTGGTTCATATCGCCAACTCAATTTTCTTCCCTCCTGCCCTGGAAACAAGGATGGTGCTTCTTACACAGATGTAAACAACAAAAAACAACAAAACGACTCGAGATCGGGCATATTGACTGCCATCGCGGGCGCTTGTCAATACGCGATAACCGCCAGCCTCTTTCGTCGCCCTGTGTTCCCGGCAGTCACAATCGATATCAGCTTCGGTATCGCGATGGCCTCATCGACAGCATCATGCCTTGACGGCCCAACTGGCAACTGCCTACTATCAACTGCCACTCGGTACGAAGTAGTTGGACGACCCTCGTCGGGCCAAGCTCAACCGGCCTCGATCTTGGACAGGAGATAGCACAGCCCAGCCATGTCGTTTTCCGTCGTCGTCTCGGCGCCCAACCAACCACCCAAGTTTCGACTATTGCGGCCCATCGCCTCTACCACATCCTGTCCCGTCCTGTGGCATGTCGTCGGACTAAGTCGGGTTTCCGCAGGGCATCAACGACACCAATGGCACCGGCCGCTCTGCGCGACGCACTCTCGCTGCACAACTTCTCGGGCCAGATTGGGCTACTGCAGCTCTCACACACCGTCGTTCGGGAGGAGCCATGTGGTTACCTCAGCGCGAGCATCCGGCCCAATCTCCCTCGCCAGTCAGAGTAGCGGCTACATCTGACTGTCACCAGATATTCCGTCCAACCCGCACCTCCTCCGTCACCCTCGCTGGACGCATGGTTTCTGAGAGGCCCCTCCCACGGAAGCTCGGCTTGCTGACATGGTCACGAAGGGCTTGCTATCTGCTCATAAGCCATGATCCTCAGCTTCTTGAACTGGAAGAACGAGTGCTCTGTACTCCGTACTGTACCTTCGTCTACACTCCGCCGCCCAACCCCACTATTGCGACTTTCGGTGCCACAACCACTGTCACTGCAGTCACATCCGCCCCTCCCGCCAGCCCGCGGTCCGGACTCTCCTGCATGGATCTTCACAGGCGAGCCTCCACCAGGCGAGCCACGTTGCACGTCGCTGACCGGGGTTTTAATGGCCGATGAGAAACAAACCGCGCTCCTTCGCCTTCCAAACCCCACCAGCAGCAGCACCACGCCTACCGCCGATACAAGACGTTCGTACAGACATGATCGCACACGCAGCATCTCTGAACATGCCGTCTTACTGCATCTAGCCAACCCGCGGGTTCTCCCTCGTCCACCCTCCATTTGATCCAACAACGGATGACAGCCCCGTTGGTTTGGTGGTGCCCTCCCTTGTGATTCCAGGAACCACTCTTCCGTCGGCAATCGTTTCCTGGCGTCTTGACAGGCACCATGGAGCCGTTGACAAGGATCGCCTGGCGCCAGTGGACCGGCCCATCAAGCTTCCCTGTCTCTGTTTCCCGATACGTACAGGTGCGCTGGGCCAGACATTCACGACCAGCACAGCACAGCAATTATTAGCTCATAATCGCTGGGCGGACGAATGCTTGGAATTTCACGGGCTGTTGTCACTGGGAACCCCAGAAAGGACACGAAGGAAAGCCCAATAACTGGGAACAATCTAAACCTCTTTTGGGCAAATATCCCACGTCTGGAAAGCCTAGGGCTGTCCATCACGACCTTCTGTCTTGGTCGGCTATGGCACTTGTCTCGGATCTTTCTTATTTTTGTCTCTTAGCTTCACGGTAAGACACGGAAGACCACGCCGACTTTTGACTTCGGTCTAGAGGATCCGATCCATTCTCGAATTCTAACGGCAGACGTTGAGCGGTCTAACTGACAGCACAGGACAAACCGATGGTTAAGAGAATACAGACCACCGGAAAAATACCGACGAAAAGGGATAAGACCACAAATTTTATACAACATATCCTGGCAGAAATCAGCAATATTCATGCCCGTCGTCGTCCTGCCCGTCACCTCATGCGGGTTGGCTGCTCCGTCTCAATTGCTTCGTCGTTGGGCAGCCATTATCCCTCCTCTGCTTCGTCCGATAATGAAGCACACCTATCTACCTCATGTCTACCTGCCTACCTGATGTCTCTCCCGTGTCCATCATATCATCATCCATCCATCAGTCAGGCCCATCGATCATCCCAAAACCCGCAATCCCCAGTTCCAACCCAATTGCGACGTGGCCAGCCCTCCTCCCGCCTCACTCGAGCCAATGGCTCCCGAGCACGACAATTGATCACTTGGACTCTCGAATCTGTCCCCATTCGTGGGGACGACGTGGGGTACGCCTGCGTCAGGGACCCCTTACTCCCGCACCCTGTACCCTGCCGCCAACCAGTGATGCTTGTGATGTTTGACACTGCTTGGGAAAGCTCCCCCCTGCTTCTCGACAATCTACTTTTTTCTCCCACAGCTTAGCCCAATTGTGCGCTCCCGGGGTGGTCGTGGACAGCTCCCATCTCGTCACTCTTGGTCCTTTATTTCCCAACTCTATCCATTGTCAAGCCGAGACAACAAACCTGCTGCTTCCCGGTAACAACCAACATCGATACACCTCTTTTCTCTGTTTACACAGTTACCGTCGTCTCACAGGCGACGCGATACCAATCTGTACTTCCCATTTGAGTTTCGCGATACCCGCCCAAGAGACTCGAACTTCTCACTCCGGTTTTGGGCACCGTACCAAGACAACGAATCCTGAGAGAACACGACGAGAACAAGCAAAGAAACGAACAACAACCCAATCTCACCATCCCGCGAAGCCAATCAACAGAAGTGCGCGCCGCGGACAACATCATACCATCCTTCCCTCCCCCCGGATCAGCATTGATCGTCTCAGACCAGGCAAGGACACCCAGTCACGACAGGTCCCGGAAGCATGAATTCGGAAGATAGCGTCGACTACTGCCCCTACCGGCAGAACCTTGACCTGAGCCAAGTTCAGACGCAAGACTTCTCCAATGTCAGCTACTTCCAACAAGGTTCGGATTCCGAACTGGAAAATGGTGAGTTACTTACAGCTACCTCTATCGACATCCCGCATTGCCGGTCTAACTGGTTTAATTTCCAGAGGGCGACGTATATGCCAATGGCGTGACATATCCCTCGCAGCCGGCTCCGACGAGTAGTAAGAAGAGCAAGAAGAAGAGCAAAAAGGACAAGAAGGCAGCAGCTGCCGCAGCTCAGTACTACAACGAAGAACCAATACCGCAAGAGTTCTCTCCCATCCCCGAAGCTCCTTACGAGCCTTACGAGGAAGTCATTGCCGAAGACGAGTGGGCGCCGCCACCAACAACAACTTCCAAGAAGGAGAAGAAGAAGAAGAAAAAGAAGAGCCAAAAGGAGGAAGCTGTCGCCGCTCCTCCTCCCCCGCCCCCGCCGCCTGTCGAGCCAGAACCAGAACCAGAGCCTGAGCCCGAGCCCGAGCCCGACTTAGAGCCAGAACCGGAACCTGAGCCCGAGCCGATCGTCGAGAAAGAAGTCCCGGAGCCGACGCCCCCTTCTCCCAAGAAGTCGAAGGAGTCAGCCAAGGAAGCCGTCAAGGAATCCTCGAAAGACTCCAAAAAAGACAAGAAAGACAAGAAGAAGGACAAAAAGAAGAAAAAGAAGGGCGCCAAGGACCCCGAGCCTGAGCCGGTCGAGAGCTCTAAATCCGCTCCCCCGCCTCCTCCCCCTCCCGCCGCGGAGGACGTTAAGCCAAAGATGGACGAACCGGCCGCTCCGCCACCCGAGGCTGTGATCGAACCCAAGGAGGATACCCCCGTTGCAGAGCCCGCGCCGAGTGCCGAACGCAGTCTCGGTGAATCCAAGGACGACGACAAGGGCGACTCCAATGCTGCCCAGGTCGCCGCTGGCGCCGCCGCCATCGCGGTGGCTACTGGCGCGGCTGTTGTCGCAGCGGACGCAATTACTTCTGACAGCCCTGACGGTTCCAATGAGGAGGAGAAGCAGGTTGACGGGGACGACAAGCCGGTCGAAGCCGTCTCAGACGCCCAAGGCGATGAGGAACAACCAGACCCCAGCGACGAGGCCACGGACGCTGCTGTTGAAGCTGCCCCTGCCGAGGGTGAGCAGCCTGCTCCAGAGTCTCCAGCTGAAGAGGAACAACCAGCCTCTGCAGACGAGGTGAAGGACGCTGCCGTTGAAGAAGTCGCCGAGAGTGAACCGCCAGCTCCGGCAGAAGAAGCTACCGACAACGCCGATGCTGTAACTGAGGAGGCACAGCCAGCCCCTGCGGACGAGGTCACAAACGCTGCCGCCGAGGAGGCCGTTGAGAGTGAACCGCCGGCTCCAAGCGAGGCCGTTCCAGACGCCCCAACTGAAGAGGAACAACCACCTCCGGCAGAAGAGGCTGCGAGCGATGCTGTCCAGGATACCCCCGCTGAGAGCGAACCGCCAGCGTCGAGCGAGCCTGTTCAAGACTCTCCGGCTGAGGAAGACCAAGCTCCTGCTACAGCTGAGAACCCCAGCGACGTCGTTGAGGATGCTCCAGTAGACGCAAGCACCAGCGATGACGCCCCTGTTGCTGCAGCTGGCGAGGAGCAACCGGCTGTTGAGGCTACACAAGATACCGTTGACGACAGCGCCCCCGACAGTGAACTGCCAGCTGTTAGCGAACCAGTTGAAGAGCCAGCGGCTGAGAAGTCAACAGCTGATGAGCCCGCTGTCGAAGAGCCCGCAGCTGAGGAGGCCGCAGTCGAGAAGCCAGCAGCCGAAACGTCGAAACCTGAGGAGCCTACCGCTGAGGAGCCCTCAGCTGAGGAGCCAGCAGTCGAGGAGCCAAAAGCTGATGAGCCCACAGTCGAGGAGCCAGCAGCCGATGACCCAGAGACTGAGGGAGCAGCTGCTGAGGAGCCCAAAACTGAGGAGCCAGCGGTCGAGGCGTCAAAATCTGAGGAACCTACCGCTGAGGAGCCCGCAGTCGAGGAGCCAAAAGCTGAGGAACCCACCGCTGAGGAGCCAGCAGCTGAGGAGCCTTCAGTCGAGGAGCCTACAACAGATGAGCCTACAGCGGAGGATGCCAGCAACGTCGTTGCGGATGCCCCAGTAGACACAAGTACAAGCGACAGCGTCCCCGACACTGCAGTTAAGGACCAGCCCGCTCCTGCAGCCGATGATGCTGACAAAGCCGTTGAGGATGCTCCTGCGGACGAAGCTTCAAGTAATGTCGTCGATGAAAAGGCAGATCCTCAAAGCGAAACTGTCCCAGACGCCGTACCGGACGCTGTTCCAGTCGAGACTAGCGAGAGCCAAGATGCTTCTCCGGAGGTCGTTGTGGAGGCGCAGAGTGACGAACCAGCTCCTGAGCCCGCCACTGACATCCAGCCAACTGAGGGATCGGACGAGCAAGCTTCCCCTGAGGTTGATGGCAGCGATCCAGCCCCGCCGGTCGACTCTGTTGAAGACGCACAGAGCGAAGAAGTCGTCAACAAAGAGGAGCTTTCAACCGAGGCTCCAGAGGCCCCAGCCGCTGTCGAGAGCTCAATGCCTACCGAGAGCCCAGTAGACGACAAGCAGGCCGAACCAGGTCCCAGCGAGCCAGAAAACGCGACAAGTACCGCACCAGTCGACAACCCCGACGATGTCAGTCCCGTGGAAGCCGACGCGACTCAGGTGAACGACGATGCTGAGGAGGCGACTCCCGTAGAGGAACCGGTCGAGCAAGCCCCGCCTGCGGCCGAGTCTGAGGAAAGCACCCCTGAGAAGGCACTTGAAGAGACTGCCCCCTTGGAGGACTCCCCAGAAGAACCAACGCAGGCCTCCGAGGGCGGCGAGGTTCAAAAGAACACGGACACCTCGGCAGAGCCAGTTGAACCTCAACCGCCGACCGAAGATGCCGCCGGCCCATCCAGCGATGAGCCGGCCGGAGAAGCTGTCGTCGAACCAGTCAATGAGGCGGCTGAACAGGCTGAACCATCCGATAGCCCTGCAGACAGTACTCCTTCCGGCGATTCTGACGACACCAACGCGGCCGCCGATGACTCAGTCGAGCAGGCCGAGCCAGACAAGGCCAATGAGAGTGTCGTCGAGACAGCCCCAGTTGAAGATCCCGCGCCCGTGGAGGAGGACAAGAGCGCTGAACCCGAATCCTCAGAGTCTCAGGAACCCGCATCCGAGACAGCACCAAGCCAAGATACGGAGGCGGATGCAATTCAGACTCCCGCCGAATCTGCGGAGAAGGACGAGGTCGCTGACGGTCCTGAGAGTCCCGAAGCTGCACCAGTCGTTGACGAGAAGTCCGGCGAGGAGCAAGCTGAAGCATCTCCGGAGACCACCGAGGTTGAAGAGACACAACAGTCTGATCCTCAGGCGGAAAGCGGCGACACTGCAGCTACACAGGAAGCCGATCCTCCTGCTGCGGCTGAAGAACCCGCCGCAGAGCAGTCGACTGAGGCGCCCATCGTACCCGATGATGACAAGAACGCCGACGAGGACAAGGCCGACGCGCCCGAGCCGACAGAGGCACAGTCCGAGACGCCCCAGGTCGAGGAAGGCGACAAAGCTAACGGACCCACATCGGAGCCGGAGGCGGAGCCAGCCCCGATCTCGGACGCGGACGCCGCTGCGGATGTGGCCCAAGCGTCATTGACCGAGCCGGAAGGTGGGGCCGACGGCGAAGCTGCGGAACCACCTGCCGAGGTTTCTCAGGAAGACGGTGCTCCGCCTAGTAACGAGGACACAGACAATACCGCTGCCGGCGACGATGGTGCGGTGCCCAGTCCTGAGGTTGAAGGCGAAAGCTCCAAGCCGGATGAGGACTCAGCTCCAGAGGCCGCCGTTGAACAACCTGTCTCCGCTGAAGATGTTCAGACTACCAGTGAATCTGCGGACAAGGACGAAGACGCCACAAACGTGACCGAAGATCCTGTGCCAACCGAAAAGGACTTGTCAAGCGGTAAACCGGATGAACCTGTCGCCGATGAAGCTGAAAGTGGAACGCCTGAAGATGGCAGCGACAGCAAGCCCGAGGAAACTGTTTCTGAGCCTCCTGCCGATCCCGAGGCGAAACCTGAGGCAGAGGAGCCCCAAGAAACACCAGCGCCTGATTCCACACAGGATGCCGAACCGAGCTCGGAGCCTCAGCAAGCAGAAGCACAAGAGGAAGCCGAGAAGACTCAGGCAGACGACGCTGTGCCGCCTGAACCTCAGGAGGAGGCTAAAGCAAATGACGACGCCGACCAGTCTGCTGTAGAACAAGATCCAGCCGTCGACGAGCAGCCTCCTACTCAGGAAGAATCTGCTGCGGCTGAACAAGAGCCAGAGACAGCCCCAGTTGACTCCGCAGATCAAGACACCTCCGCTGCTGGGGACGACGTGAAAGCAACTGACGATAACGTCGAGGCGCCTGAATCAACGGAGGCGCAGCCCGAGACTGCTGAGTCGGCTCCGACGCAGGACGAAAGCGAGGCTCCCGCCGAACCTAGCGCCCAGCCAGGGCAGGCCGGTGAGACCGAAGGTGAAGTCGCTCCTCCCGAAGATTCGGCTGCCTCGACACCCACGGACGGCGACAAATCCGAGGACCCTCCCACGGAACTGGAACCAGAGGTAGCGGAAGCGCCCGTCGAGCCTTCGGAGCAAGAAAAGGGCGCGGATGCTCCTGAAACCGGCAACGACGGCGAGGTTCCCAGCGCTGACGCTGAAGGCGCAAGCTCCAACCCGGATGGCAATTCAGACGACAAGGATGCACCAGTGTCAACAGAAGGTATGGACCAGTACGAGATGATCAGCGATGGCAAGGAATTCACTTTCGCCGAAAGCGCCAAAGAACAAGTTTCAACTGAGCTAACAAACCCGCCTCAAGAAGACACGAAACAGCCATCAGAGACTGTGGTTGATGGCAATGAAAGCACCGAGGCCGAGGAGGCCACCAAGGCCGACGAAGAACCTCCTGCACCAGCCGATCAGGACCCTCCAAACGACGATTCTGGTGATGCCAGCGCGCCTGCAGATGAGCCGACGGATGATCCCGCTCCCACAGCCGATGGCGAACAAGAAGCAGCTCAAGATGCCCCCGTCCCAGCTCCGGAATCAACCGATGAGGCGCCTCCAGTTGAGAGCGAGCCTCCCAGCTCGACTGAGGAGACTGCAAAGGAGGACGTCCCTGCGGCTGAGGAAGCTGCCGAACAAGAAGCCCCTGCGGCCGACGGTCCGGAGGCCGAAAAGGCGCCAGCTGAGGAAACCACCGCCGACCAGCCTGACGGGGAGACTCAACAGGAGAGTCCAGTCGACAACGCCGAGCCTTCGTCTGAGCCTCAAGCTCCCAGTGAAGAGGTCGCGGCCGAGAGTCAGCCTGATGCTCAGCCTGAGGACCCCGCACCAGCTTCAGAAGATACTCAGCCAGAGACTGAGGCAGAGAACAAGGACGTGGACTCTCCCCCAGCTCCAGAGGATGCTCAGCCAGAGAAGGAGGCAGAGAACGACCCTGAGCCGGCAGCCCCGGCTCAGGATCAAGAGTCTGCCCCTGAGGACTCTTCGCCAGCTGGAGATGATGCCCCGAGCTCTGATTCGCCGAAGGAAGAGACAGAAGCGCCAGCCTCTGAGGTTGTTGCCGACGATTCTGAGCCCCCCAGTGGAGAAGTCGCGGCCGAGAGCCAGCCTGATCCTCAACTTGAGGACGCTCCAGCCGTTGCAGAAGATGCTCAACCGGCGGCCGAGGCGGAGAACAAGGACGCAGCCCCTGAACCGGCAGCCGCAGCTGAAGATCCCGCGCCAGCTCCGGAAGATGCTCCAACCTCAGATCCGCCTCAGGAAGAGACGGAGACGTCGGCTGAGACCAGCGATGTAACTCCTGAAGCGGTCGTCGCAGCTGACGATCCCGCGCCAGCTGACGATCCCGCGACAGCTGAAGATCCAGCGCCAGCTGAGGATCTTTCGCCGGCTCAGGATGATGCCCCGAGCTCAGACCCGCCGCAGGCGGAGACAGAAGCGCCGGAAGAGACTGTTGCCGCTGAACCTGCCGAGCCTGATGCGGCCGAGGATGCGCAGCCAACTCCTCCAGAGACCACCGAGGCTTCTGATGCCAAGCAAGAGGATTTGGAGGCCGAAGGCAATGAGGCGCCAGAGGCCAAGGACGCCGACGAGGCGCAGCAGCCCGACTCTCAGCCAGAGGGAGAGACAACACCAGTCGAACCTGAATCAACACAGCAAGAGGAGGGCGAGCCCGCGGCTGATCCACCTGCGCCTCAGGAGGTCGTTGACACCCAGCCTAAAGAGGCCCTTCCGGAGACCAAGGACGCGCCCCCGGATGTCGAGGAAGCCGAAGGTGGCGGGGAACCACCCGTCGCCGAGGAACCAGAGCCAGCCGACCAGTCTACGCCCGATCAGGACGAAAAGACAGAGGAGAAGCCCGCAGAACCTGCTGCTGAGGCCGTCAGTGATCCTGCTCCAGATGCGCCAGAGGGTGAAGTTGGCGGGGACACCGCGGATCAAAAGCTTGACTCTGAGGCGCCCCCAGCAGCTTCCGACGAAGCCGATAAGGCTGATTCGGGAACCCCAAGCGATCAGGTTGAAGCTCAGGAACCAGAGGTTACCGCAGCTGAGAGTGCCGCGCCTGAAGGAGAATCTGCCGAGGAAGCCGTTCAGGAAGAAACCAAGCCTGCTCCTGAGGAACCAACCGAGAGCTCTGTCACTGAAGAGGCTCCTCCCGTCACTGAAGAAGAGGCCCCTCCTGCAACTGAAGAGACCGCTGCTGCACCAGAAGAAACCCCTCCTGTTGTTGAAGAAGATGCCCCTACCGTCACCAAAGAGGCTCCACCTGCTACCAAGGAAGAATCCCCTCCTGCCGCCGAAGAGGCGACTCCTCCTGCTGCCGAAGCGGAGGCTCCTGCTGCTGCTGAAGAGGAAGCCACTGCTGTACCGGAAGAAACCCCCTCTACTGCTGAAGAGGCGGCTCCTCCTGCCGCTGAAGAGGAGGCTGCTGCTGTACCAGAAGAAGCTCCTCCTGTTGCTGAGGAGGAGGTCCCTCCTGCTGCCGAAGACGCGGCCCCTCCTGCTGCCGAAGCGGAGGCTCCTGCTACTACTGAAGAGGCGACCACTGCTGTGCCAGATGATGCTCCTCCTGCTACTGAAGCGGAGGCTCCCGCTGCCCCTGAAGAGGAGCCTGCTGCCGCTGCCGTTGAAGAGGAGCCTCCTGCTGCTGCTGCTGCCGAGGAGGCAGCCCCTCCTGTAGCCGAAGCGGAGGCCCCTGCCGCTCCCCCTGAGGAGGAGGCGGGTGTTGTACCAGAGGAAGCTCCTCCTGTTGCTGAAGAGGAGCCTGCTGCTGCTGCCGCTGAAGAAGAGCCTCCTGCTGCTGCCGCTAAAGAGGAGCCTGCTGCTACTGCTGCCGAAGAGGAGCCTTCTGCCGCTCCTGCCGAAGAGGAGCCTTCTGCTGCTGCCGCTGAAGAGGCAGCTCCTCCTGTTGTCGAAGTGGAGGCTCCTGCAGCTGCCCCTGAAGAGGAGGCGGGTGTTGTACCAGAAGAAGCTCCTCCTGCTGTTGATGAGGGAGCCCCGGTTGCTGAGGAGGCTGCTGCCGTTACTGAAGAAGCCCCTGTTGCTGAGGAAGCTCCTGTTGCCGAAGAGGCTCCTCCTGTCGCTGAAGAGGAGAAGCCAGCTGAATCTCCGGACGAGAGCCATGCCGCTGAAATTGCGGCAGGTGTTGCTGCGGCTGCTGCTGCCGCAACCGCTGCTGCTGTTGTTAGTGATCAAGCTGGCCCAGAGGCTGCGCAAACAAGATCTTTGGATGCGGAGGAGAGCAAGGACAAAGTTGGTCCGATTGCTGGTGAGGAGAAAACAGGTGAGAATTCCCTTCCTTCCCTTGAATCCGATTCCCCCGATGGAGAAGTACGGGAAGGAGAGGAAGAAAGCAACCCCGAGAATGGAGACCAGGATTCCCAGGAAAACCCGGACGCCGCCGATGGAAGCAATGAGGACGAGCCTCAACAGATACCGGAGGAGGGTGAAACAGCTACGAGCAACGAGAATGTCGATGTGCCAGAGGCCCAGGAAACCGAGGAAACCGCGCCGCCGGAACAAGAAAACGCGAACGAGGATTCTCAGCCCGCCGATGACAACACTGCCGCTGCCCCCGATGACGTTCCTGAGAGCACGCCTAGTGATGAAACCCCTACGGCTGTCGAGGCCGAGCCGGAACCCGAGCAACCCCCTCCTGAAGAGCAGGGTGAGGGCGAGGAGGGCGCCGCTTTAGCTGAGCAGCAACCCGCAGAGGAGCCTTCAGAGGAGCCGGAGAAGCAACCAGAGGAGCAGCCTGAAGAGCAACCCGCCAATGAACCCGAAGTCCAACCTCAAGGTTCAGAGGAAAGTGAGACGACGCCTGAACAAGCAGTCGAAAGCCCTGAAAACGATGACCAGAACGGCGACGATGCACTCGTCGCTGGTGCTGCGGTGGCTGGCGTTGCGACCGCAGTTTTGGCTGCTCAAATTGGCGAAGGTTCGGATTCAAACGATGCCCCAGTACCCGAAGCTCAGGCGGATGAGACCATGTCACGTCGAGGATCTTCAGACAAGCTCACGCAAACTCTGGAGGATAACACCCCACTGCTACCTTCTGCCATCATTACCAGTCAAAAGACACAAGACGTGGATGCCGACTTCTCTCCGGTTGAAAGAGAGGGATACTCGGATCAAGGAACACAAACCGACAGCTCGGTCTGGGGTCTTAGACCTTCGACGCCTGCAGTTGTCCTCCCTGATCTTTGCGATCCCACTTCACCGGCCTCCAGGCACAGGGCGAAGGCTCTTAGGAGACAACGCAAGGTCTCAGTCGCTCAAGCCGAAGAGCTCGTCGCGGCGGCAGTGGTCATTTACGCTACGGCCCAGGCTCTCAGCCCACCGAACAGTCCCTTCTCTCGGTCCAGCACAGCCCTTGTCAAGGCGATGCCCAGCTTCGAGCAACAGATGAAGATGAAGCCAAAGAAGGACCGACCCTTTTTCTCGAGGTTCCTACCAAGCCTTCTATCCAGACGCAGGAGTACTACCACTACGGGAGCGGACAATGTCGCTGAACTTGAAGCTAACGAGTTTACAGAAAGAAAAGAAGCAGAGTCTCGCGAGAAGCATCGCAGACACCGCCACCATTCGACCTCGTATTCCAGTCGCGTGCGAGGCGACGACGAAAGCCGCGATAGCAGCCGCCGCTACTCCTCGCACTCCCACCACTCCCACCGACGGCACCGCACCGATAGCGAACGATCCGCTCGATCTCGCGACACAGCACCCAGCACCCCGCCAAGAACCCCCAGGAGACAAGACAGTGGGTTCTCGGACAGCCCTCAAAGTGCTTCCCAGCGCCGTCATCGTGGTGAAAGAAGCGAACGGAGCGAGCGCAGCGAACGCACTGAGAGGAGGAGCAGCCGTTCCGAACGCACACCAGAGGAGCAAGCTGCCCATGACAAACGCAAAGAACTGCGGAAGTTGGCAAAGGAGAAGGAGCGTGAGCGTGAGGCCGAGATCGAACGGGAACGTGAGCATGAACGAGAAAAGGAGAGAGACCGCGAGAGGCGCAGAGAAAAGGCGCGCCAGCGTGACAGAGAGCGCGAGCAGGAGGAGGCGGACCGAGCTCGCCGCAAGGGAAAGGAGCCAGAGGTGCCGCCCAAGCCAGAGGAGCCCGTGGAACGCAGTCGCCATCGGTCTCGTCGCCACAGCACTTCCACTTCCGACGCCCGACCCGAGCGCACTTTCAGTCGCAGGGAAGCCAGAGAACCCTCCATGGACAAGACGGAAAAGAGGAGAATCTTCAGCACCAAGAACCCGGAAGGTGCGCCTTCATCGACAACCCCTCCCCAGGTCCGTCCCCTTGTCAGGGAGGACCTGCCGATGGGTGACGAGGCAGGACCACAAGATGCCGCGGCATCTGGTGAGACTCCCAAACGGTCACGCTCCACCAGGCACCACGTCCGCCGCTCCGAGGACGGCGAAAGGGCCAAGCTGCGAAAGGTTCGCGAGCAGGTCGCCGAGGAGGCGAAGCGCGCAGCAGACAAGGACAAGCCCCGCTCGAAGCACTCGGACGATACCCGTCGCAGGGCTCGCGAAGACGAGAGGAGGAAGACCAGAGACGTCGAGAAGGAGAGGGAGAAGGAGAAGGAGAAGGGCGGGATCAAGGGCATGTTCAAGCGGTTGTTCGCCTAATGATGTTTTTTGTGTAATGATTGCTACGACGACGAATTATGCGCGGGCGAGATGATTATGTTTTACGGAACGACGAGGACTGTACGCTTTTGATGCTTTTGATTTTGAGGGCGATGTTTTGTTTTTGGGAGTTTGATGATTCTACGGTTCTCACGGCGGCTCGTTCATAATGATTTAATCGCTTCATGGTTAATGTGTTACGTATCAATACACACGTCTGATGAGCTTCGTTCCGCAACATTCTCCCACCGACATTCCCAAACATGCAGTACAAATTCATCAGCGCATCTTCACAGACATCTGGCTGCTTGTAAATGATTAGTCGCAGCTTCACAGACTCAATTGTCACGGGCGCGCAGTTCGTCGACGACTAACACAACCGGCGGCGGGTCCCACCACCACTAGCTTCGGAATAGAGTTCGTTCAGAGAGCACGTCAATGAATCATGCTTAATTCGATCCGGGTGCTCCCGTGGAGACCGTTCTTTTCTTTCTTTTTCTTTTACTTCGCCGAGAATCCTGGGAAACCCCGAGACCGGTGAGGAGGTCACCCCGCGAGGCCGAACCAGATTACGGATGAAGTTATTCTCACCGGATTCTCTGCACAGCCAGCTTCGAGGCCGGAAAGAGCATGTGCAGAAGAAGCCGCCGTTGTTAGACTATTTTTTTTTTCCAGCTGTAGATGCAGGAACCGTCACGGTTACCCCGAAAGTGACGGCGAGAATGACAAGTCATAAACTCTCAAGTCTGGACCCCCGTCCTTCCGCTGGTCGATCCGGCATCAGCCGTGGTCAAGGGGCGTGCATGCAGCTGTCACGAAGGAAGTCCGAATTGATAGATAGATAGCTAGTGTGGAGAGAAGTGATCTAGGTAGATGGAATCCATATCACCGTTCGGCGAAGGCGGAGTTGGTTTTCCCGCTCGGGTGAGCTTCGGCGCGGGGGAGAGGTCGACCGCCGAACATGGGGGGGCGCATCTCGACGACCGAAGTAATATGCGTCCCGAAGAATATTGGGTATTGATTGTAGGTATCACAGCCCGAAACCGAATACAGCCACAGACATTACCTCTACGGCCGACCGTCCTGATACTTGCAGCCGGTGAAGAATATCGTGTATGGTGAGCCGTCTTCTCGGCTTTCCTTCCATCTTCTTCGTCGCACCCCGGGCGGGTGATGACGCGGCGGCTCGCAGGGCCCGGGGCTATCGTTCGTCCCACGCACGCGCGACGCCCTCCGAAGCGGGAAGACTTAATCTCGAGCTGCACGCGTATTCCGCTATCGAAACGGACATGTCATATTCTTTTCCAAGGCCTCGGTTTAGATTGTGGGTTATTTTGCCGGGCTTCCACGGGCTCTGTCTCTTGGTCTTGCTATCTCTGCCTCGTATGCATCTACCATCTAACACCTACAACCTGCTCCGGATTCCGGGCGGGGGTCCTTGTCCGAGGGACCCATCATCCCGCCCGCCACCCATTCCGAGGGGCGGATATGTTTAAATCTCTAGCGCCGTAGCCAAGACCTGTTTTGCTCTGTAAGGTTAATTTGCATGGCACGCTAGTTTTGTCTTGACGCAGGTTTTTCCCGGGTTTTCTGCTGTCACGATGCCGTCTCTGTCCGGACTTCTTGGTCTGGGTGCTACGCAAACGTTTTGGGGGCCGCCGTACGGGCGGCTAGGGCTTCGTGGATGAGAGGGTGTCGGTGAGGGGCGTTTCCGAGCTGGAGGATTCGGGGTTCGTTCCTATTGCAGAGAGGTGGTGCTGGCGAGTTCGTCCACGAGCGCTTCAAGAGTTCAGGGTCGTCGGCTAAGACGGGAAGCTATCTGGTCCGCGTCACGATATCCAAGGAGAAAGCTGACGACTCTAGAGTCGCGAAATCCGCTAGGGAAGGCTAGGGCTCGGGATGGCGAGTCGCCGAGTGATGTTGAATTCTGTGGGTTGCGATGGCGGAAGTGTGATACTCCCCACCACACATCTTCTTTCACAGACATCTGCGCCTCGACGGGTTGCTCAACTCCTCTTGACTCGGGGAAGCTGCTTGAATGGAGCGCTGCAGGCAGACGAGTAAATATCGTTCGATGAGGTGGTATGCAGAGGTCAGGAGTAAGCGGTGAGCGGCCAGGAGGTTCACCGAACCACCTTGGGCAATGTTATCTCGCCTCAGCAGCTATCGACCTCCATCACGGTACTATAGGCGTAGGGTATGGCGAATATGCCGAAACCGAGTCGGTGGATGTCATGATGATTTGACGTGAACTTGACATTGACAGCCTGCCGGAAGCCTGCCGTGGCAATTAAGCATACAATTTCTGGTATTTGCTTTTTCTTTCACGTCGTGCCTGCCGAAAGTACCGAAGTAAAGTACGTCGGCAGCCACCCGACCACGGACGCCAACGGGTGATGTCCGTTAAGTGTAGAGGTTAATGCTAATGGTCCAGCATGGGAAAAAGAAGGTTATTTCGAGAAAGAGATAGAGGGGCGGGAGGAAGTCGCAGCAGCAGCAGCAGCAGCAACAGAGATTAGCAGTGAGGGATTTCGGCAATGCCGTGGAGGACGATTTTGGAGATGCCAAGACTTTATTGCCTAGAAGGGTAATGGAGAGGAGCCTCCAGACAGGAGGTTTAGTGAAATGGGGTTTCGGCGAGGAACGGCGAGTCGTTTGGCCATAAGACGTGCAAGTATGGATGGAGTCTTTGTGTTGTCTGTGTGTAGTGTTGCAGTGTTCAGGCGTTTAGTCGTTTAGGAATGGCGCTTCCCCTTGTTGTGTGTAGATTGCAAAGGGTTCAATATTGCAACAGAGTAGAAACGTCGTCGTAGTTGTCGTCGTCCTCGTCATGGTCCTGATAGTCTGTGATGGTAACTCGTGATAGCATGGCGGCATCTTGGACAGACGAAGACGAGTTCTCCTGGGATGATGTTTGGAGAAGGTTGCAGCTGGTCTGGGACTCTGGGGGGGTCGTCAAGAGTGGAGATGGAGGCTCGGGACATTGACCACTCAGGGCCGGCCGAGCTAGGGCGTTTGGGGCTTAGCTTCATGCAGCGCGGGAGACGGTAGTTGTCTAGCGCGCGTGCACGTGTCGCTGTGAGGTGCCTGCTGGAGGGCCACACGTTGGGGCGTCTAAAAGCGGTTGCGGCCCAGAGATGAGGCTTGCGTGGCCGATCCAGGGCTTATCCAGGGCTTATCCAGGGGGCACCTCTTTACCATGTTTTCTGCCCGCGACTGTACCGTTTTCTAGCGTAAGGTAATCACGACTGAGACACGCACACGATATTGGCATACTGCAGTATCGACGACGACGACATGTCCTCGTGCAGACTGCAGATGGTTCTGCCCTCGTGCCTCTCGGCCCCTGGCAATCCCGTATTCTCGTCCTATCGAGGGACGAAGGCACCGCTATTTTGAGGCGCTGCATCTTACCTGCAGCATCTCGACAACCTGCATGCAGCATGGCCATGGCCATGGCCAAGACTCCAACTTCAGCCCGCGATATGTCCATCTCCATCTTTCCCCTGAAGCCTGAAAGCCCTTCAAAATCAACCCTTGCTAGTATCCAGGCACAACCGCGCTCCCACACCCACATCCTTGGCCGCGATGATGGCTGGGAAAACATCCCTGCTCCCATCGGGATTGCCTTTTCACCCCCACATCCAGCTCGCAGGGAGCCAGGGACTACGTACGCAATCCTGAACCCATCTTTTACTATGTGCCTACGATACCGCCCAATGAATACACGATATCCATGGCTCTTCCGTTTCCCGCGAATGACCGCCCGAGGCCCGCCATGGGGAATCACGGGCGCGGGAGCTTCTTCTAATCAAGCATACTCATCATCACGAAATTGAAAGTCTATTGAACGAGCTTTACTGATTCGGGAATTAAGGTCCTTTCTCGCTCTCGCTTTATCGCCGCCATTCATGATTTCGTCGCTCAATTGCCAGAATCGCTCGTAAATGCCCCTCACCACACGAGCTATCCTTTCCTTCGCTATCGAGATCCTGCGGGAGATCCGGCCGTCGGCCGACCAGCTTTTCTTTCTCCAATCCCTTGCCTCCTCCCCCCCTTGTCCACTGCACTGCCAAGAGTCCCGGCGCCGGCGGGATTGGGACTTCTCTGCTGCGTGAGCCATTTTGGATCAGCACGACGAGCTCCTCTTCACGGTCCTCGACAATCGAAACAACCCCTTGATAGGGGAGGGGGCTCAACTGGTGGTTTTCGACACGTGGGACTATCTGCGCCGCAACCGTTGCATCGAACATCAGTGGGAATTTGGATAGGATCATACAGATCATGGCAAAATCTGGTCTAGGACGACCGAGCTACACACGCGGGGAACAGACGCGGATGCAAACATCAAACAAATCCCACCACCGTTGGACCGCCGACGTTGCTTTCCTCCGAGTCAGCGGCTCAACAGAGCCACGGCCCACGGACGACATCGGACAGATTTTTTTTTTCTCCTTTAACTCCTTGAAAGTGTCCAGCTGGGCTGCAACCTAGTGGCTTGTGCTTTTCTCTACGCCGTTGGAGAGGGACAGGAGGAGTCTGTCAAGTCTCCTTCTCCATACCTTACGGATACTGAAAGTACTTCCTCCCTCCACCCCGCTCCTCAATCCCAACCCAAGCGCCATCATCTCCCATGCCTGTTTTGACGCGCCCGCCCCGTATCGAACGGTCTTCTGTTTGGCGCCGTTGCATTGGATGACGTTGACCATGCCCGAAAATGGCCGGGGTGCCTCGAGCGCCGCACCGCACCGCCGGCATGGAAGGATACCCTTGCCAAGGCAGAGTCTTCTCGGCCGGGCTGCTCTGCGGAGGAACGCCACGGATTCGGCCATCTTCACCACCTTCACACCCGTTTTGAGCATCCTTCGCCCATCATCCATCTCTGCTTGCCCACTTCCTCTACCTTAGCTCCCACTCTTATCACCGTCAATGTTTCCTTAACGCCACCGTACCCGCCAATAGGCTTTCCGCGTAATGCTTGGCATTACGAGCTTTACGATTGGGCGACGGATGGGCAGACCTCTTCTGCCGGCTCGAGCACGAGTAGTTCGTGAGGCTCTGTTATTATTGACCGGTTCTTAACTCATTTTCGTCTAGTCATTTGCCATTTCCTAATCTGGATCGAAGCGGATTCGTAGTTCTTCTCGCAACTCCTGGTCTAAACAACAGTCTTGGCAAGGGAGGCCCGGCCAGAGGACATGTCAAGATCATCCTATGTTTCGTTTCCCCGTCATCTCTACCTTGGGAAGGGGTATCCATCGGAGAAGAAACAAAGAAGGGTGGTGGTCTTGGCCATCCGCGGGACTAATGCAGCCACACAGAAGCACGTTTCGATAGTCGGCTGCTGGATGTCAGGAGGACTACGCGTCAGCCAGCTCAAACGTTCGATGGGGAACCGACCAACACAGTAAGCCCGCCGTTTGGTCTGAAATCGACTAAGCTCGTGGCTCGGCCTGGAGATCAATGACAGCGTCGTTTTCTAATTCCCCATCTTTCCCTCTTCCCTGCACTCACCGTTGTCTTACATCTCGTAGCCGCCTGAACTTCACACGTCCCAAATGGGTCGACATATGGGGCCGCTCGCTCACAGGCCACGAGCTAGCACGGCAAGACCAGCGTCTATATGCGCATCCACATGCAGGTCATCCATATCGGCCAGGGGTGACAGGTGGCTCGGCGGATATGGCAAGCGGTTCTCCGTCGTCTACAGTCCTCGGTAGCGAAGTAACGACATTCACGCATGGGCCTGGCGCTCTTGACGGTCGACCCCTTTCGCCGGATTCCATCGTCGACATGGGTGGCCTTTCTCGTATAGCCTCTATGCTTGATGCTCTCCCCGTCTGTCATCGTGGAGCTTGCCGTTGCCGGCCGGGCACGACATCGTGGCCGAAGACCGACTACTCCCCCTTCGTCAACCTGACCATTGATCATGGCTTCCCATGTGGGACGAACCCTTCGAGCCAGGGGTGATCGGCCTCTCGCCCCGAACTAGGTCCTCAGAACGCAGCATCGACGTTACGCTGCGAGCTGTGCTTGCGAGTTCGTGTCGGGGTGTCTGGTCCCTCGTTTATCCAGCCGAAGTTGGTGAGACTGCGGCATCTCGTCGATGTCATGATCGAACCTCCAATTGTATAAAGACAACTCGTCCTTCCCGACTGTTGGCATCATTCCCCAGCCACCATCACTCAGCTTCATCAAGCCTGGTCTTCCTTCGCTTTTGCCTTCACTCGTTTTTTTGGCAATCTTGTCTCATTCTTTAGACAGTCTTCGCGGGACACTCCTTCGTTTCTACATTCGTTACTGAGAAACATCGATCAACATGTACAAGAGTTCGCTTTTGCGGTGCGCCGCACTCCTCTTCCCGGCTTTGGCCTCCGCCGCTCCTTCTTTCTTCAACGACGTCGAGAAGCGCCAGGACTGTGTGTTCGACTCTGCCACCAACCCTACTTGCTGGGACGGCACCCACGACCTCAACACGAACTGGTACGAGGAGGCGCCTCACACCGGCGTCGTTCGCGAGTACTGGTTCGATATCACCAACACCACAGCCGCTCCCGACGGTGTTGAGCGTATTGTTCTGGCCGTCAACGGATCCGTGCCCGGCCCGACCATCATTGCTGACTGGGGTGACACTGTTGGTGAGTTTAACTTCGCAAGGACTGGCCTGCTTGATCAACTTACTTACAAATTACAGTCGTCCACGTGAAGAACTCCATGCAGAACAACGGCACTTCTCTTCACTTCCACGGCATCCGACAGAACTACACCAACGAGGCCGGTAAGCATTCGAAGAAGCAATACAAGCAGGGAATGATACTGACGAACTGTCCGTAGACGGCGTTGCCTCCATCACTCAGTGCCCGACTGCTCCCGGCGACTCTATCACTTACACCTGGCATGCGTCCCAGTACGGATCTTCATGGTACCACAGCCACTTTGCTCTTCAGGCTTGGTAAGTTAGCCCAACGTCTCCCGTGCCTCGAATCTTCACATCTAACAACCACCTCAGGAACGGTCTTTTCGGTGGTATCATCGTCAACGGCCCTGCCTCCGCCCCTTACGACGAGGACCTCGGCACCGTCGTCCTCAGCGACTGGTTCCACCAGACCAGCGATGAGCTCTACCACGAAGCAGCCACCAACGGCCCGCCCCGCGCCAACACCGGCCTCATCAACGGCACCGGCATGTACGACGGCGCCGGCTCCCGCTTCACCACCACCTTCGAGGCCGGCAAGACCTACCGCATGCGCCTCGTGAACGCCGCCATCGACACCCACTGGAAGTTCATGATCGACAACCACACCCTCGAGGTCATCGCCGCCGACTTCGTGCCCATGACGCCCTTCAACACCTCGGACCTCTCCATCGGCATCGGCCAGCGCTACGACGTCCTCGTCAAGGCCAACCAGAACGCCGACAACTACTGGCTCCGCGCCATCCCCCAGCTCACCTGCTCCGAGAACGAGAACACCCTCGACATCAAGGGCATCGTCCGCTACGACGCCTCCTCCACCGCCGACCCCACCGGCGACGTCCCCACCTACATGGACACCTGCGAGGACATGCCCATGTCCAGCCTCGTCCCCGTCGTCGCCCTCGAGTCCGGCCAGCAGACCTACGACGACACCCTCACCGTCGGCCTCCAGGTCGTCAGCAGCGAGTTCAAGTGGACCCTGAACAACAGCACCTTCCTCTCCGACTGGGGATACGCAAGTAAGTCGCCTACCACCAGCCACCCCATGACTTCTAAACACCGGTTGCTAACAACGATAAACAGCTCTCGAGCAGGTCATCGAGGGCAACGACACCTACTCGACCCAGCAGAACATCGTCCACCTCGACCAGGCCAACGTCTGGGTCCACTTCATCATCCAGAACCCCCTCGGCCTCGCCCACCCCATCCACCTCCACGGCCACGACTTCTGGATCCTCGCCCAGGGCTCCGGCACCTACGACTCCTCCATCGCCCTCAAGACCGTCGGCGCCCCCCGCCGCGACGTCGCCATGCTGCCCGCCTCCGGCTACCTCGTCATGGGCTTCTACACCGACAACCCGGGCGTCTGGCTGATGCACTGCCACGTAAGTTGTCTTCTTCATCTCTGCTGCGACCTCGCACAAGAAACATCGATGCTAACATCGCGACGCAGATCGGCTGGCACACCTCCCTCGGCTTCGCCCTCCAGCTCATCGAGCGCCCCACCGAGATCGCCGCCATCACCAACACCGAGACCCTCAACAGCACCTGCGCCAACTGGAACGCCTACGCCCTCGAGGACTCCGTCCACCAGCACGACTCTGGTGTCTAAAACACACACACACTCACTCACTCACTCACTCACTCACTCACTCACAACACACACTCTCTCTATCTTACGACGATAACGTGAACCACTTTTCTTATGTGAATATATTTTTCCTTTACGAGTCGGATAACAACCTGATGGGAGGAAAACTCTGTAATTACCAAGGGGAGCGACAGGACTCTGGCTCTGGCGCATAATATTGTTGCTTTAATTGTACATAGTAATCATAATTGCTAAGGCCTGTCATTATCAATCAATCAACTTTCAAGAATCCTCCCTTCTCAAACGAGTTTCGTACCGGACTCATCTGCTCTTGATTTTTGATATCCCACTTCGACAAGACATTTCACGAGAATACTGCAGTCATCCATTCAATATTTCATCATTATGACCTTTTCCCCTTCTTTTATTTGACGGAATATCTTTCCTGAACTTTCACCTCATACAGAAAACTTATCATCATAGCAACTCTATTATCCATCTTCAACCAAGGCGTTACCGCTATATTCTTGCTACTTTAGCATCAAGTCGTAGTTGTTATGAAAATTCCATACTGGTTTCACCAGGATACCCGGGGACTTTATGGGAACACATCGCTCCCGTGGATCATCGCCACCACCCAATTTCTGTCAAATTATACACAGAACACCCAGAAAAAAAACCTGAAAACAGGTATGCGAAATCATATCTCATCGTGCAGAAGTCCCGAGGTACTTGTAGCGAGGCAAACCCTGATAGGGCCAAGCAACAAAAGGTAGGTAAACCACAAGGTGAACAAAAGCAGTACTACGTATACTCGGTACTCAAACAAGGAAGATTTAACTTCAGTTCCATCGTACAGAAGTCGAGCATTCAATTCCGACGTCGTCCCCCGAGCCGCATGTCTGCGCCACGTCTTGGACCGAAGCTTAAATAAATCCTCCGCTTCCCGAAGCCCGTTACCAAAGCAAATAAAGTGCCGAGCGGGCGCGCACGGGGGTGGGTGGTCCGTTGGCGCCAAGTTTGTGGGGAAAACCGCTAGAAAGAGGGGTGAGCTTCGGTGCCGTCCCGGACACCGCGCCGGTCCTAGTGGGTCCAAGACTCTAAGCTGACAGCCGGGCCAATCACGAATCGGCCGAGAAAGGCAAGCCGTGTCGTCATTGTTTACGGGAGTTCGTCCCGTTGGATTTTAGCTTAAAGCTCTCTTCAGACTTCTTTCAATTACCGTTTTTTCTTCTTCTGGGGGAATGAAGTATTCCAATCGGTCGACAAGAATCGCTACACACCCGAGACACTTCCACGAATGCGAAAGATGGTCTCGTACCATCATGGCCCGAGAAAGAGATGGGCAGCAGCAGCACCCAAGACGCTGTTATATATCCCCGCATCTTCATTTCTTATCCTTGGCCATTTCTTCTTTTTACGTGGACTTTTTGGTGTTTCTTGGCGAAAAGTCGGAGTTACTCCGCCCTTTACCCCAGCTCCGTCCCCAAGCTCTCTTTTTCCCCCGCACACTTGCCTCTGAACGGTTCTCAACCCCGGATTTCGTGTGGAGAGGCGGCGTGTGACCGCACCTTTTCCGTGTTGGTGGTTGGATAGGGAGGAGGTTTGGAGAAATCGCAAGTTTCTGACGGGCTGGTCGACTGCGTGGTGATTGCTCTGCTCGCCTTTCCTAATTGTCGAGCTTGGCCCGAGAACGAAAACGAGTTTTTGTTTGATTCTTGGCATTCGTTGGTCCTCGGTGTGTGTACTTTCCGACATGCATTCGAAATGTGGTTATCCGTACAGGCGATTGAGGCTTGCTACACCATGTTCATCACGTACGTCAAATGTAGAGTAGAGCTGCAGCCTGCTTGCATGTTCGACCACGAGGCCAACCACCTGGACACCGGGGTAAACGAAGAGCTGAGCCAGGCTTGGAACGACACCGACATTAGCTGTTCCCGTTCTGCGCGGCATATTAGTCTAGTTTGATATGCTCGGTAGAAACAAGTCTTCGGCTGAGAGGATAAGGGACGAAGGAGGGTGCGCAAACCGGGATTCCTGAATGGCTGGGCGACGTTAAGCTACCCCACGGGGGAGGGACGGTGATTACCCCGACTTGGACAAAAGATGAGACGACATGACACCCCCCATGTTCACCGGGGTATGTTTCTTCGTTCTTTTCCGCCGGCAGGGCTTCGGCATGCGGAGTTAAAGAGGTTGATCGTCCGCTGCCTTCTCAGTCATGAGATGTTGATAGTCCCTTCCCGAACACCTCTCTCGTCATACGCTTGAGGCTTTTCTGGCCATAGCGCAACTAGCGGACGTCTTCACCCGGACTCACATTTCCGCGCTGGAGTCTTGACTTGAGAGAGAGACTGGATAGCTTCTCGCAACGATGGCGGACGCGAAGCCGTCCGAGGTCGACCACACCTCGCTACACAATGACACCCGATCCAACGACATCGTCGACGACGCGCCCAAGGCCTCGATCGAGGCCGAGGCGCAGAGGCGGGGCCTGCAGCCGCCGCCCATCGTGGCGGCCATGAGCCACGAGTACCGCGCCGCGCTGGAGAAGAAGCTCGTCCGGCGGATCGACCTGCGCCTGCTCCCGATGACGGTCGTCTGCTACATCCTGTAGGTTCTCGCTTTCACTCACTGACGATGAGATAATATTTCGCTCTGTATGCGACGGCTTGGCTGATATGCGCAATCTGGGGAACAGGAACTACATTGACAGGAACAACATCGCGGCGGCGCGTCTGGCCGGTCTGGAAAGGGACCTGAATTTGGACCCGGACTCGAACCAGTTCCAGACGGCCGTGAGTATCCTGTTCGTAGGATACCTCCTCATGCAGGTGCCTTCGAACCTGTTTCTCAACAAGATCGGGAAGCCGGCGCTGTATCTCCCGACATGCGTAAGTCAACAACCTTCTCAGGAAGAGGAATAACACCGAGCTTTGACGGCAGCAGGCTGACAAGATCGTGGTTGGTAGATGGTCATCTGGGGCGTCATATCCGCCGCGACGGCAGCATGCACAAACTACGCCGGCCTTTTGGTCGTCCGTTTTATCCTTGGTTTTGTAGAGGCTGCGTACTTCCCGGCAGGTACCCTTCCCCAGCCTGAACTCCTGCGCACTGCTAATACAAGACGATTTAGGGATGCCTCTACTACCTCAGCTGCTGGTACAAGCGCGAGGAGCTGGGCCTGCGCACGACGATCCTGTACACAGGGTCCCTCATCTCGGGCGCCTTCTCGGGCCTCATCTCGGCCGGCATCACGGGCAACATGGACGGCGCGCGCGGGCTCGGCGCCTGGCAGTGGCTCTTCCTGATCGAGGGCGTCGTCACCGTCGCCGTCGCCATCTCCGCGTACTGGGTCCTCCCCAACTTCCCCCGTACGACCTCGTGGCTGAGCGAGGAGGAGATGGCGCTGGCCATCTGGCGCCTCGAGGAGGACATCGGCGAGGACGACTGGACCAACAGCAAGGAGCAGACGTTCTGGCACGGTTTCAAGACGGCGCTGGAGGACGTCAAGACCTGGGTCCTGGTGAGAAATCCCCCCTATCGGTCACATCTTGCCAGAGCTTCCACTAACATCTGAAAACCCCAGCTCGTGCTCATCTTCTGCATCGTCGCCTCGGCCTCCATCACCAACTTCTTCCCGACGGTCGTCCAGACGCTGGGCTACAACAACGTCATCTCCCTCCTCCTCACCTGCCCGCCCTACGTGCTCTGCATCATCACGACCTCCCTCAACGCCTGGCACGCCGACCGCACCGGCGAGCGCTACTTCCACATCGTCGTGCCCCTCTGCGTCGCCATGGTCGCCTTCATCCTCGGCGCCGCCACCCACGCCACCGCGCCCCGCTACGTCGCCATGATGCTCCTCGTCCCCGGCGTCTATACGGGCTACACCACCGCGCTGGCCTGGATCAGCAACACCCTGCCCCGCCCTCCCGCGAAGCGCGCCTCGGCGCTGGCCTTCATCAACGCCGTCTCCAACTGCTCAAGCATCTACGCCAGTTACCTGTACCCGAAGAAGGACAGCCCGCAGTTCATGGCGGCGTTTATTCACAACTGCGTCGCGTGCTTCATCGCCATTTGCGCGGCGACGGTGTTGAGGGTTATGTTGACGCGGTTGAATAAGAGGCTGGACAGGGGGGAGTATGTCGAGGGGGCGATCAACGCGGCGCCGGGCGAGGCTGTTGAGCACGGGTTCCGGTTCAAGGTTTGATCAGTGGCGAAGTTGGTGATTTCTGGGGTTGGGCAGTGTCATTTCAACTCCAGGTCACTATTACCGATGTGTGTTTGTTCATAAGGCTCATGTGTGATACCGAGCGAAGATCTTCAGGCGAGCAATCTCATCGAATTTCATAGCTACGATGTAGAGCATTGAGACAGCTTGAGGAGTATCGGGTCAGTGGCATCCGCACGTGACCTGGCCGTGATATCCAACGTCTAAAATTCTCAGCACTTGGTTTCACGACCCTCAGTGCTACATCACAAAACCGGCTTCCCACCGCTTAGAATAGACGACAACCCAATCGCGGCGGTCCAATGACATGGCAGTGTCTCATTGCCGTGCGGGTGATCTACCGGGCGATGAACCATCGTCCAGCATCCAGGGATATGTAAGGCGAGCCAGCCGTATCGATCTCACGAGGACTTGGCAATTTAGATTATTGAAGTTCCTTAGTTCAATTCATCTCACATGCTACTGCCTAGGGGAGATCTTGGCTCATAATAGTCGCTTAACATAGTTCAAAACGGTACATTTGAAAATACTAGATATACTGCGTTAGGGACTTGGCGATCTCCAAAATGACATATCGTGGGCTTCAAAATAGACTGAAGCATGAAAAATAGCATGTGACGACCCAATCATCGACAACACCTGGCGACTCCCGCAGGGGGTGGACAAGCGCAAAACCCAAAACCGAAACGGCTTTTCCTCATCCCATCTCAGACTTCACCTCCCAAGTTACCAATCACCTGCAGACACGTTAGATTGTCATCGAATCGTCTCTCAATTGAGTTGGGGTTGATTGATGCGCCTGACAGCTTCATCCCGGCCCCCGTCGCTCGTTCTCCGCAGCGAAAGAACAAATAAGCTTTGAGGCGATCCTTCTTCTAGAAAGACTAGAACCACTACTTGGTAGACAGAGTAAACGTAGAAAATGCGTGCCATAGTATGTTTGTGGCATCAACCCCGCGCGCGGCGGCAGTCCGTGCTCGGGTTTGTCCCGTTCGTCCTTCGGATCAAACCAACGTTTCGGGGTGGCAGTTCGCGAAATAGACTCTTTTGACGAACTTCGAGAAGAGAGTTGACGAGCCGCAGTCGAACGAGAAAACGAGAAAGGCAAAAAGGAAAGGTTGTGACGATGTGGGATGATGACAATCTCATTTTGATGTTTCTTCTTGTTTTTGATAATTCCAATTTATTTCGTTAGACTTCAGTCCATCTAGGTACTCGACCGTGCCAAATGAAACAAGCCCCGAGTTTCGGACCTCTGAACCCCCGTTTGCCGGCGGCCGCCGCCGACGCCAGCGCTGGAAACAACGACCGGGGGTTGCGGGGTCGCAGTGGGAAGAGACAGTGCTGAAGAAATGTCCCAAACATTCGAATAAGTGTCAGTGTCAAGTACTACAGAAACCCAAACACACATGCGCAATTTCAGCAGTCAACAACACCAGATATATATCTCGACTGCTGCTCTCTATGAGATCGAGGAACGTGCAACTTTTCAGTTTACACGCCAACGACACCTCCGGGGCTCTCCTGCGATCTTTGTCCACCCCCTCCTACAAGTTTCTCGGCAGCAACACCGAAGCGGAGCATCCGACAAGCTCCACTAGCGCCGTCCACCGTGTGTTGCCTCCAGGTTGAGTGTGTGCCTTCTTATCGACCTACCGTACTTGGCAATTCCCATCGCCCCTGGGTAGGTAGGCATTACGTACATAATCTTCAGCGGGCACCGGGGAAAGATATATCAGTGGTTGATAAGTTTCCCGCGTGGCCGGCACGGGTGTCATTCTGGGACTGTCTTTCGCGCCTTGCTCGGTTATGTCAATCGACTGACGACCTCCACCTCTCCGAGTTCGCTATCGCGACATTCTTCTCAGTGACGCCATCAATTTTCCTTCATCTTCGACGTAGCATACTTTTAAAAAAGAGGGGATTAACGACTCTGGATTCTTCTCAGCCTCTCACTCGTCAACAACAGCAAACGGCCTGTTTCCCTTCATCACTTCGTGGTCGTCAAATCTCGCTTCTTCAATCTGCCCCTCCCCCGCGATAACCCCGCATCGAAACGACTGATCATGCCCCTCACAACCGGCTCCCTCCTCAACCCGCAGGCGCAGGAGTTCGCGAAATTCCCCAGCAGACGCAGCGTCGTCCACAGCACCAAGGGAATCGTCTCGTGCACTCAGCCGCTCGCCGCGAAATGCGGTATTGAAATCCTTCAAGCTGGCGGCAACGCCGCGGTAAGTCGCTTTCCGTGTCTTTCAACGTACCAAGCTCTAGCTAACGTGAAATCCGCAGGACGCCGCTGTCGCTGTAGGTTAGTAGAGACAGTTCTCTATCTAGATTTTTTAGGTGCTGGGTGTCACACGAGATGATGCGGATTGCTGATGTGTCTCTTAAAACAGCCGCCGGTCTCAACATGACCGAGCCGTGCTCAACCGGCATCGGCGGCGACATGTTCATCCTCTTCTACGACGCCAAGACGGGCAAGGTCTCCGCCATGAACGGCTCCGGCCGCTCGGCCAAGAACGCCACCCTCGAGACCATCCGCAAGGACCTCGGCCTGGCCGAGGGCCAGGACGGCAAGATCCCCATGAAGAGCGTCCACGCCGTCACCGTCCCCGGCGCGGCCGCCGGCTGGGTCGACACCATCGAGCGCTTCGGCAGCGGCAACGTCACGGTCGAGCGCGTCCTCGCGCCCGCCATCGAGCTGGGCGAGAAGGGCTTCCCCGTTTCCGAGCTCACGAGTTCTTACGTATGTGATGAGTTCACTGAGACACTGAAGATGAGGTTTGGCTGACTTCGAGTAGTGGAATCAAGCCGAGGCGCAAATCAGGGCTGCCTCGCCCAACTTCGCCGAGATGCTCAAGAAGGACCCCAAGGCCGCGGACGGCGTCAGGGCTCCTAACCCGGGTGAGATCATGAAGAACCCCACCCTGGCGCAGACCTACCGCACGCTGGCCAAGGAGGGCAAGAAGGGCTTCTACACGGGCCGCATCGCTGAGGAGCTCGTCAAGGTTGTCAAGGACCTCGGCGGCCACCTAGAGCTCGAAGACCTGGCCAACCACCTCGAACTCGGCAGCGAGCCCGTGGACCCCATCTCTCTCAAGTTCAAGCCCGTCCTCAAGAACCAGCAGCAGGCGAACGGTAATAGCGACGTCGCCAATGCCGGCGTCGAGCTCTGGGAGCACCCACCCAACGGCCAGGGTATTGTCGCCCTCATGGCTCTCGGCATTCTCCAGGAGCTGCAGGCCTCTGGTGCCGTCCCGGCCTGGTCCGCCGAGGACCACAACACGGCACCTTACCTACACGCCATCATCGAGGCCCTCCGCCTCGGCTTCACCGATGCCAGCTGGTACGTGACCGACCCCAACGTCGTCAACGTCCCCTCCGCGGGCCTCATCTCGCGCGAGTACCTCGCCGAGCGCGCCAAGCTGTTCGACGCGAGCAAAGCAGCGACAAAGCTGCACCCGGGCGAGCCGCCCAAGTTCGTCTCGCCCGCGCTGAGCAGCAGCGACACCGTCTACTTCACCGTCTCCGACGCCCACGGGAACGCGGCGTCCTTCATCAACAGCAACTACGGCGGCTTCGGCACCTGCATCATCCCCAAGGGCTGCGGCTTCACGCTGCAGAACCGCGGCGCCAACTTCAGCCTCGACCCGGAGCACCCCAACAAGCTGGCCCCCCGCAAGCGCCCGTACCACACCATCATCCCGGGCATGGTGACGAACCAGGCCGACGGGTCGTTGCACAGCGCCTTCGGCGTCATGGGCGGCTTCATGCAGCCGCAGGGCCACGTACAGGTCCTCCTCGGCCAGCTCATCGCGGGCTTGTCGCCGCAGCAGACGCTCGATGCGCCGCGCGTGTGCATCAACGCGGGTTTGCCGAGCAAGGAGGCCGATTTCGACTGGACTGTTAGCGTGGAGGAGGGTATGCCGGAAGAGACTGTCGAAGGCCTGCGGAAGCTGGGACACAAGGTGGAGATCATCACCGGTTCGGAGAGAGGCCACTTCGGCCGCGGTCAGATTATCAGGTACCACGTCGACCCCGTCGAGGGCACCGGCGTGTGGTCGGCAGGTAGCGACATGCGCGGTGACGGCGCGGCGTACCCGGCTTTGTAAGCATTGAAGTATGTAATGTGCGTGATGTGAGGACAATCTAGGATGAGCATGAGTAGTGTGCGAAACGCAAAAGAATGATTGGAGATTTCCGGATATCGTAGAAGAAACAAATACCACTCTATTTCCCCGGGACCTGTTCCGCGCGGTGGCTGCCATCCCTTCGTATGATACAATTGTACAAATAAATAAATCGCTTGTCTAGCGCGCGCGAATGCGTCATCGACCCTTCTTTTACTCCTTCTTCTCGCTCTCGGCCTCGACGAGGACCTTCTTCTCCTCGAGGAGCTTGGCGAGCTCGCCGTTCTGGTGCATGGAGACGAGGATGTCGCAGCCGCCGATGAACTCCTTGTCGACGTAGAGCTGGGGGATGGTCGGCCAGTCGGAGAACTCCTTGATTCCTGTGTTCGCCTAGTCAGCAATTGTCCCTCGTCTACGACGAAACGTTTGTGTGTATAGGGCCGCACCTTGTCGCAGCTCGGGGTCGGCCAGCACGTTGAAGGCGGCGAACTTGTTGGGGTCGACGCCCTGGAGGCCGAGGATCTGGATGGAGGCGCGGGAGAAGCCGCACTGGGGGGTCTCGGGGGTGCCCTTCATGAAGAGGACGACGGGCGCGGCGCCGACGGCGTTCTCGATCGCCTGCTTGGTCTCGTCGGAGATGAGGCGGTGCTGCGTGAGGAAGGGGAGGGGAGCTCGGAAGGCCAGCGGGCGAGCGGCCGGGCGGGCAGCTTGCCGCACGAAATTCTGTTGATTCGGGTTAGCGGTGGCCGCCTTGTCATGGTGTTGGTATGCGGAAATGTGAGGTCTGTACTTACTGAGCGGACGAACGACCTGGCGAACATATTGGGCTGTGGGGTTGTATGTTGGAGGGGTGGTCAACGGATGGCTATTGACGAGAATTGAATTTGTTATCGGATTAGCTAGCAGTGGGTGATGTAATGAGGTGTGCCATCGGTGAAGGAGCTCGGGCCACATCTCACCGAATTCACCGAGAAGCATGTCCCCGCTATGGATTGTCCAAAACCAATCAAGCAACTGCCAAAAGTCATCTCTTATTCAAACCATTGATTGCACCTATTTCGAAGTTGACAACTTCCCTCGCTGGCTCATAATACTCAGCCTCATTCACCAACAACCATGGAGGATTTTTTCCGGGGCTGAGCGAAATGTGTGTCCAGGCCTTCACCTGCCCCAAGATGGTCGGCGAATCGAAACAACAGGGCGAAACAACCGTGGCTGCCAACGCCGGCCAATGGATGGCTGTGATGACATGCAGCTGACAACCTGGTGCCCTACCCAACTGCATATAGCCTGATCAACCCCGCTCCAGGCTTTCGAGAGGCGACTTGCCATTGTCGAGAGGCGGCCTCATCTGTCGGCATGACCCCGTAATACGGCAAGAACAGGAGCGGCAGAACGATCTTCGATACAGCACAGGCCAAGATGGACCCTATCTCGGCTTTCAGCTTCGCCGTTAATATCCTTACCGTCGTCGATATTTCGGCCAAGTTGATCTCGACCGCCTCGGAAATCCGGTCTTCAGGAGATACTGTCAGCAACAAAGAACTAGCCGCCGACGCTCAACGTCTCAAGTCATATTGCCAGAAGTTCTCGTTGGAAACAGCAACCAAGTCAAGCCAACAGAATGCTACTTCGTCTATTTCTAGCGAAGACGATGCAACACTACGACTCCTGGCCTCCGAGGCAAAAGGCATCGCAGACGATATACAGGACAATCTCCTCAAGCTGAATAAGCAGCGAAGCTTCATGCGAGTTTTCAGGCAGTCAATCCGCAATACTCGCAAACAACCAGAGATGAAGTGCAAAGCCGAGCGACTCAAGGAGATGCAGGACAAGATTATATTCAGCATTATTGTCTCACTGCATTCGAGCGTGGGCACTCTGACGCTGAAAGATGATGCCGCACTGGCTCGCCTTGACGAAAACACGAGAAGTCTCATCCAGACTATCCTGTCGGGCAACGACACCACACGGGCGAAGATAGAAACACAAATGGCCAGCTTGCACACAGATATTGCGAAAAACCACGTTGAGATGATGGGCTCTTCAGGCCAGCGGCACGACGAATTGCTCAGTGCCATTCGGGTTGGGCCAACGCAACACGAAGCCCCTGAACGCGAAAGCGCTGCCGAACACAAGGAACGCGTCACGAGAAGCATCCTCGATAAGCTATGGTTCTCGAGGATCAAGGACAGGTACGAGGACATCAAACCGGCACACCAGAAGACCTTCGAGTGGATATTCTCAGCAGAAGCCCAGATGGAATCCAGCTGTTCATTCTATCGGTGGATTGAGCAAGGTAGCGGCCTCTACTGGATAAGCGGGAAAGCTGGGACCGGCAAAAGTACATTGATGAAGTTCCTAGCAGACCATGAACGCACAAAGGCGCTGCTTCAGCATTGGACCAAGGGCCAAGAATACGTCACTGCGAACTATTGGTTCTGGGATCAAAGTCAAGACCCTTTGCAGAAATCTATGGAGGGGCTCTACAGAGGGCTTCTGTATGATGTTATCAGTAAGGAAACTTCTTTGGCTCCATTGCTGTTTCCAGATCAGTTCATCCCCGAGAGACAATGGCAGTTGGAATTTCCTACTCCGAACGGGCTACGAAGAGCTTTCAACAGACTTGTCTCCATGGAGGCGTCCACTGTTCTCGTGGTTCTTCTCATAGATGGTCTGGACGAATACGAAGCAACTGAGATTGAGCAACTCAGTCTTTCGGAAAGCCTCAAGGCTGCGGCGCAGTCGCATCACATGAAGATCATCGCATCAAGCCGGCCAGAGACGGTATTCGAGAATGCGTTCAAGGACTGTGATAAGCTCTATCTTCATGAGCTCACCTACTCCGACCAAACCTCTTTCACTAAAGACAGCCTGTACAAGCATGAGCGAATGCAGTATCTTGCGAGTTTGCCAGGAGGCAAGGAAGATGCGGCTGAACTTATCCGTTCAGCCGCGAAGAAGTCTGAAGGCATCTTCCTGTGGTTACGCTTGGTCGTGGACTCACTCGTCCAGGAACTGGACGCTTGCGACGTGATCAAGGATCTCCAACGTATTCTCGACCAATTCCCACGTGGTCTTGAAAAGCTGTTCCTCCATATGATGGGACGCATCAGGGAGGATCGTCGTCAACGGGGGTTTATCGGCCTTCTAGTGATGCAGCGAGCACTGGCGGTTCGCAATATGCAGTCCCCCCGTTCAACCATGCTTATCAGGCCATGGCTTCCTCCCAAAAAATCAGAGGTGTTTCGATACTTCTTCAATCTGACAGCAATCTGTTTGGATGGCGCATACACCGACCTTGACAGAGTCGTCAACTTGAAAGCCGAATCGCTCAGCGGCGCAGCTACTGAAGATCTGATCCGCAAAGTGGAAAATCGATTACGGGGCTGGTCTGCAGGCCTCCTGGAACTTGGACCTCGTGATGTCACAACTTTTGGGGAAGCTTCCACGATTGAAACTCAATTGACTCGATTGAGGAGCTGGTCTGCAGGTCTCTTGGGACAAAGACCTGACCTAGAGGTTCATTTCATGCACAGATCCGTGGCCGAATTTTTGGATCTACCAACCACACGTTCAAATCTGATGAACACATTATCTGGCTCGCCTTTCGACGTAGATCTCGCCCTGATGCAAGGACTTCTCGTCAAAATCAAACGAGAGGTAATCTTGTGGGGGTTCCATGAATTATCTCCATTGTGGGACTTCGTGGAGGTCATTCTGAGAATTGCGAGGCAGATAGAAGACACTCGTACAGATGCGGTCATCACCATCTTGAAAGATCTAGATCGGACGCTGACATTGGTCTTTGCAAAGTCTGCCAAGAGTCTGCGGCGTGTGACAACGTCTCCTCGATACTGGACAGACCACTTTCCCTGGGACACAGCACTCTCAGGAAGGGGAGACTCGTTCGTTTCGGGAAGAAGACCTAGTTTCTTGTCTATCGCCGTGGAAAGCGGGCTGGCAGTGTTCACTATCAAACAGCTGGAAAATCCAGAGATGCTGCCCTTGGTGAAGACTACAACAGGTTTTCCGTTACTAGGCTTGGCATGCAGACCACCGCCGTTCTCTTTAGCCATCCCAGGCGTGATTCGACCAGAAATCATCAGGAAACTCATAGAACTTGGCGCGGACCCTAATCAACGCTACCTAGATGAGACATCTTCGTTCACGCCCTGGGAGCGCATGCTTCAGACGGCCATCGACCTGCAAGTCGTCAGCATCAAGGGTGCAGAACAGCTCTCAGACATGCTCACGATGTTCATCAAAGGCGGCGCGGATCTACGTGTTGTGACGCACGTCAGAAGATGCGATGATCTCGTAGCCATTGAAGGTTTTGGTGTTCCAGATGATCAACAGGTCAATCCTGAATACTTGAAACATGATCCATTGGTAGTGCAGGATGTTGTACGTTACGCCTTCCTCCACGGCAACCTGCCTGCTCTGATGAGTAGACCTTTCAGCGTACTTAGGGAATTCGTGCCATTCCAAGACCTTGATGCATGCTGGGGCACCAGTATGCATGAGTGGCGATGGCAGGCTGAGGGTTTATATCTTGTAGGATCCGATCCCGCGAACGTAAAGCGGGCAGATGAAAAGGCGATTCGGGAATTGGGCCATCGCTTGCTGGAGCTCATACATGTTTCCGGAAATGCTGATAGCAAAGTGGTCGAGGACTTGGATAATAACGAACAAGAGCAATAATAATGGTAATGGCAAGTACAGCAATTGATATAGAGAGGAGAAGGATTATTCATTTGCATATCTGATCATACTAAAACTTGCGATGTCTACTGGGCTCTTGAATCACTGCTGATGGCGGTTTCGAGTAAAGGACAAACGTCGCTCACTACATGGGCCGAAGAGCAACAGAGCGCTGATTCGCGCCGAGGACCCAGATATCGCGATGGAGATGGCTAAGATATGCTGGACTTCTGAGCACCAGAAACTACGATCCGAGTGATACGCATACCAGTATCTGGGGCGCGATGGCTCGCCACAAAGCGCCTGGTACGGAAGAGATACATGAACTCGGAGCCAGATGGCGGTATCTTGCTTATCTTAGACAGCGCTGGGCTGTCTGAGACTCAGGCGAACACGGCTTTTAAGACCATGGGCACTGGGGTCTTTTTAGCTCTTGTTAAATTGCATCTTGGAATGCCTCTCAAAGGTTGGTGCTTTCTCCGGGGCAAAGTTTATCATGACGGAGATACCGAATAACAATCTTCCGCTGGCCTGTCATGTAGCGCACTTTCTCTTCGGATTCCACATCAACCAATTGCGAAGAAACAAGCAGGAAACCGGCGTTTACTTTCCGCCTCTTCCGCAAACTCCCAGCTGAGCTCAGACTCATGATCTGGGAGATGGCAGTCCGGACCTCGATAGACGAGAATCCTCTCAAGCCAGAACTAGGTCCGAACCCAGGCATACACATGTTCCGCGTCCTGGGAGAAGAATATGCCGCCCTAGGCCGCCTATGCTACAAAGCATTCCTCACCCTCGACAACAACCTCTCCGGCCGTTGGTGGAAGCAGAGTCCATCCACATTGTCATAAGGATAGCCTGCAAAGAATCCAGATGTATTGTCACAAAAGTCACAACCAAGCAATTCGACAAGATCTTCCCCAAGTGGCGCGAGGCTGCGGCGTCATGGGATCCCTCCAGGCATGGGAGGGTCGGGGTTCGAGTACGACGACAGCTGGGCCTTCGAGCCGTACGAGGACAACCTCCACGACTTGGCGCCCTTTTTCTGTTGCCATAAAATCCAAATTCGTTGTTGTCAACCTCATGGTATACGCACTCGCCTCATACCAGGGGGTCAAGCCCCAGTCGCTTCTCTGTAATATCGACAATCTCCTCCCACGCCATCATGGCGCCGGACCCCGTGTCTCCGCAGGCGAGCGTCTTCTCCATGGGCCTCAGCACCTCGAACCACTTCCACTCCTCCTCGAGGACCTTGATCTGCTTTGCGGTAATCGGGTGGGCGTGCATACTACAACAGCACGTCAGTCTTTCCATCCAAAACCAAGTTGGAGGGAGCTCGTGAGAGGCGTACGCTGTGTTCATGGCCGTAGCTACCAAAATCTTCTTCGGTTTTCCGTCAATCTTTCCTTCGGGGTCCCAGGCGCGGACCACGCTCAACATCAAGCTTGGATTGTTAGCATACGCGGTTGAATATGTTGCCAGAGAGGACTTACTTATCCGAGAATCCGTTGACGATTTTTGCAAGCGAGTTTGCGCTTAACGGTGCCTTTTTCCGGTGATTATACGTCAATGAAGGCGTGGAGGGGTATGACTTACGATGAGCATTAGATCAGCCCACCTCCTCAACTCGATGTGAAGAATAGACGCCCCCCGGACCCATGGACGTTCCCATTCCTGGTCATCTGCGAGTCACAAATCAGCTCAACTCATCGCGTAATGCCATTCTCCGTAAAGAGATTTACAACTCACCTAAATACACGCCATCAACTCTGGGCATCGCGCGGATGGCCGACAGCGAAGGCTGTTCCGCCGTCGACCCGTTCAGAAACCTCGCCGCCGACGCCGTGAGAACAACTCGTATAGACAGGTTTGCATGTCTCTCGAGGGCTTGGATGATGTCGGGCACTTTTATGACGGCCACGCTCCCGCTTGCCGCGATCAGGAGGTTGGTCTTGCCGTTGGAGCGAGACGCCGCTACGTCCGCGGCTGGGTCTGCCGAGGACATGTTTATTTTCTATGATTTGTACGGGTGAGAATCAGTCTGGTGGTAACTAGGTGATGATGAGTAGCTTGTTGGTGAACGTATCGTACAAGACACAAGACCTAGCTAAACCCCGCTCACAGTAAAGAGATAAGACTCACATTATTCAGAATGAGGAACTCGTTCATTGAAAAGTTTACTTATAAATGAGTGTTTGGTGAAGTCTTCCGTGAAAGCTGAATGGTCAAATGCAGCTCAGCCTTGGCAGTGAGAGGTAGGTTGGTGATTACGGTGAGTAGGTTGTAGGTGAGAAAGCAGCCCGATTGCGGTAATTCCGTGAGTTCGGAGTCACTCACTCAGTTAAAGTGGGTCGCACGGCCCCGCCACAACCGGGTGGTCTGAGAACTTTCCAGGCTGTGGACTAAGCAAAATTTGGTTGATGACAAAAATGTGAATCAAGATGAGATGAGACAGCGACAAACCCGTTCGAGTTGTGGTTCACAATGTCCGCTATCGCGCCTTCATATTGGTTCACGGAGCGCAGGTATGAAGCGGAATATGTGTGAAAAGTGAGCGCATTCACTTGAAAGGGCGTTGCAGATCGCATCATGAGTTTCGCCTCGTAATTCATCAATTTGGCGTGGTATCAACTAGAAGAGGTCATCAATCGCCTTGTCGGCGTCCTTGCGAATGAGATCGACCATGCCCTGTTTCATGTTATTATTGAGGTCAAATGAGCCAGATGCTGATTTTCTCACCTCGGGCATGATGGGCTCGCCGTTCTTGTCCGTCACGTACTTGAAGGGCATCTGAGTGCTCTCATGCTCGTTGAACTTGAGCTCGGGGTAGGTGACGTAAGGAACCTTGTCGAGGGGTGCTGCGATTTGTAAGTTGATGTATGAATGAGCGTCGTCTCACTTGGTAGATCTTACTCTTCTCCTCGACAACAATTCTTGTGACGCGGACCGCAGTGTCGGTGGTCATTTGGGTGGGACCCAGGCGTCGGCCTTCAAAGCCCTTCTTCCTCAACTCGGAGGTCCGGTCTGTCGGGGGTCAGAGGAATGCACTCATTACACGCTTATTGTCATATAATGTTACCTCTCGGAGGGTCATCGCCTGGTTGGTGAAAAAAAGACAGTCAGAAATGTGATCTCATAGCATTATGCCTAAAAGCCGACGGCGACCAAGATTGCATACCCAAGATACCGCCAAACAGAAAGGCGTCAAATTTTTCACCATCCTCCGGGCTCAGGTCGCTGGCGGCGGAGGGGTCGAGCAGGCACACGCGGGACTTGTCCTGGGCGTACAGCTCCTCGACACCCCGGTTCTCGGTCCTGAGCGCCGGGACCTCCTTCAGCTTCTCCGGCACGACGAAACCGGCCGGCAGGGAGGACAGCAGGAAAGTGCCTCCGGCGGCGTGGGTTTCTTTGGCGATGGCGATGTACTCGAGTTCGGACCACGGGCCCAGCTCGGGGTCGAGGTGCTCGACGATGTACGTCTTTCCCTGGGTCGCCATTCTTGTGTTGTCTCTGTCTGGTGCGGGACTCTCTGTTTTGTCTGGGGGTGACGCGGAGGAGGTGGGAATAATGCTATGCAACCGAGAAAGGCCGCGTAATAGGGAGCCAGTGGGCGTTGACTGGCGTGAGTTGGTCAAACGCTTGTTTTGGAGTCGGGCATTCAGCAGTCGGGTTGTGATTCTGGGGAGGCGCTTGTCGGCCTGCAGGTGAAGCCACAGCCATAGCTAAACGCTCCTAGTCCTGCCCTAACTTCTAAGAAGGGCGCCGGCTTTCGCACTTGGCAACGGCTGTCCCGACAGACGGGATCAACACCTTCCTTCCACTTACACTATCCGACCGGCTACAACATGCATCGACGGACGACCCGGCATTCTGTCTCTGTTATTGATGAGAGGGTCGATATCTCCGCAACGGTCTGGAAACATGTCCGTCTTGGCTTTTCAAGGCATGGGGAGTCGCGAGCAAGGGATAGGAGAAGCCGCACTGCGTGATTGTCTCAGGTTACACGCCTAAAAGCTGGAGACTGGAGATTGGGGATTGGAAAAAGCGTGTTACATAAGCCGGACCCTGAGGTTTTGAACCAGGTATCGGGGCCGATCTGTATGGGAATTCCGCGCGTACTGCTGTCTACATGTAACCCGACGCTCCTTAGCGATCCATTCCGTCCACCTCCCGGTCTGATAGCTGCGAGGACGGCATGAGGGGGTTCGATCGACAGGTCTAGTCGAGTCGAGTGAGGTATTCTTACCCAGCTTGTGTTGTGTTGAGGCTATTCTATTGATCAATGTATTGAGCTTCATTCCTGTACATAAGCATCGAGTCCTCCAAGGGAAAGAAGCAACCGAGCGCAAAGGTGGTGTACACTACCCAAGAGAGAGCTAGATTCAATCTTATACCATGCCTCATTCAAGCTCCCTTATTAGTTGGCTAGAAATCCTAGTTAAGGTAAAGGTATCTGAAGTCAAAGACTTACTTTTCACCTTGAAATCTAGACGCTGAGGTCATGTCCGCGGCGGCCCCAGAAGCCCCTGTTTAGAGAGTGCCACAGTGGTCCCCCGCCCCTGCGGCATCTTTCGGCTGCGCTACCATCCGCCGGTCGATAACGAGCCAGGCGAGCAGGCGAACCCCCAATTCCTAGGTACTCTGTACCGCAGTACCAGTCTGTGCCACGCTGCGCCAGCCAATTTTGGCAAGAACCTGGCTAGAGCAGGGATTACCGGATGAGAGGTGCGCAACCACCAAAAGGTCCAGATTACATACAGACAGAGTACACCTTTCAGATCTCGCTTTGTCCTGCCCAGCATCCATCCATCCAACCTTTCGCATCGCATCTTTTTTTCCCCATCGCCATTCCTCCCTCCCCTCAAACTCTCGACGAATATCCTCTCCCTTCTCTTCGTCTTTCTTTTTCATTTTCTTCATCAGGGGAGAGAGTCTCTATGCAATCACGGGTCGGACTTGGCCCGTAACTTTTTGTCTAATTCCCATCTGCAGGTAGCCTCGGGGAGGACACACTTCCCCAATCATGGCTATCCTATCGATGGTGCCGCCGCTGCTGCTCGCGCTGGCATCATGGACCACGCCGGTGGTCTGCCAGAGCGCCGCCGACTACTTCGTTCACGATCTGCCCGGCGCACCCAAAGAACCCTTTATCAAGATGCACGCAGGGTAAGGACATTCTCTCTCCCGACGCTCCCGCTCCCGCCCTTGGCCCGCCCCCATCGCAAATCTGAAGCTCTCCAGCTGACGCGCGTTTCATCACAGCCACGTCGAAGTCACCCCCGAACACAACGGAAACCTCTTCTTCTGGCATTTCCAGAACCAGCACATCGCCAACAGGCAACGCACCGTCATCTGGCTCAATGGCGGTCCCGGCTGCAGTTCCGAAGATGGCGCCTTGATGGAGATCGGTCCCTACAGAGTCCAGGATAAGGATCACTTGACGTACAACAATGGTTCCTGGAACGAGTTCGCCAACTTGCTGTTCGTCGACAACCCGGTCGGTACCGGTTTCAGTTACGTCGACACCAACTCCTACTTGCACGAGCTTCCCGAAATGGCCGAGCAGTTCGTCAAGTTTCTCGAGAAGTGGTTCGCCATGTTCCCCGAGTACGAGCACGACGACGTAAGTCATCACAACGCGGACCGCATCACAGGGTCGAAACTGACAAATTGCAGATTTACATCGCGGGCGAATCCTACGCTGGTCAGCACATCCCTTACATCGCGAAGCAAATGCTGGAGAGAAACAAGAAGCCCGGAACCAAGAACATCTGGAACCTGAAGGGTCTGCTTCTCGGAAACGCTTGGATTTCTCCCAAGGAGCAGTACGACGCGTATCTCAAGTTTGCCTACGAACGGAACCTCATTGAGAAGGGATCCCCTGTTGCTTTGAAGCTCGAGCAGCAGTGGCGCATCTGCCGAACCTCCCTCGCTGTGGAGCACACCGTCGATTTCTCCGAGTGCGAAACCGTCCTGCAGGATTTGCTCGCCGAGACGGCCAAGGTGAATGCCAAGGGCGAGCGCGACTGCATCAACATGTACGACATCCGCCTGAAGGACACCTACCCTTCGTGCGGTATGAACTGGCCTCCCGACTTGGTCAACGTTACTCCTTACCTCAGAAGGGCCGACGTCGTCAACGCGCTCCACATCAACCCTCAGAAGAACACTGGCTGGAAGGAATGCAACGGTGCGGTTGGTGCCGCTTTCCGGGCCAAGAACTCGGCGCCCTCAAGAGACTTCTTGCCTGACCTCCTCAAGGAGGTCCCCGTTGTGCTTTTCTCTGGCGCCGAGGATCTCATCTGCAACCACATCGGTACTGAGCAAATGATCGGCGACATGGAGTGGAACGGAGGCAAGGGTTTCGAGGTTTCTCCCGGCAACTGGGCTCCGCGTCGCGACTGGACCGTCGAGGGCGAGCCCGCTGGTTTCTGGCAAGAGGCGCGCAACCTCACCTACATCCTCTTTTACAACTCCTCCCACATGGTCCCCTTCGACTACGCCCGCCGCTCCCGCGACATGCTTGACCGCTTCATGAAGGTTGATATCAGCTCTGTCGGCGGAACCCCGACGGACTCCCGACTCGACGGCGAGACCGGCCCCGCCACGTCTGTCGGCGGCATCGGCAATGGCACCACCACGGACGAGGAGACCCAAAAGAAGCTGGACGAGGCCAAGTGGAAGGCGTACTACCGCTCTGGTGAGATTGTCCTGGTAATTGTTGTCATTGCCGCTAGTGTTTGGGGATGGTACATTTGGCGCGAGCGCCGTAAGCGCAGGGGCTACCAGGGACTCATGGGCGGCCCGCCGGCGACGACGCAGAGATCTGGCGGGCGGGGCCTGGAGGGTTTCCGTGACAGGCGAAACGGCGGCCGCGACGTTGAGACGGGCGACTTTGACGAGAGCGAGCTGGACGATCTGCACGTCGCGACCCCGACGACAGAAATGGACAAGGACCGGTACAGCGTCGGAGGGGACAGCGACGACGAGCCCCAGGAGAAGAAGCCCTCAGGGGCGGCAAACGGCAGCCGCTCAACAAGGTGAAACTGACGCCTTGAGGGGGGTAAAAGCTTGGTTTAGTTGAACTACTATGATCGCTCCTCGGATCAACAATGCATGGGATCTTTAGCGGAAAACAAAACAAAGGAGCTCCAGATACGAACGGGATATTTCAGCACGGGACGGAGTTGTTGTGTATCAATAGTATAGAGCAAAATCTTTGACTCTAGCGAAATGTGATTTTTTCTCGTTTGGTTACGGCCTAATACCCTTACTCTGCCGACGGATACCATGTTCCAAAGGTCGGGCTTGTTCTTCCATTTCCATCCTCCTATATGCCAAGTGTTGTCATCATCATACGCCTCAAACACCCAAATTTTCTAGTGAAAAAAAGCGCCCCGAATCTGGCGGTTGTGCCGTCCGCCCATCCATGAATAAGCCGCCGCCGGCCCCTTCCCCCTTTCCCATGAAATGCATGTAAGTGCCATGTGTAAAAAAGATATATGTACCAGCCAGGCTTTGCCCACATTCGAAATGCCGGAACTCCAATTTTTGATTCCCAGTGTTTTTGAAAGCACAAAAGAGAGAATGACGTCCTTTTTTACAGTTGGATGTCGTTGTTGAGGATGCGGACCTCCTCGCCGGGCTTGAAGGGCGGGAGGCCGATGTAGGGGCACCCGTCGCAGCGGAAGGCGTCGCCGAGGGCGCAGTTGCCGCAGGAGCCGACCTTGCCCTGGACGGTGAAGTCGACCTCGGCGAGGTCGTCGGCGCCGAGCTTGACGGGGGCCGCTGCGGCGAGGGCGGCGTCGGCGGCGGCGCGGGTGGCCGCGTCTTCGGCCGCGATGCGCTCGGCCAGGCCGCAGGTGCAGTCCTTGCAGGCGCGGCGGCGCTTTCCGGCCTTGGGGGCGCACTCGGGGGCTGTTTTTGGGGCATGTGTTAGTTTTGAAAGGTTTGAGGGGGGGATGTGTGGGTGGACGTACGGATGTTAAGGGGACGAGAGAGGTCTGCGTCGGTCAGGAGGGTGTCTTCGTCGATCAGCTCGTCGTCGTCGTCCATGTCGAGGTCGTCGCTGAAGTCGACGAAGCCCACGCCGGCCGGGGGCGCGGAGACGGGGGGCGCGGAGACGGGGGGCGCGGTGGTGGGTTTGTTGTTGAGCGAGACGGCGCCGTTGTTCAGGGAAACCGCACCGTTGCCGAGAGACACGGCACCGTTGGTCGCGGGTGCGGCTGCCTTCTTCTTGCCGAAGGAGAGCGTGACGACCTGGTCCTCGTCGTAGTCGGGCTTGGAGAAGCCGCCGCCGGGGGCGGCGACGAGGCCGGCGAGGACGGCCTCGCGTGCGACGGCGGGGTCGTTGGCGAGGTTGCCGCCGTCCTGGGCGCGGAGGAGGGCGGAGGGCTTGAGGGCGTCGGCGACGGCGGAGAGGACGGCGCGGTCGGAGAGGAGGCGGGTGGACTCGACTCGGGCGCCGTCGGCGTCGGTGAGGACCAGGACGAGGTCGTAGGCGGACTGGGGCAGGGAGACGAGGCGGGCGGAGAGGCGGTCGAGCATCTGGAGGTCTGTGGCGGCGCGGTCGTGGGAGGCGAGGGCGGCGGAGAGCTTGTTGGGGGCGGAGGAGAGGGAGGGAGGGGCGAGGAGGAGGGTTCGGGTTTGGGGTTGCTGCTGCTGCTGCTGCTGCTGCTTCGTCGCGCCCATGGAGGGCGTGAAGTCGAAGTCGGGGGTCGTGTCGAGGGTTACGACGGAGGGCGCCATTGTGTTCGAGCTGGAAGGGGGGTCGCGTGTGACGGTTTGGAGAGTGGTTTGTGGGTTGTCAGACGTGAAGACGGTTGGTGAGGAAGAAGCCGTGAATCAGGCGTTGAGAAGCGTGAGGTGATGGTGGTATGGAGTTGCGTTTCTCTGTCTTTTTTCTTATTTTTCCCTTTTCCGGGTTGAATTTCCGACTGAGGAGAAGGGGAGGATGTTGATTGACGGGATCTTTCTTGGAGAGGATTAGTCGAAGGCAAATTCGGAGGAAAACTGTGCAAACACACTGTCTGCGTTGTAGTGCTTGATAAGCGTGGAATGGGTGAGGGGTTGGCGGGGTGGGCACCGTAATCGGGAGAGGGCGTCACACGGTATTGCGTAAGGTATGCTGATCTTGGGGGTCCAGTACGGAGCAAGGTGAGGTAGAGAGTGAGGTGAGGTCAGGTCAGTCGGGTTTGGCAGGGAACACGAAGAAGAAAAGGGGTCCGGTGCAGATGTAAAAGAAATAGACCTGACCAACGGGCGGCTAGGTACGGCAAGGTAAGGTAAGGTAGATACGAGACGGAGATGCAATTTTCTCTACAGGCGTTTCTCTCGGATTGTTGCTTACGGATGCACGAAAACCATTGGGCGCCGGCGTCAATCAAAGCATGTGTGCCTGCCTGTCCTGCCTGCCGTGCTGGCAAGGTTTTTGATAGGGGTCCGAAAGCGGCGCACCCCGCCCCCATTTTCGCATCGACAGTCACTCACAATTAAAGCAAACCCAGGGTGAGTGGTATGTCATAGTACAGAAATAACAGACGGGGGGTGGGAAGGATTCCAGGTCATTACGCAGGAGGTGGTAAGGGGGGGAATGTCGACTGCCCAACCAAAAGCCTCACGATTTCCAATTTCCAATTCTCGAGTGTTTGAAATTTTCATAACCCCCGTGGATCGTGAATCGTCCAGGTGGGCGGTGCAGAAAACGCTAGCAGAAAAATTGATAATATGGATTGACCATAGGCGGAGGGCGCTTTCCTTCTTCCCACGGTGCTGACCGAGCATTGGTACTGACAAAACGGCTTTCCTCGCGCTATAATTGGTCAGTAAAATCTGCCATCCCCCTGGCGTGGGGTTGCTGAACATTTCCAACGGCCCAGCCAGCTTCTCGGAAAGCCAGGTCCTGCAACAGCGTCGTAGCCAAGCCGAATCTATTCGCGGGGTTTCTGCGTCTTCGGAGCACCCTTCGGCGCTGTGCCTCTCGACCTCTCGAGCCCCCTTGACCGGCTTGTGACAGACCCTGCCGGCGGCGGATGATGCCGCTTCCGCCGTTGTGATTTCGAGTTTCTGTTTGTCATTGCGACCTTGACATCCAAAGATAATGGGCCGGAATAACGAAGAAGTGACAACTGCTTCACTGCGAATTGCCCGGCTCCTGATTCGTCCCGGCCATGGCGGAACCACGAGTTGGCTGAAAGTAAATGCTTTTGATTTGTGATACACATGAAAATTACTCCCGACTCTATGTCCGTCTGTCCAGGAGAGATACCAGACCACCGCACACATACACACACACAACGCCCGTGATAACCCCCGTCTACAACTTGAAGCTGCTGCTCGTCGCCTTGACCGCCGCCTTGGCCTTGTTGCCGTCCACGTCCACGACCTCGCCCTTGCGGTTGATGACCTTGACGCCGCCCTTCTTGAGGTCCGCGAGCGTGTCCTTCTGCATCTGCGCCTTCTTGCTGAGCGGCTTCTTGGCGTCCGTGCCGCCCGCCTTGCGGATCCGCTCCTTCTCCCGCCTGCGCCGCCGCACCTTGTCCTCGCGCGACATCTCCTGCTTGGCCACCGGCAGCCCGTTCTTGGCCACCACCTCGCCCTTCTCCGCCGTCTCCCGCCCGGCCTTGTAGACCTCCTGCGGCGCGAGCGCGCTCTGCCCGCCGCTGACGCCCTGCGCCGTCGCCGGCTGCGCGTCCTCCATCGCGATTGTCGCCGCGTCCGACACCACCGTGAGCGACGGCGCCGCCGGCTTCGGCTTGTAGTGCCAGCTGCTCAGCGAGTCGAGCCGCGCGCTGAGCTCCTTCCACATGTTCTCGATCTCCTTCTCCTCGCGCTGCAGCTTCTCGTCCGACTTGGACGCGTACCCCTCCGGGTCCGCGTTCTTGAGGTGCTCCTCCTCGTAGACCTCCGCCAGGCCCTTGCCCTTGGAGTCGTCGAGCTCGATGAGCCCGCGGCGCGTGCTCTCGGGCAGGGAATCGGCGCCGGGGCGGCGGCGGATGACCTCGTCGAACTCCTGCGCCAGGATGCGGCGCTTGATGAGGTCCTCGATGCCCTCGCTGACCTCGGTCGTGATGACCGGCACGGGCTTGCCGACGTGCTCGAAGGTAAGGTCTTCTTCCAGCAGGGAGTTGACGGGGCGCTCGACGGCCGAGGCCTCGCCTGATAGTGTCCACTGGCGCTTGGCGACGGACTCGGCCTCGAGCTTGCGGATCTCCTCGGCGAGCTTGGCCTGGCGTCTCTCGTGTGCTGACCTGCGGGACCGCACGTCGCCGGCGGACACATCGGAGAGAGCATCCTCGGAATCCTCGTCGACTTCAGAGTCGTCGTCGAACAGGTCTCTCCTGACATCGTCCATCGCGCGCTGAACATCCTCCTCGGCGATCTCCTTGGGTGCGAAGCGGACTGACTTCTTCTTCTTGTCCTTGGAGCCCTTTCTGGGCGGCGGTTGGAAGAAGTCCTTGAAGTAGATACCGTTCGCGTTGAATTCTTCTTGCTCGTTCATGTCCTCGTCCATGTCCTCGTCGTCGCTGGCGCCCTCGGGAGCGTTGAGGTCCATATCGCCGAACGTTGGGCCGTCTTCCTCGTCGTCGTCCTCCTCCTGTTCATCCTCGTCCATCTCATCTGCCTTTTTCGAAGATTTTGACTTGCTTGAGGCTGATAGAGGGTCGGCGGTCCAGTCAATCTCTTCATCGTCGCTGGCGGCGTCGGTGTTGGGATCTCCTCGTGCATCTTGCTCCTCGAAGTATTGTGTTTGCTTGTTGAAGTCGTCGATCGAGAAGAAGCCATCATTGAGGCCATTGGGATCCTCGACGTATGTTTCCGATACGGCATCGTCGTCGTCATCGTCACCTTCTCCCTCTCCCTCCTCATCCTCACCCTCATCCATATCTTCGAGATCTCCGTTCAGACCCTCAACGTCAGATCCGTCCTCGAGATCCTCTTCGTCCTCCTCTCCTTCCACGCCCTCCAGGTCAAATCCTGAGACTTCCTCATCTTCGGAGTCCTCCTCGTCGTCATCGACTTCGGAGCCTTCCTCGTCGGACTCTGCAAGGCTCTCCTCGCCGACGTCGTTCGTGACAATTTCGTTCCGGTCCTCAAGCTCCTGTAACGTCTCTTGGGAGTGCTTCAGAGCGCTCTGAATAATGCGTCGCGCCTGCTGCCAGACCTGGGTCGTCTCGAACCCGTCCACGTGCACCTTGCGAATCTTGAGCACGTCGGCCCTGTCGCCGTCCGCCCTCTTGCGCTTCTTGCTCGCCTCCTTCAGCAGCCGCAGCTGCTCGTCGCTGATCTGGCCGGCGAAGGCGTCGAGCGTGTTCTTGACGACCTGCAGCGAGGCGGACGGGATCGCGGGGGGCGGTTGCATGAAGGCGTGGCGGTTCGCCGGGGCCAGGCTCTCGAGGAGGGAGCGCACATCGGCGGCGCTGGCGCCGGTCATGTTCGGGAGGTGAGCAACCATGCCGGGGGCGAACGTGAGGGTGTTGGAGGACTGCGATGTCAGGGAGGAAGACGAGCTGCCCGCCGCCATGTTGTTTGTGCGTTTGTGGGAGTGTTTCGGCTGGTCGGTGCAAGACTTCAACTTTTTTTTTTGTCGGGCCTGGCACCTTGCTGCAGTGTTCGAGCTGCAAAAAAATTTGGGACCCCGCAAAACGTCTAGGATGTGCGGCCGAGATGTGATTGGTCAATGAGATCAGTGCTTCATGGGTGTTGTGCTTAGGTAAGCTTCGACCGGACCTCTGGAACTTGTCGGTTCATCTGTTGTTCAACATCGACATCACGCAACATCATATTGAGTTGAACTGTGCAAACTCCAGAGTGTTGAAAATGCCATCACATATTACACGTTCAACGAATTTCTCAGGCATCTGAGGTCCAGGTAATACGAGTTTCCTCGAGTACGTGGCAAGTCCCTGCCGTCATTGACCCCGCACCGGAGATCAGTTATCATCATTTGACTTCAAGATAGGCGGCACGTTTTGGTTGGTTTGTTCCCCAAGCTTCATATGTCAATTTACTGCTCTTTCTTTGGATGTCTTGTTGTGATATTGTTCATCTCTCCAGGTCGAAGAAGAGTTCATCAGAGTGCTTGTAACCCCTATTCATTCTGAGAAGCGGTATCAACGCATGGTCGTCCGCGACTCGTCACCATCAGGTTGCTTCCAGGAATGTCCTGTCCCGCATCTCTCTTATCAATGGAATTCGACTTGCCTTTCTCGGCTTATCATCCCACCTCAAGCTCACAGTAACATCCCTGCCCCCCCAGCTCCTTCATGTCCAAGTGCGATCCCCAGGTGCCAAGCCCCGAACCAACTCACCTATCCTCTCACCTCTCATCTCTCACTCAACCTCATCGCCAAGTCCACCAGAAGCCCAAGATGTCTAATCCGCAATTCACATTCCGCCAAACAACCTTTACATCCCCTTCCCTCCTCCTAACCCGTCGCAACACCGTCTCCCGCATCACCCTCCACGCCCAACTCTCCCAGCTCCGCGCAAATGGCCAATACGACGCCTTCAAGCTCAAATGGCACCCCATCTTCGACGACAACTCCCGCTGGCCCGCGCCTCTGCATCTCTTCTGGGACAGCGACATCGGCAAGTGGATAGAAGGCGCCTGCTACTTTCTCCTCGGCGAGTACGACGTCAAGATCGACGCCGCCGTCCGCGAGCTCGTCGAAATGATTCGCTCCGCGCAGCACGACGACGGCTACCTCAACATCCACTTCTCCGTCGTCGAGCCGGGAAAGCGCTGGACCAATATCCGTGACATGCATGAAATGTTCCGTCCGCCTCCTCCCGCCGTTGAAACGTGAATAATGTGAACTCATAAAAGATATTAGGTACAACGCCGGCCACCTCATCGAGGGGGCCCTCGCGCACCAACAATACTACCGCAACGACCGCCTCATGGAGCCCATCCAGAAATACATCGCCCACATCCGCAAACGCTTCGGCCCGGGCGAGGGCCAGACGCGCGCCTACCCGGGCCATCCCGAGATCGAACTCGCCCTCTTGCGCTTCTACTCCGCCACCGGCAGCCAGGACGCCTACGACCTCGCACGCTTCTTCCTCGAGGAACGCGGCAACCCGGCCGGCCAGGACGGAAAACACTTTTACGACTGGGAGGCCGAACAGCGCGACGAGCCGCGGTGGAAGAGGCCCAACTCGTGGCCCATGGACCGCTCCTTCTGGTACTGCCAGGCCCACGACCCGATCCTGGAGCAGACGAGCGTCGAGGGCCACGCCGTCCGCGCGATGTACCTGCTGACCGCCGCCGCAGACATGCTGAACCTCTCGCAGGGCGCGGGAGATGGCCAGCTGGCAGCCAAGACTCAGTCGCTGGCGAACGCCGACGAATGGCTCACCGCGCTGCGGCGTCTCTGGTCCAACATGGTCACCAAGAAGATGTACGTCACCGGCGGCGTCGGCGCCGTGGCGCAGTGGGAGGGCTTCGGGATCGACTACTTCCTGCCCCAGGGTCCCGACGAAGGGGGGTGCTACGCCGAGACGTGCGCGTCCGTGGGCGTGATGATGCTCGCCGAGAGGCTCCTGCACGCCGACCCGGAGCTGAACGGGGAGTACGGCGACGTGATGGAGCTGTGCCTGTACAACAACGTCATGACGGCCATGAGCGCGGACGGGAAGGCGTTCACGTACGAGAACCAGCTCGCGAGCTGCGAGGGCGCCAGGAGCGAGCGCGAGGACTGGTTCGTCTGCGCCTGCTGCCCGCCCAACGTCACGAGACTGCTCGGTAGCATCGGGGGCTATCTGTGGGATTACGGCGGTGAGGGGGACGCGGCGTTTGTGAATGTGCACTTGTACACGAGTGCTGAGGTGAAGTTCTCTGTGGGGGGCAGGGAAGTGATGTTTTCGCAGAAGTCGAACTGGCCTTGGGAAGGGAAGGTCGCGTTCGAACTCAGGGGTGCCAAGGATATTGCGACGACGATCCGGCTGCGCATACCAGCTTGGTCTAAGGGCGACTTCGTTCTCACGCCAGCGCCTGGATCGGACGACTTCAAGGTGGAAAGGGGATACCTCTACCTCAGTCCGGCATACGTCGCAGAGAACTCCGCCTTCACTCTCGACATCCACGGATTCGCTCCGCGATACATCGCACCTCATCCGTACACGAATCAACGCACGCTGAGCCTGGCGCGGGGACCCATCGTTTACTGCGTCGAAGACGCCGACAACGAATGGGAGGAGAACCATTTCAAGGACATTGGCATCAAGGCTGGAGAGGATGTTGAAGAGATCTGGCGGATTGATAAGATTAGAGGAGAGGAGTACTTTGCGCTCAAGACCATCGGACGGGAGCGTACGCCTGATATGCTGGAACGTGGAGAAAAAGGGGTGAAGAGGGAGCTTGTCTTTGTGCCGTTTTACTTCCGCTCGAATAGGGGCGGGAAGGGGCAGATGAGGGTTGGGTTGAGAGATGACGGGAAGCACTGAAAATGATCAAGTAGTAACGGCTGGATTCTGCATTTTTTGGCCCCCAACGCGACCGGCCATGTGCAGTGAAATTTGCTGCAACCAACCGCCTTACTATAAAGTCTATGCACTCTCAGTAACTTAGCACCAGCAGGTAAGGCCAGAAAAGACGTCGTATGCTTCGTCTCACGCCGAAATCAACAGGGTATCGTTGGTATAACGAAAGCTTCGCTTCGAATCCGTGTTGAGCCAGATTAATAGTTTCCCGGGCTCACACATCTTCTGGAATACGGCAGATGAAACAGTGACGACCAATGACGGACAGCAGAGATCACGGATGGCTGAGATGGTTGTCTGGTACGCCTTCGGAGATCAAGACACATTATTCTTACGAGGAAGCGTCACCCAAGAATCTGACATCCTTGTGTAGTTTCGAACTCATGTCCGAAAGCACAATGGTTGTTTTTAGCAGTCAGAAACGTCGGATACGGCGCTTTTAAATGAGAGCAAAGGTATCTTTCTATATAAGTGAAGTTCTTTAGACGGAAGGATAAGATTTCATCGTCTCGTTCGCCACTGTCCTAGCCACTCCGGCGACTTGAGGGGCTAGCCACCGCGACTATAGAAGCGCAGCACCACCGAATCTCAGAACATGACGAAAGCAATGAAGACAGCGGAATGTGCCTGCTTCTTGCTCGTAGGGTTCGCATCAAGGTCATTGGTGGCCGTGCTCCTAGCTTTGATGCCCTGATCAATCAAGCCGCAGTCAGCCAGAACTCCAACTATTGTCCTTCATCTCACCTACTTTCAGCTTGTTCATATGGGAACCTCATAGGTGTGAAATGTACTCCAGCTGAGGAGACTTAGCATAAAGTGAGACGCATAGAGTGCGCGTACATAGGAATGCATTACTGTTATCCGTGGACTTCAACGCCGAAGTTGCCCAACAATATGACCCGTGGACCTCACATGAGACAAATCGAGAGACAAAAGCCCGTATCGAGCTGGGCTACATTTATAACGCCCGACACTTTTTCTTATATGCTTTCCAGCCCATAGCTGAGCAGTTTGAAATCGCAGTTGCTTCCAGGTCTCACTCTGCTCCCGCCACTTCTATCTCACCGACGTACTCGCCTCAAGAACCATAATGTGGAGTTTCAATGTGCTTTCTGATCAGGATAATATTGATCCAAGCCAGCGTGTCAATTTCAGGAGATCGTTTGAGCCATCTTCCTAGATAGATCTTCTATACTTAAACACGAAATCATAAACATACAAGTAACCAGACAGAGTGCAGCGTGAGGGAAACGACATCGGAGATCCGCGTCAACTTTCGAATTGTGTGACTCTATCTCATGCAGGTGATCAGATTTGACATTCCTACCCAAGGTTCCGTCCAGTATCATTCACAAACCCTTGACAACCGGATGAAATACCGTATGCTTGCTAGGGGCGAAGACTGGTCCGCTCGGCAGGGGGCGATTCCCCATCCTTCTGCAGTAGCCAGACGCGGATGGAGATTTATTCTAGCTCCTTTCATGAACGCTGCGTCTGAAACTGCTCCCCCTCATCTTGTTTTTCGTCCCCTGGCATCGGGGCGGTGGCCCGGCCTCGCAATGCCGCCGGAGGTCTAGAGAGCCGCCAGGACTGCTCCCATCCCGCAGAGACGAGTCTGCGGACAGGGTGCCGGGACGCGAACGGGCATAACGGCATGTCGTTGACGAGCTCAGACTTGACGAAATGAGCGTCCAAGACTCCTCGGTCGATTTCAACTGAGCCACCAAAGGCATGTTGACCGTTTGCACTGCACAACTTACTTTTGACTTGCAGCAAAAGTCGGTTCTAGAGCAGAATAACACAAGGACGATCGACAAGAATCCCTATATTATATGGAAATTACGAGGTTCCAATGCAAAGTCCCAGCCAGATTCCGCCATGAAAAACCCGACTCTTTGAAACACTTGTCTGGGTAATTCCCTTTCACGTACCCTACATATGAGAACTATTCCGTATACGCTAGAGTTTCTACATGTAGCAATAGCTAGAAAGAACAGCTTCACAGAGTGTTCCCACCAAAACTCTACCTCGTCGTCTCTATCAAACGTCATGTAACCACGAAGCCTGAAAGGAGGTTGAAACGTAAAAACCCCTCCGGCATGCCTGAATGCTTCAACTCTTTCGAATCCCATGCATTGCCCCCGAATAATAATAAACCCATCAAGGACCTCCCCAAAAGCGTTCTGATTGGAGACCGGGGTAGTGTTTGCTTGGATGATTTCCGCTAGGGGTACCATGCCATACATGCTGAAAGGGAAGATGTTACCATCTATAGATGCCCATGTCCACGATGGTGCTCTCCACTTGGTCGGTCGTCCTCTGTTCGCAACTGGGAAAAGCCCATGTGGATCCTCTTGTTGCCATAGCAGACCGGATAATAACTCATTCTCCCAGATGCCAGCCAGGTATCGACCGAGTTTACCCGGGCTTTTATTCTGGTAGGCTTCTGCCATTCCTGTAAAAGCTGGAAGCTTGTCACTTGACTGGGTAAGGTTTCGAGCTGAGTAGTTTTGCACGTTACTTTGCCACTCGCTAATTATTCCAGTTCCAGCCTTGATTTCAGACCTGAATCGGTCTATGAAGGGCACTGTTGACTGCCTCGGACACAAGAAGTAAATATTACACGATACGAAAACAAGTTGTCTGGATGACAAATTCCATTCCTGATAAGCCCACGCACGACTGTTCAGGGGTTCATACTGGAAAGGTACGACCTCGCCCTTCATAGCCCACGTATATGGTGATGGTTTGCTATAGACCCGTGTTGATAAGTCGAAAAAGCCATCCGCGCAGTCTTTGGCATTAGCTGCATATATTGTGAGATATGCGTTGTTGAAGATATTACCCATTCGGGCGGACTCAAGTATCCAGTCTTCTGAGCAGCCTTGGATGATACAAAGTGCATCTATCCAAAGGTAGTCAACTCCGAGATCATAGGTAACCCTAACAGCATCCTGAAGTGTCGATGGTAGCTCAGAGAGCGCAAAACCGCGTTGGTGGCTGGCTAACGTGTCCGTTGTCAAGAGGAAATTGCTGGATTGACCCCAGCAGTACGATAACGCAATGTACTTTGTCATTTTGCTGAGGTTTTGCTCTCCTGTCAGAACGAGCTTGATGATGTTTTGACGATAGTCTCTGACGTCGAGAAGTCGCGTTGGTACATAAGAATCGACTGCCCTTGGTCGACAACAAGAATGACGGGAGTCGCATGTGTGTATCAAGTCTTGAATCTTCGGCCATCTGGTAGGATCACCTGTTGTGAAATCTTTGGGTCAGACAGACTGGATAGACTGGAGGACGTGTTTCGATTGAGTACGTACGAGGGAACTGGTGGGCGTACAAAGCCAGGGAGAGCTGGAAGTCTTGAGGATCTGATTGCTGCGATGAGCCGCGTTCGGCCGTGCGATGGGGAAAATTAACAAAATAAAGCCTGATGCTTGTAGCAACATCCCCGAGCCACTTTCGTTTTGATTTTCTCTCCGCCATCATGTATCGATGACGCTGAGAAACGAATTGGTTCCATAGGCTGTGGTACAGATTAGGGGGGGGGGAGAAAAAAGAAGAAAACTTCGTTGGAGACGAAGAGGGAAGATTCATTAAGCGGTTGTTTAAACCCCGCAGTAATGCCACTAAGAATGGTTCGGCTGAAGCCTGCAGACAGGTGTAATCTTTGGTTGGGCATAGACGGAAGCTGTGTAACATAGCCAAGCCAGCCTGCTACGCTGCACACCACCATCGGTTGCGTCTAATAATCCGAGGGCAAATAACAACGCATTTTTGTGTTGAACACGACCTATAGTTTCTAAGATATATGCAGCAGGAAACTGGGCTTCAATGGCTGCAACGTGGGAATCTCCATAGACTACGTCTACGTTGCGGTCGTCCAAGAAACAACCTTCTAGAACTGCAACTTCGGTATCGACATGGGCAGCGACACAGCCGGCGTTGTATCGTTGGTTGACTCGAGCGTGCAGGCCTGCAACGCTGGTGTCAACCAAAAGGTGACTGGATACGGCGAGAAGTATCTCGTCATTGATAACTTCAAGATGACCGACGCCACGGCTGCCAAATCGAGTATTGATGGATCGACATTGCGTTCAGGAACGGTTCCCGCTGGCCAGATATGGATGATGGGATACCTGATCTCAAACAACTTGCAACGAGGTACTAAACCAACGTGGCTGGCCAGAACCAGTTTCGAGCCCAGCGTTTTGTACTGGTATAACCTAAACGCCCAGAACGTGTATATCTCCTTGGAGCAGACGGAGAGCACCTACTGGAAGGGTGAGGGAACGCCTCAGCGGGCGCCGTGCCCGTGGTCGTAAGTCAATCCCAACCTCCCGGCCCCGTTTGACGTAGACCGGCGCGAAGGCTAACCCAAGCAGTCGGCGTCAAATCGGCCTGTAATGAGTGACCCGGACCTCAGCAACTGCGCGGCTCAAGACCAGAGCAGCAATGACCGATGTTTCCGGTCGTGGGGTAACTGCATGACCGGCAGTTCCAAGGTCCACGGATCGGCATTGCAGGTGTTCTTCGACAAAATGAACGACAATGAGTGGCATAAGGCGCAATGCGAGAACACTGGAGACAACTGCATGACGAACCGAGCCTTTGCAGACAGCGCCAAGTCGAAGTATTGATTCGGCCTAAGCTCCAAGAGCACCACGAACCTGTTGTACGATAAGACGGGCGGTGAGGTCTGGCAGATCGTAGCTAACGACAACCCGGGCTCGTGGAAAGGCGTGCTTGCTGCGTACCTTCGAGACTTGAGAAGCCGCGGCAGGCTGTGCGGCGTCACAACGGAATCTGCAGTCGAGACAAACGCTCGTCCCGACAGGGGTTGCATGTCTTGGGACAGAAAACAGACATCAGAGGCCGTGCCGTGTCGGTTGGTAGCTTCAATGAGGAGCCCAACGTTGGGAGTCGGATGAACTGTCAACGAAACGTCAATTCGGTCGTGTTGAGACCAGCTTTCCTTCGACGATCTTCTGCCGAGGTCCTTCTTTGTTTGCCCCTTGTGCCAGCGTTGCTCTGTGATGCATTACCGCACTCGGACTCGTTCTCGTCGCGGCCGCCCCGATTCGGAGGCACGAGTCTGGGTAAACCCTTCGTGTCGAGCTTCATATGTTTTCCCCTCTCTCTCTCTCGGCTGCTGTCAAATGCCCATGCTGGGTTTGGTGTTTGGGTCGAGATCTGTTGCGAGGCGAGCATATCTGGGTGACGTTTGGCGATCATGATCGTGGCGTGGGCATCTGGAAAGCATGAATCGAACGAATGCGGAATGCGATTCGTTCCATGGCCGGGCTAGTCGTCTGAAGCTTGTTTCGGAGAAGGAATAGAAAGGCACCAAGCTGGGGTAAAATCGTCTTTCATTGTTTGTTCTTCTTGTCAAAGGCCTCCTCGGTAGCAGTTTCCGGCGCCGCGTGTTTGCTAGTGCCTCGGTGTTGGCGAAACAAACTTGAATAAGGTACCTGGGTGAAAGACTCGGAGTCTGTTCCTGTGGCTTGAAAGCAGTCTAGAACTCATTGATGACGGCCACTCGGAGCATTGGGATGTGGCGTTGTCTCCGGATTCTGCATCTGAGATGGGGAATGGAGACGGAAAAAAATCAAGGTAGAGAACCGCTGTAGTCATCACAGGATCTGCCTATTCATCCTGGAATGTCATTCGTAAAAAAGAAGGAAACCTGGAAGGAAAGGACTTTTCCAGAATCCAAAAACGGGAGGTGCTCGTTGGTCGGTTGCACCAAGAGGTTAGTGTTGCTGGCATGCTCGGTAAACCCCTCCGGCCGGCGGTGACCCGCTGACGATACAGCGAGCTCCAGCGGTCTGCATCCACTGTGCCCACGTTGATCGCCGGATTCCCATTGCTGGGGTGGTGCTGCACAAATGTGGAGCACCTCACTCTGGGGGCGGCGCGCGGGCGCACATGACGCCGTGCTAAAGTGTTAAATCGCCGAGGTTCACATGCGACACAGAGCGTCATCCAGAACCTGGAAGCTATTCCTCCTCCGTCCGTCCTGCCCCCCAACCTCCGACGCACGGCTTACCGTTAACATCTTTTTCAGTACTTAAAGTATCCGGCTACTCCCCGCGTTTCGGTAATCTTTCGCGATCTGTCAACTTACTCAGTGTCCATCTCTCTATTTTCAATTCGCATCAATCTACCAAGAATCTACTATACATACATCCAAAATGGGTCTCGCCAACGGTACGCGCGCATGAACACTGATTTGCCTGTCAGTGCCTCGGTTGATGCTGACTGCCTTGCTTTACAGACAAGTTCCCCTCCTCTGCCGCGTTCGACGCCATCAACGATGCTTTGAACTCCAGCGAGGCCGACCGCAAGGAGGCCGTCAGCCAGGGCAAGGCCATCTTTGCTTTCAACCTCAAGAACTCTGCCGGAGAGACCGACAGCTGGCACATCGACCTCAAGGAGAAGGGCCAGGTCGGCAAGGGTCTCGGTGACAAGCCTACCGGTATGCCCAAAGCAGGAACTTTAAGTCGAATACCGGAATGCTAATATTTCATCACAGTCACCCTGTCTCTGTCCGACTCCGACTTTGGCAACCTCGTCCAGGGCAAGGCCAATGCCCAGAAGCTCTTCATGTCCGGCAAGCTCAAGATCAAGGGCGATGTCATGAAGGCCACCAGAATGGAGCCTATCCTCAAGAAGGCGCAGTCCAAGGCCAAGTTGTAAGCGAGGCGGTCGTCGTCGTGTGTTGTCGTAATACCCTGTACCATAACCTACCGGTTGGGCTAGTGTTTTGGCTAGATCCGGATGCGCGCTGTCTTGGAGGCGCTCGTAGGAAATGAGAATATGACAAAGTATTTACCAAAACCAAGAGTGCTGCAGCAAAGTTGATGATGTCTGATGTAATTGGGAAAAGGTGTTCCTGGAGAACATGTCCGGTCGGGATGTCCCTGAACGGACGCTGCTACTTAGTTGTGTCTAAGGTCAGCATCGCGACCATCGAGAATTCCGGTCATTCGGGCTGCCGAATGCGCATCGGTATCCGAGCCGGAAGCGCATGGAATGACACGTGCTTCCGTTAGCATCGGCATTTGAGACGGTGTTCAGTGTTGGAGATGAGTCGAACGAATTCCCGACTATTGCCGGTCCGAGTCAAGAAAAATGGGCTGTCCGGAGAGCCGACGCCGCCGACCTCATGGATACGCCGGCGTCCGGAGGCCCCATCGACAGTGAAGGACTGCGCGCGTCCATGTCGAACATCTGCGTGAGACTTTAGGGATATCGCAGTCGCAGGCTGGCCGTAGCCAAGGCATAGGGTGTTGGACGGTCTCCAAGAGACCTCGATAATGACAGGGGCATCGAGTCGCAGGCGCTCGAGGGAAGCGGCCGAGGCGCGTTTCCCCTGGTTTCAGTATCGCAGTCGCATCAGCCAATATGGCTACGTTTCTGTCGAGGCACACGCAACAGAGTCAGGAGTGCAGCTGACTTGAGGGTGTGTTGCACTGCATTTCAAAGGCGACAGAATGTCTTTGAGGATTCGCGATGACTAAGGTCAGCACATAAGGTAAAAAGGAGAAAGCGCAGGCCAATGGAACCTCCGTGGATGAGCAGACGCGACAGGACTGCGACTGGCTGACCGCGGAAGGTACGTACCCACTCCCGCTGGGCAACCGGAACCCTGTCCTGGACGACGGGAGGTGCGACTTCCATTTTGCTGGGGAAAGCTTCTGAGCCTGTGAGCAGTGGAAAAAAAACCCAAGCGCCCAAATATTAACCAATCACATTCGATTATCGTCTCACCGCCAGCAGCCAATTGGAAGGCGGTTGCCTTAAGACTGAGGTTGGTGACGGCAGAAAGGTGGATACACCCTTTCCCGGACCACGAGTGCCTTCCATTGCTTGCTTGCAACCCCTGTGCTGAGTGCTGAGTGTGTGGCCTGCTTTTTTTTCGCTGCACTCGTTGGCCCCAGCCCAGCCCAGTCACTCGTCACCCGGACGTGCCACACCAAAAAACCACCCAAGCCAAAATCTTTCGTGTCGTCCCCGGTCTCTTCCGCCAGACACCACCAAGAGGCGATTTCGATGCGCCATCCAGCATCAGCTCCCTGATCGCTGCGTTACTATCTTCCATTGCACTTCGACCTTTTTCTTGCCCTGCGAGTTCATTGCGTCGATTCGCATCATCCAATTTTGGTCGCCGCTTCCCGCCCTTGCGCCTGCTTTCTTCCCCGTTCCAGCTTTGTCTGCGAATCCTGCGTGAATCGACACGCGACGCTTCCCACGAGGTCGATCCAACTGGCGCCTTATTCATCAGCAACCACTAATTATAATCCCCCAACCGATTCCTACATCATTGTTCATCATCATGGACCCCAGAAACAACACCCCTCGGGCGCGCCCGTCGCTCAAGTTCGCAAACCGTAGCTACCAAGCTTCGCCTCTGAACCCGAACAAGCGAATCGGCACTCCCAAGACAGCCCCGTCTCAGAAGACCTTGAGCCGCGATATCGCGCCCTCGAGTAACCTCAGCACGAGCACCATTTCTACCGCTCACAACCTGTTCCGCTCCTCCTCTATTGCCGCAAGCCCGGCCTCCACTTCTTTCGCGCCGAGCATACCCGCCAGCACTATGAAGAAGGTATTCGCGCCAGGCGCGACCCCGGCCTCCCAGAAGGTCTATCGCGAGAACATCGCCCAGGCCACTCCCCGAGGCCTCGCTTCCAAGTCGAACTCGTCCGACCTCTTCCAGATGCGCATTCCCTCTCCCCCACCCGAACTCACGGGCGAAGCTCTCGCCAGAGACATCCCTCCCGAGCTCGAAGCGAAGGGTACGGTATATGCCGACCAGTATCTCGGCCACCTCGTTCCTCCCGAGTACGACGACCTTCAGCGACGTCAGCTTTTCTGCGTTCTTGACCTTCGTCGCCTCAAATACGCTGCGAACGAGATCTTCGCCAAGAAGGACTGGAAGCTCAATATCATGAACTTCGCCAAGGAGTTCGAAAAGAGCCGGAGCTTGATCATGCTCAGATATGGCTTGTACGAGTTCAAGAACGTCAAGCCTTCGGACGAGGTTTTGAAGAAGTGGAGGGCAGCCCACGGCCTGCCTGATCCTGAGGAGGACACTGCGGATGCCAGCCCCTCCAGGCAGACTACGCGCTCCAAGCGCAAGGCTGAAGAGCAGCTCACTCCCAAGGACACGGCTTTGTCCATCGCTTCTCCTAACAAGAACAATAAGAGACGTGCCGTTGACCGGGAGGAGGAAGAGCCCGTTGCCACCCCAGCTGCCAAGAACAAGAGAAATGCTACTGTAACCGACGAGGCGGACGAAAACCAGCTGTCCAAGTCGCAAAAGCCAGCTTCGACTCCCTCAAACACCAAGAACTTGTTCGAGCGCATCGCCAACAACCAGGGGCCTACCTCCACTCCCAAGGCCACGCCCCAAGCTTCGGAGGCTCCCAAGCCTAACCCGTTTGCCGCTGCCTCGAAGCCAGCTAACGGCGAACCCGCCAAGTCTGTTTTCCAAAACCTCAAGCCCGCCCCAGGAGGCAACAGCAACCCCTTCTCATACCTTTCGGACAACAGTTCCGCGAAGAACAGCGGTGTGGACGCGGATGGCGAGAGTGAGACCGACTCTGACGACGAGGAAGAGGCGGAGGCACAAGAACCCGGCCAGCAGAGCTACGAGCCCAGCGTCGCCGCTAGCGGTGGTGCCGAGACGCCGTTGGCTCAGCCTACCTCTAACCTCTTCGGTGGTGTGAAGAAGCCATTGTTCTCCAGCGGCGTTGCTACCGCGCCTTCCAGCACCTCGTCTGGTGCAAGAGAGACTACGCCAAAGAGCCTGTTTGACCGCGTTAGCAAGGGAAATGACGGCCAGCCAATGCGTTCCGACTCTGCTGAACCGGCCAAGGAACCCGCCCCGGCTCCGGTCGACGCTACTTGGAAGCCGACTAGTCCGATCAAGTTCAACGCCGGCCCCGCTGCTCCGGCCAGCAGTAACATCTTTGGTGCTTCTACCAACGGTTCCTCGAGCTCCATCTTCGGTGCCAAGCCTGCTGCACCTCCCTCCAACTTGTTCGGTGCGCCGAAGCAGGACAAGCCGGCCGACGATCAGCCCAAGTCCGCAAAGCGCTCTCGTGACGATGATGCTGAGTCCGACAAAGAGAACAGCTCGAAGCCTGCCAAGTCGCCCTTCGGTGGCTTCTCTGCTGGTTTCCAGCCGAAGACTTCCGAGGAGCCCAAGAAAGCCGAAGCGCCCAAGCCGGCCGCCCCGGCTTTTGCGTTTGGTTCCTCCGCTCCTAAGCGGGACGAAGCCAAGGCCGCGGCCCCGACCTCGAACTTGTTCGGTTCCCAGGAGAAGCCTCCCGTTATGCAGTCGTCGACGCTCTTCGGAGGAAACAAACCCCAAGAAACGTCAGCGACTCCTGCAGCTGAACCGGCCAAGCCTCTCTTTGGCGCCAGCACCTCCGGAACAGCGAGCCCCTTCCAGTCCAGCACGCTCTTCGGTAGTCAGGCACCTGCCCCTGCACCTACTTCTAACCTGTTCGGCGCCAAGCCGGCCGACACTGCGGCCTCCAAGCCTGAGCCCGCTCCTGCTCCCTCGGCGGCGCCCATGTTCAGCTTCGGTGGTAACAAGCCTGCTGAGCCGAGCCCGCTCTTTGGTGCGCAAAACACCAACGGTGGCAATCCCCTCTTTGGCGGCAGCCCTATGAAGGCGGATCCCCCAGCCGAGAAGCCTGCTTCTTCCACGCCGTCGTTCACTTTCGGTGCCTCCCAAAGCGCGGCCCCGTCCAACCCATTCGGCGGCTCATCCGAACCGCAGACTAATGGAGGCTCGTTCAACTCCGGAGGTGGTTCGTCCTTCACATTCAGTGCCGGTGGCGGTCAGTCATTCAACAACCCCTTCGCGTCGAACGCAGAGTCCAGCTCAGCGCCCCCGTCATTCAACTTTGGCGGCGGCTCTGCTGCTCCCTCCGGCGGATCCGCGCCCTTCCAGTTTGGTGGCGGTGATTCATCGTCTGCTGCTCCCGCGAGCAGCTCGCCCTTCCAATTTGGCGGCGCCTCTTCGCAGCCGGCTGCCCCTGCCGCGCCCTCGGCCTCGGCCTCCTTCACATTCGGTGCTTCCAACGGTAACTCTGCGGCGCCAGCTGGTCAACAGTCCCTATTTGGTGGAAACAATGCTGCCCCTACTAGCAACCTCTTCGGTGCTAAGCCTCAGTCTTCCGGCATGTTCGGTGGTCTGCAGCCGCCTGCCGGTGCCTCGACCACTGGAACCAACTCTCCGTTCAACTTTGGCGGTGCTTCCAGTCTCGCCACCACACCTGCTACTGGAACTCCCGAGCCTGAAAAGGCCGCAGCTAATGGGGACGGAGACGATGCCGAGGGCAAGCCCCATGAACAAATCAAGCTCACCGAGGGTGGTCCTGGGGAGGAAGATGAGGCCGTCGTGCATGAGGTTCGCGCCAAGGTCATGAAGTTTGTCCCTCCTGGGTCCGAGGAGGCAGATGGAGATGACCAGCCTAAGAGCAAGAGCCCCTGGTCCACCAAGGGCATTGGGCCGCTCCGTCTCCTCAAGCACAAGACTACCGGCGCCGTCCGCATGCTTCTTCGCGCTGAGCCCCGTGGCCACGTCGTCCTCAACAGAACAGTCCTGCCGAGCGAGGCGTACAAGTCGAACAAGAAGTACGTTACGTTGACGACCTCGAACGAAACGGGCAACGGCCTCGAGACCTGGATGGTGCAGGTGAAGACTGAAGACCTGGCCGCAGCTCTCGCTGGCGCCCTGGAGTCCCACAAGTCGGCCAACGCCAACTAAGGGACGACGCAAGAAGGAGTGCATGAAGGAGACGACGGAATGAGCCGAGCGTTTTTTCTTTCGATTTATTCCCCTTTGAACCTTTTTTTTCTTGATCGGGCTTATATTAGACGAAAAGACAGCGGGCTCGTTGGCGAAGAAAGGTAAGGCATAGCATTGCTCTTTTGGGGGCTCGGCGTTGGGAAGTTTGCATTTTTACCATTCATTTTCTTGGCGGCAGCAATTTCTGCCGGACGGGGCGCCTTTGAGGTGCGCCCTTCGTCGTGGAGGATTCGCACAGGGTTTCGAGAAGAAACGCAAAAGTACAGATGTAGACGGAGAATGTCTTGTCGGATAGGCAATTGTAGTACATTGACAAGAAATTGTGTACCCCTTATATCATATCCCGTATCTGTTGTGAAGTTTCAATATCGCGTGACGTCAAAAACAGACTTTGCCATTGTCTTGGGATTAAGCCCTTGCTTCATCAGTCGCCTTCGAGGACCCGGGCGTACTGCGGGTCTTTGCAGCAAGCTCACGGTGTGTAGTCCAATCACCAACCACTGAGTTCTATATGTATACACTCGCAAAGACCGCAGTCCGTTTCTTGCTCGTCTGCCTTGTGTATCTTTCCGAATACAAAAACCTACCTTGAGACCTGCGATTGAGGTTTTATACAACCTCATGCTTCGAGACTTTGGGGTTCCCCCTTCTCCAGCAGACATGTATGTAGTGGTCGATGTCTGATTTGTTTTCAGACGACGGAAACCAAATCACGCCGTGCCCTGCTGATGATGCTCCTGTTTGCATTTTCGATTGTCTTGCTCCGTATATTTCTCTGGTTGTCGTTGGTGGTGGCGTCGTATTCCTCCATTCCGAATCGGCGTCGGAGACCTGACTTGAGATGTTCTGCGACGCCGGGTTTTCTGGGGGTGGGGGGGATGTGGCCGAAAGGTGTCTTCACGATTTCGGCAGACTCCAATCTAAACAGCCTGTAGAGGACACGCAATGAAGAACAGATGCCAGACTTAGAGAGCGCGTCGTTGCAGACAAGATGGTTACGGTGGCAGTCCGCCGTGTATATATACAGACCGCGGAGGGCAGGGAGGACGGGATTTATTCAAGCACCCGTAATAGTAGAAGGTTCGTTCTTCGGCCAAAATGACTGCGTGGTGTGCATGCTGTGAATTGAACCCACGTGGACGGGTAGTAGGAAGTTGGGGGTAAGCAGACAACTTTTTCTTCTGTTTGGTGTCTCTGGAGTTGGGTTATTCGGTTTTTAATAAGCAAAGCCAGTCAGCTCTAGACAGACCTCGTGTTAGCAAAAGATCGTTTCTAGAGGAGTTTTCTGATCGTGGCGCCTTGTGGATTCCAAGAAAGATCCTGGGTTGTGGTTCTTGAACCCGGAGATGTGCTGATGATGCCATTTGGAAGAGTTGATTCCTAATGCTGTCTTGATTTTATACCTTTGGCAATCTACGAACGTCAGGAGTGTAAGAGATCCTCTGGGTGTTCTGGTGTTTAGCATCACTTATACCATAGTTACCACGTAGATGAAAAGGAAGTTGAGGTACGGAGACAACTTGTGCTGGTATCTGGCGTCTCTGGAATTGGGTTATATGCTTGAATAAGTAAACCCTGATGGCTCAACATACATTTGACAAGCCACGAATAACGAGAAGGCCTTGTCGCGCAGTTTAAATGCTTCAGCAGGGGCCGGAAACTCCGAGCATAGCATTCCCATGCTGCAAATTGTTGGGGACTCAATTTTTCAGACACAGCACGTTTCTGTGGGATCTATAGTTTTAGCCCAAGGGAGTGGAATAAATAGCACTGAGCGATGTGACCTTGGAGTTCCGAGACGTTGACATACGAAGACAAAAGAGCTTGAAGCAATCATTGATGGGAATGAGCCTCTCGATCCCGCAAGCCAACAGTATTCGAGACAAAAAGGGGTCCGATTTGTCCTTAGTTTGATGAAGAATGATGGTGCTGAAAAAGGCTTGACCAGACTCGTTTCTAGCCAAAATACGGCCACAGTGGTACGGATCGTTCGGTCTGTTATAGTGTAGATCGGATACGATGCCATCAACGACGGTGAAGACAACGACAATGAAGATGACGACGATAACAAGTAGGAACCGTCGGAACAGCCAGCTGTCCCAAAAGGGTATTGACAACCTCAGCGGCGAATCACTACGTCCGCTGATTCCCAGAGCGAGATATCAATGAAATCGAGGATTGGGCTATCCAGTTCTCGCTCTCGGTACTCTGGAGCTGTGGAACCATGTTTCTACCTCACGCCGTTACTTGAATAGCCTCTTGAGTAAGTAGAAGTTTTTATCGAGAACGATAGAGACGTCTTGATCAACACAAATGGAGCTCGGATTCTCATCACCGAACCACCAACGTCAGCAGCGGACCTACCATCACCAAGATGAAGAACTTTTCCGAGAAGCTGCCTGATTGAATCTCTAGCCAGCGGTTACAATCGACAGCATCCTCAAGTCCGAAACCGTTGTGAAGATATACTCCGTTTGTACAATTCTTGAGGCTGTTTTGTGTATATACCGAGCTCGGAGCATTCATGGTATTGTAAACGCTGGTTCGTGCGACGAAAGGATCTGTATCACTGTGAAAAATTCTACTGTCCGTCGTCTCCGATTTTGTTTTACTCAGTCGAGAAATGTTCAAGCTGAGAAACCTGACTGAGCGTGCCGGCCTCATCTCAGGGCGTCCTAACGTCACTCTAGAGTTACTCGTTCTTGAGTACCAATGCAGATGTGCCAGGTAGGTAGGTGCAAGGGAAGAAATGGACATTGTTGCCTGTTGTCTGTATGGAAGGGAGTTGTTCTATATATGCCGGTGCACCCATTCCTTGTTTTCCGAGTCCTGCCATATGCTTTTGGTACCCGTCCTTTCTACTCATGCCGTGATAAAAACATGTTACTGTACAGTATCGGCAACCGTCTCGCCATGATACAAGTCGAGACACAACAGGGCCGGAAGTCGTTGCAATCCACGGGTGAAGGTATCATACACATTCGAAATTCGAACCAGCCCGACGATCAGAGATGCCACTCAGGGAGGGTGAAGTCCCTGTTCTTAGGCCAGTTCTCGGTTCTGCAGGCACTGGAGTTAGCAATCGTACACGTCACGTCAACAGAATTCCTTACCTCGTCGTCAACATCACCGTCAAGCGTTTCCTCCTCTCCACACTCTCCTCCGCGTCGGTCAGATGAAGCCACTTGTCCAACAAGCTCCTCAGCTCCTTGTCACTCCGGCCGGCGCAGTCAATACCACGCTCCGTACACGCGATCCGCGCTTCCTGCTCCTCGAGCCCAGCAGCGCCACCGTCGCGGAGCAGCAACTTGTCATCACCCTCCAAGAAAGCCATCCTCAGACGTCCCTTGCTCGCCCACATGCCCGGCGGGATGAGCCCCATCTTATCCCACATCATGCCGGGCAGGTGCAGGCTGCGGAGCACGTGCTTCCTCGCCGCGCCCGCGACGTTCCCGGACACGACGCCCCGCGGCGCGGCCCTCTCAAAGTCCGCAAACGACTTGCGCCGGCGCTCCTCGGCCTGCGCGAAGCTGGCCTCCAGCTGGCGCGGCAGGCGGCAGGTGTACGGCACGACGCCGTCGACGAAGATGACGATGAGCGGGGTGAACTCCCCGCAGATCAGCAGCACCACGCCGAAGAGCGGCACGCGGAGGATGTCGTGGCGCACGCGCCAGAGGAGGACCCAGTCGGCGCGGCTGAAGCCCTTGGGGACCAGGCCCGGCGTGAAGACCGAGGGCGCGCGGAAGCCCTCGACCGTCTTGGCCCTGTCGGCGATGACGCCCTGGATGTGCCGCCTGTTGGCGAACACGGCGGACAGGCCGCCCTTGTAGAACTTGATGTACGTCTTGGCCTGCGCCAGCAGGTGGGAGAACTTGGACTGGTCGGGCGCTCGCTCGGGGAGCTCGAGGGGCGCCGGGCGGGAGGACGCCGGGGGGTTGATCTTCGGGTTGAGGACGGCCGTCGAGGAGGAGGAGGAGGAGGGTTCGGGGGCGGGTTGTTCGGATGCGAGGGAGCTCGCGAGGCGGCGGTATGGGGTCGTAGTCGTCATAGGCTTCAGGGCGAGGGATAGGAAAGGTGAGTAGGAGCTCGCGCTGCCGCAGAGCAGCGTCGAAGCTGAAGGGGCGCGCATGGCGCGCAGCGTCGTTCTGTGGTTCATCGCATTGGCCGGTAGGTGTGTGTTGCTGGTTCAGAGAGATGGAAGAGGACCCTAGTCGAGTGGTAATTATTAGAGGACCGGTATGGGTAAAAAAAAAAAGCTGTCCCCAAGTATCGAAATTTAGGTAATCAATGCAATTGTGCTGCGGTTTCGTCACTGATTACCTACGTAGCGCGAAGCTTATCGCTTATCGGTTCTTGACCCTGCGGCGGCCCCACTTTCAGGCGCCTACCCGCCGTCTCGGATCCGGGGAACGGCGGTTCTGGCCGAATCAAGCTTTCCCGTTGCCCTTGTTGTTCCTGGTTATTGGATGATCTGGTCTGCGTTTTCGGCGATCGTTACTGGTTGGACCACGGAAGCCCAACCTCTACTCATTGTTGGCTGCCAGCGGCACTGCGCCCGCCAACATCGTGAGGTTGCTGGAATGCCGAAGAGCAAGTACCCCGACCGGCGAGGTGCTCTCATGCTCCATGGACCATTCTAAAAGTGGAAGATGTCAAAAAGTCTGGGTTTGCTTGTGGCCGTCGTACAGTTTTACGACCACCGACTGCCTTGGCGAGAAGGCAATACATTGTGATTATCCAGGCCAAGATCAGCCCAACGGCTGCATTCACGCGCGAGGCAGAAGAAAGAATTGTTTGACAGGCCATTCCCATAGTCACTGTTATCGCCGTTCACTTAACAGCGACAAGAGGCAGGGTTGTGTCGCTGTGCTGATGCAGTGGGTCGTTCTGTTAGGTTCTTGTTGCAATTGTGTGCCTCAGCAGTCATCTCACCAAGCGGGGCTCAGCCCCGGTTACTCCCCTTGGTGTAGTTGGTTCATCACGTTCGACTGTAATGGTTACATTGTCATCGAAAGGTCTCTAGTTCGATTCTGGAAGGGGAGAATCAATCTTTTTGTGTTTTTGAGGCCTTTGTTTTTGGTTTGATGGTCACTTCTTCCAATGCGAACATGCGAATATTTTGCCTATTCGAGTTCTCAAGCGCGATGGCGGGTTTGTTGCCAAAGTTGCCTTCAAAGTGAGTTGAAGGAACTTGAATCATACTAACAAGCTTTTATGAAATACGGTTTTTTGCTACACGTGGGAGAACGATCTAAGAGGAGTTAAAACTCCTATGTCGTATGAGCCGGTTGTATCAGTACACATGAAAGTAGCAACTTCATTTCATGAGACTATTGACGACCATGAACTATTGTCATAGGCGTATACTCGGGAAAGCTGAGCAAACTAATAATATTACCGGAATCATGTAAACTACATACTGAACTGGGAACAGCACGCCTGCCCGATCAATCCAAACTGATCAAGTCCATTAATCTTCATCAAAGCCCATCCCTCACTTCCATCCAAGGACCAAAACAGCATCATCACGCCTCAGGACCCTGTCCAAACCACCTCCTAAACCACCCAACAGCCTGGTCCTCCGCCCTCATCCCCAAGTCCGCCTGGCTCTGATCGTTCGGGTCCCCTCTGACCGCAAACCCGTGCTTAGCCCCGGGATACTCCACAACCTCACAATTCCCCTTCTTCCCCAACACGTCCTTCGCCGCCGCCATCTTGGCCCGCGGCATCATCATGTCGTCGTCCCCGTTCGCAATGCTCAGCGGCAGCACCACCTTCTCCAGGTCCCCCGGCACCGACACCATGCTCGGGTGCGCCGTGTACCCGACGTCGATCAGCGCCTCGCCGAACGGGCCGGACGCCGCCTGCGCCAGCTGGATGGTGTACTTGCCGCCCCAGCAGAACCCCGCGACCCCGATCTTGACGCCCTTCGCGGCCGCCTGCCCCTCGTCCGCGGACCCGGAGGTGGACGTCGAGGATCGGGGCAGCGGGGACGGCGGGGAGAGGCGGAGGGCTTGGAGGAAGTTGGTGATGCGCGGGATGAGGACGCCGGAGCGGGTCGCGAGGAGGAGGGGGACGAAGTGGCGGATCATGGTGAAGGCGCCGACGGGGTAGAGGTAGAGCAGCTTGTACCACCACGACTTCTCGGCCTGGATGCGGTCGCCGACGGAGAGGATGGACTCGGGCATCGCATAGCCTTTTCATTGTTTCGTTAGCACCGGCTCATTTACCCCGTAAAACTGTGTCGTGATTTATTCCAATTTCCCCAGTAACAATAAGGTGAAGCAAGATCAAACCATACCGTTCATCACCTCGGGAAGCAGCACCACGGCCGGGATCCTCTTGGCATACGCATCCGCCAGCGCCCGCGTGTTCCGCAGCTTCCACCCGAACACGTCCGGGATCACGACGACGACCCCCGCGGGCTCGCGGCCCTCCTCGGGGCGCGCGACGTACGTCGGCAGCCCGCTGATGGTCTCCTCCGTGCCCTGCGGCTCGACGTCGCCGCGGAGCGTGCCCTTGAAGCAGTCGGCGCAGAAGCGGGGCGCTTGCGAGGAGTCCGTCATCGTTTTCTTATTCTTCGGTCTTGTTCTGACTTTGGGGTGGTGTTATTTTTGTTTCGTTTGGTTTGTCGCCCGTCAGGTCTGTGTTGGCGTCCGAGTGCAAAGATCTAGCTAGGGATCGGTCACGGGAGGGAAGGAATGTTGAAACCAGACGAGGAAGTTCAATTCCGCGTCGCTTATCCAATTGTGAGTTCGACTACAACGACGCTAAAGCACATTGGCTTTAATGTAAGGTACCTTAGTTGGCAAAAAGTGAGGGATCGAGGGGTGTAGGTGGCCGGCCGTGAAGCTGAGATGAAGTACGAATAACCATCACTTCCCTTTTTCCCCTCATCTACCCGCCACCACACAACATGCAGATCGATCGCTCGGCGTCTGTGTGCCCCCCGCGCCGCGCGATGTTTGGGTTGGATGGGATGGCTCGCGGACGCGGCAAGCTGCATCACCGCGGTGGCGGTAGCGTATGCGACGGGCCCAGCCGAAAAGGGCATGGGGGTTTCATCCGGTGAGCGTCGTTAGCCTACCACACAGAGCAGACGGCCGCGTCTCAGGTCTGGCGCGGGGTTGCGTTGGAGCAGGCCGCATTGCGATACGTAGTGAGCACGTAAGGTGGCAGTAATAGTACTACCGCTATTCTAACGCGATTCACCTCCCGCGCGCATGTTCCACGTAGGGACGGAGATGATTCCGACGGGAGAGAGAGAACAAGTAGACGTGTTTCAATCTGGACCGGAGTTCACTCCTCCTCCTCCAACAACATAACGCCGACGGGACTGTCATTGAAGGTTTTGGCGGGGGGGCGCCGCGCCGCGTTGCTACCTTAGTGCTCCACTAAACGGCCGTCCGTGCCGAGCATTGCGCATTCCCGCATTTCACCCCAAAAAATGTTTCGGGGCCGATCAATCCATTGAATCTTTCGTGCTGATTAGAAACCAAAATCCCCATCCCGCCTTCACCGAGATCTCTCACCGCTCACCGAGGTCTGACGTGATTGGACAGCGGGATTTCAACACACATTTTCAACGGGCTCCCCCTTCGAGACTCACAACAACTTCAATTAAATCTCATTAAATCGGATCAGATTATTCACTTGAGGGCTTGAGATACCCCGAGACATATTTTCAAACTCTTCTTATCGGATTCGGCTCTCTTCACAAGACATCATGGTAAGCACCACAGCCGGGAAAATGAAAAATACTCGTAGCCCTAGCTTCACTGACACCGAGGTGACTCAAACAGGTCCACGCCGACGCGTCCAACTTCGCCAGCGGCGTCACCAAGGAGCAGGCCTACGAGCAGGTCCTCCTCCAAGCAGAGGGCCTCCTGTACGAGCAGAGAAACTGGGTAAGCCACCAAAACCGTTCCCTCCGTCCCTTCCGAAGCTCTCATACATCACCACATCAACCCTCATAAGATTCGAACATGAACTAACACTCACAAACAGGTCTGGTAAGCACACACATCTCAACAAAAAGCCTCACTAAACCCAACCACCATCCCAAACACCCTCTAACACACGCCGCCCAAAAAAACAGCAACCTCTCCAACACGGCCTCCCTCCTCTGGCACGCCTACCACTCCCTCCCGGCCCCCTCGACCTCCGTCAACTGGGCCGGCTTCTACGTCCTCGACCCCTCCGCCCCGCCCTCCAAGCCCTCCCTCATCCTCGGCCCCTTCCAGGGCAAGGTCGCCTGCCAGACCATCCCCTTCGGCCGCGGCGTCTGCGGCGCCGCGGCCTCCACCCGCCAGACCCAGCTCGTCCCCGACGTCCACGCCTTCCCGGGCCACATCGCCTGCGACGGCGACAGCCGGAGCGAGATCGTCGTCCCCGTCGTCGCCGCGGACGGCAGGCTCGTCGCCATCATCGACGTGGACTGCGCCGAGGTCGACGGCTTCGACGAGGTCGACCGCGCGTGGTTGGAGAAGCTCGCCGCGCTGTTGGCGAGGAGCAGTGATTGGTGAGAAGCGGACTTTTCGTGGGTTGGATTTCTAGGGCTGGGTTGGTGTGTTTTGATAGGATCGCGTGTGGGTTTCTTGTGAACACAGAAAAAGGGGATTTGTCAAGGAGAGGTGTTGTTTTTACGCATGGATGAGGGAAAAGTTCGACGGATGATCTCTTAGGGTGTCATTTCATCAATGGCGTGAGGCAATGAGACATGTAGACATAGACCAGAGGATCGGGCCAAGGGCGAACAGAGATGATTCAATAGAAATTTATTGAACGAGCCGGAGTCAACCTCCGGACAGACTTAAAAACTTTTTTGTCTTCGACTTTATTCATCCCGTTGGCGATATCATCCGCCATCCCGCCAGAAACATTCCGTGCCTACCGCCCATATACCGGGACGGTCTCCGAGCCTCCCACTCTATAACCTCATCATAAAAAAAACGTGTGTTTGTCGTGATCCAAAAGAAGAGGGGGTATGACCGAGCCGAGAAGCGCCTTCGATTTACTCCAGGGCCTTCTTGGCGAAGGTGGGCAGGATGAAGGCGGCCTTGTGGATCTCGGCGTTGTAGTACTTGCACAGCTTCTCCTCCTCCTCGGGGGACCACTTGCGGAGGGGCTCCTTGACGTTGCGGTTGGCGTCCTTGCAGCAGACCATGAAGCCGATCTGGCCGGAGGGGTAGGTGGGGATGGTGGTGTAGCCGTACTCGGCGACGGGGAAGATGGAGTTGCAGTCCTTCTTGAGCTTGGAGATGAGGGGCATGTGAAGCCACTGGTTCTCGGCTGTATGGATCGTTAGCTAGTCCTGATCTCGAGGGAAAGGGGGGTTTGTTCGTTCGGAACACCGAGTAAGACAGAAGAGACTGAGAGAAGTTGATTCATCAAAACGAGTCTCGCAACGCTTGAAAATATGACATGGACAAAGGAGATAGATCGCGAAAGAAGATACAAGCGCATCCAGGTTTCGCATAACCCAGATCTCGCCGGCCGCCGCTGGGCGCCGGGGGATTTCCGTGGGATGAATCGAGGACAGGCCAAAGAAAGAAGCAGGCAAGTTGAGTGCCTGGCGCGTTTCCTAAAACCGAGACTTCCTTGATTCTCCTCACATTCCTGAACAAATGGGAACGTACAACCTTGGGTAGTAATGACACCGCCCTCACGAAGGGCGTCGTGGAGGAGCTGGAAGTAGGGCTTCTGGAAGAGGGACTCGGCGGGGCCCTCGGGGTCGGAGGAGTCGGTGATGATGACGTCGAAGGTGTTCTTGTACTCCTCGAGAAACTTGAAGCCGTCGCCGACGTGGGTCTTGGACTTGGGGTGGTCGAAGCCGACGGCCATGCCGGGGAGGAACTGCTTGGAGAGGCGGATGACGGCCTGCGGTCCGTGTTAGTGGGGCCGGGAACGGGACGGAAGATGCGGGACCGGCGGGATCCTCACCTCATCGATGTCGCAGAGGATGGCCTCCTCAACGGTGTCGTGCTTGACGACCTCACGGAGAACACCGCCGTCGCCACCGCCAATGACCAGGACCTTCTTGGGGTTGGGGTGAGAGTTCATGGCCAGGTGAGTAATCATCTCCTGGTACGAGAACTCATCGCGCTCGGTGCACTGGATGACGTTGTCCAGAACCAGGACCATGCCGTGGTCGGTGGACTCGAAGATGAGAACATCCTGGTACTTGGACTTCTCGTGGTGGATGACCTTCTTGACCTTGAGGGTCATGGCCTGACCTGTGAGATGTCGTTAACATGAGTGTTCTTCTCACGATGCTCGAGTAAGTCGACTTACCAGGCCACATGTCCGAGATCTCACGGAACCAGCCATCTGTGAATTTCCGTCAGATTAGTAAAGTCCCATCTCATTTGGTTTTTCATCATGAATGAGTCGCCGTCATTGTTTCCAGTGCTGCCTGCCCACTGCCGATCCCAGAATAGTGCCGTGCTCGGGGCAAATTGGAGGCCGACATGCGAAAGACGCAGATGTCACCCCGACAAGAGGTTATACGAAAGTCGATCAGTATCCATGGGAAGCGTTTCTCCTGAACGATTGCTTAACCGAGAGTGGTATCAAGGATAGCGTATGCGCGCTCAGACGGTGGAGGGAACCGGGCCTCGTCAACGGCGTTGTGGTTCGGGAACAGGCGGCCAAAGCCACCCGTCGATAGTCGCGGGAGATTTCTTGGAAATCGACCGGGTATGTGGTGACAGGCCGGGTTGAGTCTCGTCTGAGCAGCGAGCCAACGGGCGCAGCGGGTGAGGCTCCCGGGAACCAACACCCCGTCGAAAATTTTCCCGGTTGCCTGTCAAGAGGCCAAAGAAGGTGAATGGCGGGGTTGATCACAACGTCGGCGTAACAGGGCCCCTTGATAGCGTGAAGAGGCGAGCAAACTTCCAAAGGCCTGGGCTCGGTTCTGGGCTCGGAGGGGGCAATGGCAAACGCTCCTGCAGAACGCAGACACCGACCAAGACAATGAAAGGGAGGGAGTGAGGGAGGAAGGGAGGTGGACCGCGTACCTTGGATGGTAGGATGGGTAATTTCGCTCATTTTTGCAAAGGACGGGGGGTTGGCAGGGTTACTGTGTAGATATCGACAGGTCAACGAAGGCGCGGGCAGACGAGGCAGATGTCTTTGATGCAGGCGCAAGACGGGTATTATATGGCGGAGGAGAGAAGCCAGGACGGGCAGTTGGTCTTACTTTTGGTTTTGGTTTTTTTCTGTCTGGACAAGTCAGAATGTGCGTTGACGTCGAGCGGTTTATTGATGCGGTGTGCCACCAATTGAGAAAAAAGCGGCAGCGGCAGCGGTGCGGTTCAAGGTTGGGCGGTCCAGTTCGGGTCCAGTGCGGGCAGGGCGCAAAATCAGGAAGAAAATTTTTGTGGTTCCGGGGTGGCCTCGTTTTGAGATTTGAGCCCCAGAATTGCAACGCCAGCGACTGGTCCGTTCCAAAATGTCCATCGCAGACGGGACCTAAGGACCTTTCCAGGTTGGAGATCCCCTCTCTGTCACTTTCTCTTCTCCTCTCTCAGTCTCCAGTCTCTGATTGTTATCAGTGCGCGTCTCTTTTCCCCTTGCAAGTCGCCTCGGTACCACGCCGTACAAGTCAGTCATTGCCCTATCGAATTTACAAGACGGCCGTGCCTACCTTGCCAAATCTTTATTCGATACAACTTACCTCACCTTATTTCGCATTCCTTGCCTTACAGAAAACCATTTTGTCATGGATGAGAAAGATGCGCTAGAGACTGACACCTGCCATGGCCTTGGGTCGTAACTGCTGTCCACAGGGGTTCGGACTTTCCATCAGAGGACGGGACTTCTTTGGCCGCTCGTCATCGTCATCCTCTTCAACGTTGAGGGAATTATCACCGCCAACACTCGCTGCAGAATGAGGCGCCTTGCCTCTGCAGAAAACGTGGCGAGCCGGGATCTCCAATCCAAACCTTTTGCTTTTTTTTATTCTTGCTTTGTCGTCAGATCAAGTCCGAGACCTGCACTACTGCGCCTGTACCCCACTTCCTCGCCGGCAATCAACGGCGTCCCGTCGTCCCTCATGAGGGGAGGAAGATTGTCCCCTCCCCGCTATCAGATGTGACACCTTATTTGATTTGACACCCGAGAAGAAGAGACGAGACGAAACGAAGTCGACTGTGCCTGATCGGCTTCATCAGGCGCATCAGGCGCCGACTGGAACCTTCGCAAAGACCGATCCTAGACACCATTCGGCCGGTCACCGTTGAACCCGACTAACACATCTCCAGAGCAGAGACTGAAGACGACCGAGACACGGCGCGTCATTGAACCGACATGGGAAATAACCAGTGGCTCCGGGGCCATGGGGCCGCCATGCTGACTCCGGCTGTGCGTGTCCCTCTTTTTGATCAGAAGACGAGGACAAACCCGCGAGAGCCGGAGTCGGCCGGCCGAGCCCGTCCGCCGACATTCAAATTGAGGCCCAACATGGCTATCACCCCTGTCCTGACTCCGTTTCCTGCCGGCTGCATGCTTCTATCCACAGCCGGAGTGCTGCCGCGGGTGCGCCAGGACCAACGTAGCAGCAGCATGCAAGACATGCCAATCATCCGCAGAATCCGGCCGACCGCACCGCAACTCCATCTGTGTGTTTCCTGTCATGGGCCAAAGTCGTCCAGCGTGATAATAAACAACGCTCCCGTCCCTCCCTCTTTGCCTTGTATGCGGCCCGATCATTTGCGTAGTCTGTTCCATTTGGCTTCTTTCGCTTATCCAAATCGCACCGCCGGCTGGGCTGGGCTGGTGCAACGCTTAACTAACATCGCTTAAGCCGCCTACATTCTTGCGACGGCGGTTCAGACGGGATGATCGTAATGACACCTCAAATCTCGCCTGTATCATCATGTTTAGATCTGAGCGAAATCTGAGAAGAACTGAGTTGCTTCGACTGGGCATGAAGAGATGGCGTTTTGTAGGGCCGGCCCTGGCAACGGACGCTGTGAGGAAAGCTTCGCCGGCTTGACGCCCTCATGTCCGTTGCGTGATGGCCGCCGATGCGATATTCTGTGCCGATGTAAAACTTTGGAGTCGACCTTTCTTTTCTTGGGGGAGAGAATGAATCGACCATGGCTATGCGCCGCCGGGCAGGATAGCCAGTTCATGGCCCATGCGGCGCGTGCTCTATTCGTATCGCGTAGTGGTCCCCAAGACCGCTGTCGAATGTCCGCGTTGCTTTTTTTCTACTCTTGGCATCCGGGTCTTTCTGCCCCGCGCCGCCATATCATCTTGCGGTTTGCCATCGTCATCATACCACACCGCCGGATCTAGGCTGATGTTGGACCAAGCTGAAGACCATTTCCACTGTTTCCCATATCATCCGCTTCCTCAGCCGCTCCGCCTGCGTGGGTCCTTTGTTGGTTTCTCATCAATGTTTCTGGGCTCCAGAGCCCGATTTCCCTTCCACCGTTTTGGTCCAGATATCTCGAGCCGCATCCGGCGGCAGATGGCGGGACTCATTCTTCAACAGAGCCGCCCAACCAGTGCGATGGGCCCATCGTCTTAGTAATCGCTGGTCGGGATGAATCTCCGGGCGACACGGGCTGAAATCTTTGTCACTGACGATACTTCTGCCTTTGAAGACTGGAAAAGACAAGTAAGACCTCGCCTGTTTTTTCTTCCCCAGGTCGCTTGGCCTGGCCACACGGTCCGAGCGACGCTCCAAAAGCTTCTCCAGAACGCCCGGTCTCGAATAATCGAATGTTCAATGTCCACCATTGCGGCCGCCGTTGAGTTGAGGCTCGGGCGCGGGCGGTTGCTTGAAAAAAGTCCCCGACTGGTGGTGGTGACCTGGGACGTCCCCTCCATCTCAGGCAGGTCCAGCTGGCTCTCCGGAAGGTCAACATCGGCGCGTTGCCCAATGAAGACTTTTTGAGCAAGCTGTCGTCGTTCTGGAAACGTGCGCTGATCTAGGCCGTCGATGCCCGCCCGCGGATCCTCGCCCAAAATGCCACGAGTTGTGCAGTCCCGTCCACAAACGGGTCCCCTGTCGAACCAGGCGAGCCACGACTCTTGCCCCCCCTGCCGGGCCATGCCCCGATGGTAAAGAACTTATGGGGTGACCCCGGCTTGCCAGAGTGCTCGTTTCTGCGGGACTCATCCGCCGATGCTGCAGGCGCCCTGGGTGGCCCGCAATTTCAGCATTTATTATCCTCTGCACGATGATGATCTGAATGAATGTTGGGTAGCTTTCCATCCGGCGGCAGAGTCGTGCTTTGTTGTCGCCGTTGCAATTGCATGAATCAGGGGCGACATGCCTTCCCGAGGGCGGACGCGTTCGGCCAGGGTCCCCGCTGGTCGAAACGAAAACCAGCATCATGGTTGTGCATTGCATATGGGATGGTAGTCTTTCTTTTTGCATGGCTGCCACTGCATCGAGCAAACAGCAGAAAACGAAAGCGGAAAGAAGCTGACGAAGCTGTTGGGGGCGTAGGGCAGACGAAGCAGCTCGATACTCGGTGGCTGCTGGGCGTTCAGCACTAGGCTAGAAACAACGAAGAAGCGTAGTCGTCGACCAGCGTATCGTTCCGCAAGCGATATGGGCGCAGAATGGGAGGCGAGCTAGAGTGCTAGACTGCGGGTGCTGAGGAGCTGTGGCCAAGAAAAGGGCACGAGGCGTTTCCGGCGTACGGGCCCGATTGGGGTTGTCTGGCAGCGATCTTGTGTCACGCAAGGGTCCATCGGAGTGGCTCCCGCGCCTGTGATATAGTGACAGAATTGTTGTCGGTCCTTTGGAAGCAGTCGACGCGGCACACAGAGTGCATAACAGTACCGAAATTGTCCGCGACGGGCGTCGTTGGACAATTCGACAGACGGTGGACATGACGGGAAGCCGTGGTTGAGGGCGGGAAGTGGTTGTGTTTTCGAGCGAAGGCTGAAGACTTTTAATCTTTAGAGTTTGAAGCATGTCGAGGTAAGTTGAAGTTCATGAGACAGGACGCGGCGGCGGATTGGACGGGTTTGATCTGACTGAGTCGAGATTGGTCGCTGTAACCATGGGCGTGCCGTCTGGTTTGCTGGGCTGCTCTTGCTTTTGCTTTTTGAGTGCGTATTGCGTACTGCGTACTGCGTATTACTGCGTCGTAGATGGCTGGTTGCTTGCTTGCTTGCTTGTTCGGCATGCGGCATGCCACGCTGACGGTTCTCCATGTGGCATGGCAGTTTGCAGGTCGCAACCCCTTTGCTGGTACTCGGGCCCAGCACAGCGCATATAGGAGAATGTGCGTCGAACGATGTTGGAGTGGGCTTTCTGCAAAGCACGTTTCCAACGTAGAAGCAAGCTGTTGACCAGTCTGGAAACGAGAGGAAGCATCTGCATCCCATCCCATCCGTAGTTGTTGCCCCCTTTCTTTCTTCCGTCGTGAGGTAATAGTACCCAATCCAGTAAGGAGACGACTCAATGGCAGAATGGCAGGTCAGGTTTGCCAGGGTCGCATTGATAGCTGGAATGTTTGTCTTTGTTGGTTGGCTTGGTCGACGGGCGACTGAGGCGGCATATCAGTTTCTGTGACGTCTGACTCTGTACCTAGGTAGGCATACATCAGATTGTGTAAGGTAAGGTAAGGAAGGTAGGTGCTGAGACAATGTGACAGATCGGTATCTATTGCGATTCGAGTATCTTGATGACCCAAGATGGGACGTGATTTGGAAGGAATATTGATTGTTCTCTCTCTCGAATGGGTAGCAAACAACAGAATGGGATTGAGGGTGTAGTGCGGTGCGCTGCGGTAGGCGACGGTGGTGGTGGTGAGGAGGACGGGGAAGTGGAAGTGGCTTGTTTGCTAATGCAAGTGCAAGGAAGTCGCAGAGAAACCTTGGTGTCCACCACTGCAGTAGAAAGTACCTGCCAAGTCCTCTGCGGTGCATTTCTGCGGCACATGCAGGCCGGGGTAGAGCGGCGAATCAGAAATCGGTACGACCCGGGTACGTCAGGGGCGGCCCCACTCCCACTGTGGGTGCTGAAGCAGGTGCAATGTTGACTTTTGGCCCAGTGCTCCTGCCTTCTGTCTTCTGCGAGCCAGGAGACTGACGGTACGTACCTCTTCTGCTGTGCTGATGTTCCATCGAAGCTGTCCATGTCCACATCCACAGCGCTGTGGGCTCACGGCACTGCTGTTGTTGTTTTCCGGTGAGAACCTGGGATTTTTGTACCTGGCCAGCGTATCCTTACTATTCCATTTCATAACATACCCTGCTCCTTTTTATCACCAGGAGTCAAGCTGCTGTAGCTTGGACGGGCAAGGTAGGGAAGGCACCCGTTCTTGCACCTTGTTTGCTTTCCATTTTGCCATTATCCATTACCTCGCGCAGTACCGAGTACTCTGTACAGCATCTCAACCTACCATAAGTGAGTCTTTATCCAAAGGCGGTACGTACATCCGCCGAGGTTTCCCTCGTGCCTGTCATGGTTTGAATACTCTCATCCTCCTCTGCCTCTCTCTCTCTCTCTCTCTCTCACGTTTTCTCTCCCGTCCCTTTTTTTCCCTCTTGGACTCTTTTTCACCCCCGTCCAACCCTCACAAAGTTCTCTATCCTGCCATTTCGAGTCGAGCGTCCCGTCTCGTCCGTCTGTTCTTCAGTCTCTTCTTGTTGCTCCATAGTCCTCACCTCATCATTACCTTCTAGCTTTTTCCTTTCTCACTCGCTCACGCTAGCACTTTTAGCGTTTCCTCTGACACGCCATTGGCCTCGCCCGGCAGCGCAGAAACAGAACAGAAGGAAGGAAAAAAAAAATCAAGTCCAGCGAGCTGCTGCTGGTCCTGCTGCAGGATTAACATTAGCCAACCTGAACCCGCAGCCCACAGGGCGTCCACTACCAACAACCCCAAAGACTTTTAGCGTCTTTTTCTAAACTGGCCGTGGGACTTCTAAAACCTCCAAAAGCTTCGCCCGCCCATTCCTCGCCCACCCCCGACGCTGGGCTTCTCGCACACACCTGCATCTGCACCCGCAGTCAAGTCAAGTCAAGTCAACCTTGGTTTCGCCCTCCTCCAAGTGACTACCGCCATTTCAACCCAGAGCCTACATCCAACAAACCTCTTCTTGCGAGTCGAGTTGAGTCGAGTCGTCCAACCACCCTCAAGCCTGTGCCTGGCCCGGCCAACCTTGGGTTTGCTTCTCCTCGTCTGATCTTCCTGACAACGACCGTCCTCGGACACAACAAAACCTCTGCTCTCCGACGCGAATATCCCCAGCCCATATCTTCTCCGACTGTCGCCCACAGTCCTTCTCTACCTCGATTCCGCCCTCGGCAATCAACCCACGTATCCTTACTGGTCCGTTTCGACTGATTCGCGCGTCCCTTTTCGACTTTTCTTTGTACTAGAAGGCCGGCATTCCTTCTAGTTCCTCGATTACTCCAATCCGCCGACTTCCGCTCCGTCGTCTCGCCAAAATTGAGTCGAATTGGTACACGATGTGTTTCGGGGGTCGATCGAAGGACGATGGCAGCGCTGCCCGCTCGCGCGACCTGGACCGCCTGATCCGTCAGGACGAGAAGCGCATGTCCAAAGAGGTCAAGCTTCTGTTGCTGGGTATGTCGCCGCCTCTGCCGAACCCGTGATGCCCTCACCCTCAGTCCACTGACTCGTCTCCGCTCGACAGGTGCCGGAGAATCTGGAAAGTCGACCGTCCTCAAGCAGATGAAGTTGATCTACGCCCAAGGTTTCAGCAAAAACGAAAAGCTCGAGTGGAAGCCCGTCGTCTTCAACAACATCGTACAATCCTTCCGCCTGATCCAAGATGCCATGACCGAGATGCAGATCGAGTTCAGCAACCCCGAAAACGAGGCAAGCAATACCCCGACGTCAATTGCGCGCATTGCACTTCGCATATGCCGCACCGACGGTCGCATGTGACGTGGAAACGCTCCGGCTAACACATCTTGTCTCTAACAGAAACACATGGCGCACATCCTTGTGGAACACGAAATCAACGCTTCCGATCCTATGCCGCGTGATTACCTGCAACCAGTCAAGGAGCTTTGGGTCGATGGCGGCGTTAAGCAAGCCATTGCCAAGGGCAATGAGTTTGCCCTCCACGACAACTTGGCATAGTAAGATACCCGCGCCTTTGACTTCTGCCGCAGCCCGTTGCTGACCGCGCCAGCTTTTGCGATGATTTGGACCGCATCTGGAGCGACTCCTACGTACCGACAGACCAGGATTTGCTGCGCTCGAGGTTGCGAACGACGGGTATCACCGAAACTGTTTTCGACCTTGGCCAACTGACATACCGCATGTTTGACGTTGGCGGTCAGCGCTCAGAACGAAAGAAGTGGATTCACTGCTTCGAGAACGTGAACTGCCTGCTCTTCCTCGTCGCCATTTCTGGATACGACCAGTGCTTGGTTGAAGACAAGGATGGCGTATGTGTGCCCTGGATGCGCAGCCTTGAAGATTTGCTAACTAAACCTGCCAGAACCAAATGAACGAGGCTCTCATGCTGTGGGAGTCAATCGCCAACTCGCACTGGTTCACCAAATCGGCTTTGATTCTGTTCCTCAACAAGATGGATCTTTTCAAGGAGAAACTCCCCAACAACCCCATCACATCACACGGCTTCACCGATTACCATGGGCCTGCCGACGACTGGAAAGCCGCCAGCAAGTACTTTTTGGACAAGTTCCGCGCGTTGAACCGAAACACCGAGAAGGAAATCTATGGCCACTTTACGAACGCGACCGACACGAATTTGCTGAAGATCACCATGGGCTCCGTCCAGGATATGATCATCCAACGCAACCTCAAGCAGCTGATACTATAAGGTCGGAACTGCAATAATTTGGCCTTTAACTGGCCCCACTCCACAACAACTCTAAATCAATTGGCATCGGACAATGCCTATTCTAATCGATACCCGCGGCCTCTCTGGCCTCAATCCCGCCCCAGTCCGCGCGGCGGCGCCGTCCACTGACGACATTCGGCATATTTACTCAAACCATTGCGAGCGTACCGCCCAGTTACAGCGTCACAGGCTCTGAACGAGTCCGCACGAGACTCCAACCACCGAATTGGATGTATATTACTTCCGCTTCCTTTGTCTATTTTCTGGTTATCTATTGTTCATATGCAGGCGTTTGTCCGAACAGAGTCTCGCAAATTACGGCTGGTGGTCATTCAGCTTCTTCTTGAATATCAGTACCAATCTGCCTGATGGCGCGCGGCCGAGGCGGATAGAGAGTCGGGGTCTGGATACGGCCCTTGCTTTGAGGGTCGACGGCGGATGAGGCGCGGCAGAAAGATGGAGCAGGTTGCGAAGGGTGGTTCATATGAGACGAAACGAAAGCATGGGAGAGGTTGAGCTGATTCTGTTTTGCGTGCGATGGATTGATACCTAATGCCCTGTTTCAAGCTTTGTCCTGATGTTTGGAACAAGAAAAAAAGAGATGTGTGTGTGGACTACAATGCCGAGGGGGAAGAAACGGCAAGACTACGTACGAAGCAAGCATCTAAACTCGAAAGGAAATTTGGACAAAACATTTCAAAAAAGCATTTACAAGCCAGTTTGCCTTGGCGACCAGAGTCTTTTCTCTCTCCCGCGTGTGTGCCATGGCGTGTCTCATGTGTTGTGGCTTTGCATTGACACCACCATCAGGCTAACTTTACGATGTTTAAAAGTGTGCTCCACGACCCGACGAGACGGGACCACACGGCCTGCCTGTCTATGTCATCTCTCTCCAAATAACCTAGTATTAATAATATTCCCCGGGGAGGGGCGGGGTTGCTCCATGATTTCGATGCTGCTCCCCGACGGCGAACGTGGTATCAATGCAGAGTTGTCATGGTTTCGGATACGGTGTATCCAAGTATATAAGCTTACACGAACGTTTCACCGTCCGCTCCCTCAACGGGACGAACATGAATAGACGCGCCTTGGAGGGGGTCACTTGCCTGTCGGTAATTTTGCCGAAGGAGGGGGGGGGGGGAGGCCCAGCCCGGATTTCGAGCGAGTTGATGCGTTCGGCTCCCTGCCGCCGGGCGACGCAACGTCGCATGAAGCGGCTGAGTGCGTCCGGCATAAACGTCTTACCACCGTAAAGCCTGGTGGGTGAGCGATGTTGCGATTGAGTTGCGGGAATAAGATGGTGGGTGGTGGTGGTCTTGGTCGCGTGACTACGTTTTTATCGGATGTGCTCGCCTTGCTTTTGCCATGTTCCTGGAGGGACGGTTTGTATAAGGTGGCATTGATGAGAAGAACGGCACTGATGAAGCCATACTTCCCTTCTAATTGTCAGTATGGTGATGCTCATACCACCGGCGGGTTTTGAATGATGCCAGTGTCCGCTATTTGGTTAGTAAAAGGCCAGAAACGACCTGACTTTGTAGTGATCAGATCGTCGGCGTCCTGGGTCTCTCGATGAATTGCGGCCGGGGAAGAAGTCCAATATGTAGTTCGCGCCCTGTACCATATCCACGGAAAGCTTCGGACATGTTATCGTCGGCCGGGACTGCAAAGGCCGATACATCGGAGCCGTCCCGATCACAGCATTTCCCGACGCATCGGACAATTGTCTCGTCCAATTCACACTGTAGGATTCCCCATACAAACCCCACCAACACAACAGTCTTCGCACGGTGCTGCACCGGCCCGCCTCCGCAGGGATGAGCTCCGATGCCGACGCCGCACCGTAGCTACCCCGCCGTTATCGCCCCACCACTCGTCCCCCCCAATCCCCCCACCATCCCCCAATCCCGCCGTGTCCCCTCCCAACGTCACTCCTCCGTCCACCCGGCGTCGCGTCCTCTTAACAATGCGCCTCGCCCTCCGAACCCTCCGCACCTTAACAACAACCGCCTTCAAACCCTCCTCCCAGCGCTTCGTTCCCTTCCGCAAAATGGCCACCTCCGCCGCCGCATCCTCCCCGGTGCTCAAGCAGCCCGTCAAGCTGGCCTGCATCCAGCTCGCCTCGGGCGCCGACAAGACCGCGAACCTCGCCAACGCGCGCACCAAGGTCCTCGAGGCCGCCAACGCCGGCGCGAAAATCGTCGTCCTCCCCGAGTGCTTCAACTCCCCCTACGGATGCGACTACTTCCCAAAGTACGCCGAGACCCTCCTCCCCTCGCCCCCGACCAGGGACCAGTCCCCCTCCTACCACGCGCTGTCGGCCATGGCCTCCGAGAGCGGCGCCTACCTCGTCGGCGGCTCCATCCCGGAGCTCGACGCCGACACGGGCAAGTTCTACAACACGAGCCTCGTCTTCTCCCCCAAGGGCGACCTCCTCGCGAGCCACCGCAAGGTCCACCTCTTCGACATCGACATCCCCGGCAAGATCACCTTCCGCGAGTCCGAGGTCCTCAGCCCCGGCGACGCCGTCACCGTCGTCGACCTGCCCGAGTACGGCCGCATCTCCGTCGCCATCTGCTACGACATCCGCTTCCCGGAGCTCGCCATGATCGCCGCGCGCAGGGGCTGCTTCGCGCTCGTGTACCCCGGCGCCTTCAACCTCACGACGGGGCCGATGCACTGGCGGCTGCTGGGCCAGGGCCGCGCCGTGGACAACCAGATCTACGTCGCCATGTGCAGCCCGGCGAGGGACACGAAGGCGACCTACCACGCGTGGGGACACAGCTTGGTGATCGACCCGATGGCCAACGTGATGGTCGAGGCGGAGGAGAAGGAGACGACGGTCACGGTGCAGCTGGACGGTGCCAAGATCGAGGAGGCGAGGAGGAATATCCCGATCAACACGCAGAGGCGGTTCGACGTGTACCCGGACGTCAGCCGGGCCAAGGTTGACGAGAAGGCATGAGGAGGAAGAGGAAGACCGAATCTCTGCGAAAGACTATACATGAGAAGGCGTTGTACATCTGTGTAACTTGGTACACGAGTCAAAATAGAGTAATGAAGTTCACGAAGATCAATCCACTTGCACCGGCACATCTCGCAAAACGCCCGTCTACCGCTTCAACGCCGCCTGGACCCTCGTCTTACACTCATAACACAAACTCGCCTGGTTGACCCTCGCGATCGCCGCCTCGTTCGCCACCAACGCCGCCATCTTGGCCTGGAACGCGATCGAGATGAACACCACGAACTCCCCCGGCAGCGACTCCGCGAGCCGCATCCACATGGCCGCCGAGCAGTTCTCGACGAACGCGTCCCGGAGCCTCGCCACCAGCGCCCCGACGTCCTCGTCCCGCCTCGGCAGCCCGTCGAGCGCGACGTACCCGTCGGCGAAGTTGAGGACCCACCACTCCGCGCAGTGCGGGTCGGCGAGCTTCCTGGACCCGACGTCCAGCGCCTCCCGGATGGCCGTCTCGACCTTGCCGCGCAGCAGGTCGTCGAAGAGGCGGTCGGTCAGGGCCCACATGCCGACGAGCTCCGTGAGGTCGTAGGGAGTGTTCATGTCGCAGGGCTTGATGCTGAAGGGGGAGACCTCGTAGAAGTCCTCGGTGTCGGCGGCGCGGCGCTTGACGCGCTGGGCGGTCAGGCGGGTGAAGTAGCAGAGCTTGACGTAGGTGCCGAGGGTCGCGGGGCCGACGTCGTCGAGGTCGATCGTGTTGGAGGCGGACTCGGCGTAGGGGCCCTCGAGGCAGCGCCGGAAGTACTTTGAGGACTCGAGGAGGAGGGACTTGTGGATCGCGAAGGACTGCGTGGAGGACTTGAGCCAGATTATGGTCTGGGGTTGTCTGTGCGACGGTTAGTGATGCGCGTTCCGTCGAGCTGGGTCTGGGGGTCTTGGGCATCTTGACGGCTTGGACTGCGTAAGGGTCTTTTGAGCGCTTTGCTTTGCGGTTATATCAGAGAGGACATGAGTGATACCACGCATCTACGTCTCATCAAGGCTCATTGGCTATGGTAGTAAGTGATGAGGACTTCGCGATTGGATCGTTCACCATCAAATTGAGCCATTGGCCAATCTCCCTGCCATAATAGCATAGCTGCTGAACCCAGGAACCCGCTCAACCCAAGCGAGAAGCAATTGAATTTTCCCTTGGCTTGGATATTCCACTTACTTCAGAAGACTCCCCATGCCATCTAGTTCATCTGGCCTGGGAGCCGATCGGTCGAGAATGCCAGCCATATTGAGCGGAGTAGAGTAAGAAAGGGGTATGTTCGAGTGCCTCCTGCTGCTGTAACTATTCTCAGGACACGCACATACAAATTAAAACGAATTGAAGAGGGAAATATGACGATGAAATTTCAGTCTGAAGTGGTCATGATGTCGTGTCTTCGCCTAACCCCGCGCAAAAACGAGGCGGAAGTTTCTTCCGTCTGATCTCAACCCAAGTCATGTGAGGGGATATCATTAGCATCCGAAGTTGAAGGCTGTTATTCAGTAGCACGGATTTCTCTTGTTTCTCGTGGAATTAACCACGCCTTCTAACTTTCCGCTTGGCGGGAAAATCGCCCTCAGAACCCAAGTCTGACTTCAGATTATGCCGCTGACAGAATAAAAACATCACAGCCCAACATGAGACCTAGAAACGCCTTCCACGTTCTGTTTTTCGACTTAAGAGTATAAATGTGCGCGGCATGTATGAACAAACTATTTTGGTTATCTTCCCCAGATCAAAGAGGTCGAGGCCTCCCTTTGCCCCAACACCCTCACGCCACCGCATTCCAAGTTTTCGATCACGTGTAGCATGGTCTCCATGGGGGTCAAGCAATCGGAGTTTTTGCAGGCATTTGTTTGTTTCCCCTTCAAAGTCTCAGAAGTTCCCCACATCTACCAACATCTACCCGGAGGATGATGTTTTGGCTCACATACCGATTCTTCCTGAAATAATTCTCAACATTGCCAAGACACAACTATCTCAATCAGCGTTCTCGGACTTCCGCTTCTAGTATCTCATGTCTGAGGCTCTATTATAAATGTCCAAAGAGCCCGCTGGATAATATCAACCCTTACTCACTTCTCCGTCGCCGGCCAGACTCTATCGTTTGCAAGCTTTATTCTCATCTTATGACCGAGCGAGAACCATGATGATAATTCTTTTCCTCATCGTGGCAGTTCTTCTGCTGCTAAGGTTATACTACGACCGGGTCCCGGCGCAGAAACCTATTGGAAAGGGCTTCTCCACCGACGACCGCGATCATACCGCTGCCTCTCTCGTCCGCAAGGTGCGAGAGCAATGCCGGGAGATCTTCACCTCCCCGGCCCAAACAATCGACAATGTTTTGATTCAAAGCAGTTTCCTCAACAAGACTTTCCCAGACATGTCCGAGACAGCGTTATCTTTTGGGCGTGGAATGGTGAGTTGCCCCTGAAAGCCACCTCAACCTAGTTTGAGACACTCTGGAACGGATCTGACTTGTTGTGAATACTCACCAGACCGGCTTCTTCAACAAGACCTCCGACCACAACTGGACTGAAAACGAGGACATCTTCATCGCACCTCTCAGAAGGTACATCAACCTCGCCTCTACGAGAGACCACGCGGCTCAGTGCGCCGTGGAGGAAACACATCGATGCGCGCTGGAGTGGACCACCCAGAAGGACGTCGAGCTGTTCGAGGGAATCTCCGAACTGGTGCACAAGGCTTCTGTCAGAGCTCTTCTGGGCGACGACTTTTACCAGCTCAGCGACGAACTCCGCCGTCTCCTGCATACGATCGATTCGGAAAGCGCCAACCCGTGGCATCCCGCCCTCTGCCTTTTCCACTGGGACAACAAAGCAAGAAGGGCGCGTCTGGCGCGGGAGCGCTTGCAATGCATCTTCACCGAGAAGCTCATGCGCAGGGATGCTGCTGCCGTCGCTGGCGGTCCTCTGCAGACCGACTTGCCGGACTACGTCACCCATCTACTGAACGATGAGAGCACGGCTTCTCTGAAGCACTATTTTCCATCTCATAACGCGGATATCATGCTCGCTGCTCAGAGTTCTGTGACTGCCACAATATCCTGGGTCATCGTACAGCTCCTGCGGAACCCGGACATGATGAACGCCGTCAAGAGAGACGCTCGAAGCGGCCAGAGCGACTCGACTCTTCTGCAGGCTTGTATCAAGGAGACACGGCGGTACTTTACGAACTTTCAGAGTTGTCAGGGGAACATCCAAGGCATCAGATCCATGGTATCCAGCATGCCTGAACTCCAGTGCCGATTCCAGAAGTACCCGCCTTCTGACTCCTGGATGCCGGGGAGGTGGCTCAATGCCGAAAACAAGCTCGTCGACGTTGGTGGGAGGAACACTGACTTCTTTGCGAACGAGTCTAAGATCCATTGGGAGAAGATGGAGATGGCCGTGACGACGAATGCATTGATGACACTGTTCCGGTGCTACGATATCTCTTGGACGTCTCTCGAACAGCCTCAGAAGATCAACGCTGACAGCCTTCGTCTTCAACATTTTGGATTAGTCTGCCCTGAGGTAAGATATTTTCCCTTTTGCCTCACTCTTTACGGTTCTCTTTTCGCTTCTCGTAAGGCGTTGCTAACGGACATAGGACGGCTTAAAGGTCAAAATTTCGAGACGAGCTTGGCCGGAGTTGACGGGAGGGTGCTAAGAAGACAAGACTATAGCTTCAATTCATACGAATGAAGATCAATTTTACTCGTCTTACTCACGAGGTACTCGGGAGGCAGTCGTGGAACGCCCGTGACACTACGTTGAGGTCCGGAGCACTCCCGGCCGGTGAAGCGGGCCCATCGGCGCCGTGTCGCGGCCCGTATATCCACATCTAGGCTGCATCCCCGGATCAACACAAGATTCGATTTGTCCATGATGAAGCTACTTAGACACTATCAAAAGGCGTTCGCGAGCAATTGAATTGAAAACGAAGCCGACTTGATTGGGCTGTGTCATTCAAGCAGCTGATTTGACTTGCCGGATCTCATTGCTACGGAAGACACAGACCGTCTGTCCATTCACAACTTCGGCAGCGATCAATTGCCGGTCCACTCCTAATCGTTAAACGGGTGCCTGGCCAAGTCGTTTGACACAGCCTCGGCCCGTCTCATCACTGATCTTTTCTCGTCTTCCGCGTGGGGAAAACGGGATTCCTAACCGCTTAAGCTGCGCTAGCGGCCGCCAATGTACCGTGAGATACACGCTGCTTCAAAGAAGTCATGTCTTCCATCTAGGGCTGACGTATCTTCCTGTAACCATGCAAACACGATTAGACGCTCAGCTTAGCATAACTCGAAGGCGGCGCAGGCGCGCGTTTGTATCGCATGTCGGATAGTGCTGCCGGCCAGCCCCCCTAGATCAAGACGGATGAGATGCACGGAATAGGCACACCATTTGCATCAGTCTGATGGGCTGCTGACGCGATATTTCGTTATACACGCTTGATTCCTGAGATGCAGCCACGCCCCTACTCCCTATCACTAGAGCCGCTAGAGCCTCTTGGGCACAGTGTGATGACTTCGGACTGAGTTCACCACGATGGGTTAGTTCTTCTTCACTTGCTCGAGTGAGATATAATATTTCCATAATCACCAGCAACACAAGCGTTTTTGGGATCACCAAACTTCATCTGTCATTATAATCAGACGAAAACGTAAATCTACTTCATGATTGCCCTCTCATCGTATTACATGCGCACACTTTGCCTGTCCATCTCAGGACGTCGACTTACACCGTTACATGCGCCAGCCGAAGAGCAAATAACACATCCTACTCAGAACCAAACCACGTCAGACGAATCCTACCATGTCTCTCCCTTCTCGACACCCGCTCCGAAAGAGCTGCGCCTTCTGCCGAGCCCGAAAGATCAAATGCTCCAACGGGACCATCTGTGACGCCTGTCGCAAGCAAAACGTCGACTGCGTCTACGACTGGGACTCCCGTCCGTCCAAGTCCCGCACGAACTCACAGGATGTCAGCCGGAGAAACAGCACTGCTGACGGAAACATCGCCATACCAATCATGCAGCGGCAGCGATCTTCAACCGGTGGCTCGTCGCGTTCAACACCGTTCCCAGAGGAGTACGCCTTCACAGATGGGCATGCGCCCGTCGCCATGATGGATCTGAAGGATGTCGCTACTGAGCTGAACGAGATATTTCAAAAGACTTTGGGAGAGGTCTCAAAGCCTCGTTCAAGATCCAGTGTTCAAGACCGCGTTGAGGGTACCAGCTCCAGGCCCGGCCATCATGGCCTTATGGTAAGCTGTCTGAGTACTTTTTGAACCGTGTAAACTAACAAGTGTCCACCAACAGCACACGAGTATACTTCATCTTGTTACTCATGACTTAGTCGGCCTTGTTGCAGACAGGTTTGGTAGCCTAGGCTCGACATATATGGAGCAACGCAGTGATAGCTTCTTCTCGAGTGGGCTGGCAAGCGAAAACACAACAACAATGTTCGACACCGTACCGGCCGAAACAAGTCCTCTGACAGAATACGGAACGCGGCAAATCGGACAGCTGGTAGATGTCTGGTACAGCATCCATCCGCTGTCGTTCCTTGTCTCGAAGACGTTGCTCCTACGAGAGCTCAGAGATGGAACGCACGACGAGATCCTGCTAGCAGTCATTCTTGCCGATGCCTCTTCATACCTAGGAGACGATGCTTCCGTGGCCAGGGCGCGCGTCCTCATGGCCTGGGCGGCTTCCCAACTCTGCCATCGCCCGTCGCCGAACGCCACTTCTCAACCAGGCATGCCCGGGGATGGCATCTCTCTTCCCGGTATATCAACAGCGCAGATCCTCATGCTCCTGGGATGGAACGCTCTGAGTCAAAGAGAAATCCGTCGTGCGACTTGTTACATCAGCCTCTGCAGCCGTATATCAACCGAGATCAAGGACTTCGTCGAGACGTCGGACGCACCTCTGGCGACGAGCCGTATTAATGGCATTGACGTCTGCGAGGTAGAAAAGGAAATCGCAGCGTATCTTTACTGGACCACATACTCGCTTACATTATGGACCTCTCTCCAGACTGGCGTTTGTTTCTCACAATCACTACCTGCAAGCCCGACTTCCATCTTCCTCCCGACTGACGAAACCACTTCGGCCTTGATGCGCCTCGATGAGGTTTCAGACAACTTCTCGACGTTGCAGAAACAGAAGAGGATGATCAAGGACATGTGGCCTCTGGCTCACATAGCCTCCATCACAGCATACATCGTCGCCTTGCACCCCTTCGATTCTGATTCGAAAGAGTCGAGCACTAGCTTATGGGAGACGTCAACCTTGTCTCTTCAGGGTGGCTGTCCTGCAGATTCAGGAGGAGCTCGCCACGAGCTCTACCAAGTGTTGATGGAGAGCATCCACGTGCTGAACCACAACTTTGCGCCAGTTCCTTCGCGTTCCTTGGTCCTCGCTGTCTACCATGCCATGGCCATTCACCTCACTTTCCCTCCACCAATAGCTGATGCCTCACCATTCCCGGAGCTGATGATCATGACCGACGAGACCCTTGAACGCTTTATGGCTTCCGCCCAGAACCTCATCGCCATCATGCTTCAAGTTGGCGAGCAAAACACGCCGACGCAGCATCAAAACCCCGTCCCCGATGTCTTCTGTTTTTCATTAGACACCTGCGCACGTGGTCTTTCCTTCATTTACTCACTGAAGCAAGCTGGCCAATCAGTTTCTCATCACGAAGGTCAGCTCGAAGCCCTGGCTTCTCGTCTGGTGGACATCGCCGCCTCAGACTTCACGCCAGCTGGAAGCCAGATCCGTATCATCAAGAAGCACCTCAAAGCAGTCATGCGAGCTTTCGGTGGCACCACGAGCATTTCCGGTAGCGGCAATCGGCTCCTCAGCCTCAGCCCAATGCCTCCCCGGCCGCGCTCCTCCGCCTCCTCGACAACACACTCCATCTCGCGCCGCAACTCATTCTTGTCACACAGTCCCCCTGCGGAGTACCTCTCCGGAGCCCCGACGGCCGTAAACTCCGCGCGGTCCTCCTTCATCAGCCCGATGCCCACGCCGATGCTTCCTTCGCTCTCCTCTTCGTCGGACGACACCCACACCATGCCCTTTCCGGCATACAGCAGCCCTGACGAGAGAGCACACGAGTGGAATTCGTCGAGCACGATGTTCTCCAGCACCATGGATCCCGCCCCCGCCGTCTTCGGCGCACCTGCTGCCGATCTTGCGTTGGCGGATATGATGAACTTCAACAACACGGCCCCTGGGGGCTGGTTTACGGATAACAGGCAGATGTTTGTAGATCTCGATATGGGAGATTCGAACATAGGAGGCGCAAACTTGGGACCTCATTGGGAGTGGCCCACAAGTTCTTCTGACATGCGTTCTGAAGCCGCGGTTGGTGGCGATGTTGACGACATGTTTTACTACTTCAAGAGGTGAAATTACGGATACTTGATTCCCCATTTGGACAGGTGGAACCTCTCTGCATCATAATCACAACTTGGGCGTTTGGAAAGGGAAATCAGATGGCATATTAGACAATCATGGCTGGCATTACCTGACGGCGTTACGAGCAGGGGGTAGTCCGTAGCACGGCGCTCAGCACATAGCATTTATCCGATTTTGTCTCAAGAATCAAGTTCGTTGAAGTAATCTATCAGGCTCACGTAACGCCACATCCTATCATTTCATCCAACTCTCATAAGGTACGATGCCATGCAACTGCCGAATATCGATGATAAACGTTGAGAAAAGGCGCAGCGGCCATTCCCTAGAGCCGCCCTAGCTAGCGTCCAAAGCATGACAAGCTTCTCAAAAAACGTTTAGCATCAACAGCCTCGATTAGGCAACAGAATTTCCCGAACGGGATCCAACGCTTGGTAAACGGCTAGAAGTTTTGGCTGGATTTCTGACTGTACCACTGGTGGGAGTTCGCGTTGGTTGACTCGTAGAAACAGTGATGGCGCACGATCCTCGTGCTCGCACGCTGGTCTAGGAGAGTCGATGGCGCATTCCTTGTCATGCGGAGGTCTCTCCTCCGCTCTTCAGAGTTGTCAGAGTCGTGTTGGCCATGAACAGCAACCACACCATGTGTCCAGATCAAAACTGTCGTTGTTTGGAAGCATCATCTCGTGTCATAGACTCATGGGAGGCAAAGGGGTCCGACTTCAAATGGTCTTCCGCTGTGAAAGACCCCGGCCCTGGTCTGGACCAATCACATCTGATAATGCTGCACGAAACAGGCAAGTCGGATCCCAACGAGCGTTTGCCCTTTGTACATTGTAAAACCCGATGATATCCCTGATTAGCTGAGCGGTAATTAATCAGCAGTAGGTTTGACCGTGACTATTATAGCATTGGGCAATGGGACTACCGGATCGGCGCCGATGTGGGGCCGGGATTCCAGCCGTTCACTCGGAAGCTCAAACATGCATTCCATCAGCAGAAACTCCCGTTCAATAGAGCATTGCAAACTTTTGCTTATTATAACTATCTATTAGTATCACAAGGGGTTATATATACGTAACGTAGGGCTTTATTAGTAATAAGATACTAAGTATATAGGAAGAGAAGTTTTAGCCTAGTAGGCATACGCATAATAGCAGTAGTATAGTAGGGGTAGAGGCTAGGCCTTATACTACCTACTTATACTACTTAATTCTACTAGCTAAACCTATACTAGTAGTCTTTTCTTTTTAGTACTAAAAGGGCTAAAAAGGGGCTAAAATATATAATATATAAATAATATAATAACTAGCTAAAGTAGCTAAAATTATCTCTTTTTTAAATAATATAATAACTAGCTAAAGTAGCTAAAATTATCTCTTTTTTAAATAATATAATAACTAGCTAAAGTAGCTAAAATTATCTCTTTTTTAAATAATATAATAATTAGCCTAAATAGCTAGAATTATTCCCTTTTTACCTATTTATTCTATAGTAATAATTATATTATAATTATTACCCTTTTTATAATTTTATAACTTATCTCTCTATATATATTATAGCCTTATTACTATTAATAAATATTATAACCTATTAGGTATAACTAATAAAGAACGCCCCATAAGGATACTAGGCAGTTAGAACGTTACCTTTATATATAGGATCACGGGAATATAAGGGGCTCGCCCGGAATAGAAGAACTATAGTATAAGTCACGTAATAATAAGTAGGACTAACTTTTAATAAGTAGTCCTAGGACTAGGATAAGGATTAGGACCGATATACTAAGGGCGGTCCTTAAGGAGGACCAACTCTTAGATTGCGGTCTATATAGGAAGAGAAGTATCTAGGACTTATATATAGGATAGACTTAAGTCTAGCTTAAGGATAGACTTCTATAGCTCTTTAGTAATTAACTTTATAACTACCCTTACTAGTACTTTTAGCTATACCTAAGTAATAACTACTCTATAACTCTTATTAAGGCCTTAACTAATTACTAAGACCTTTAAAGACCTATAATTACTTAAATAGCCCTATAGAACGACTTAATACTATTTATAGTTCTTAATCCCTAACTTACTGCTAATATAAACCCACTATCAGTTAGCTGGCCGTAACACTCTCCACCTGGTATACAGAAACAGGTCTCCCACACAACTAGGTTATCATAATATCTAAAAACAGATAGATAATAAATAAAAGAGGCCTAAATTAGCTCTAGTACTTTAATTAGTATATAAAACTATATATAAGTAGTAGATATTACCTCCTTATTATTAATAAGTATAAAAGTTACTATACTACTAACTTTAAGATATATTATAAGGAAAATAATATTATTACACTTTATATACTAGCCTATTCCTCTTACTTACTTTAGCCCTTAGACGTTAAGTATTTTAGACTACTAAAGAAGGCATATAGTTAATAAATTAAAGATAAGATATACTAGGGTAATACCTATATTATAAAGGAAGACTTTTTCTCTATATTTTATAAGGCTTTTATATAAGCCCTTATAGTTAAAAACATCTAGGGAGGTTTTAGAGGGGCTAGACTTATCCCTCTTAATATAGAAAGTATACTATTAAAGCTTAATATTAAGTTATATACTTTAATACCTCTAGGGTCCCTCCTAATAATACCCCCTATATAGACTTCTTAGACGCTAAATAACCTAATAAAAGCATCTTCTCAATCTAAACTTATTAAGAGGAGAATCTCCCACTATTAAAATAGCTTACTAACTTTAATTATTAAAGCTATAGAGTATCTATTAAAGGGGGCATATAGATTTATATACTAGATTACTTTATTAAGGTCTAAGGTCTAAATCCTTTAAGAGGAGAATAACCTACTTAGTAGATGCTAGAGGGCTAAGAAAACACACCTTAAATAAAGAGGAAGTCTTACTATAGCTAAGGTAGAGGATCTTCAATCATAGAGAGAGGCTACAGCTCAGATTGAGGAGGAAACACGCTAGAGTAGTAGTCACCAACTAAGGATAGAGATAGGCCAATAGCAATATAGCGTCTATAGGAACAGCAATCATAATACACAAATATATCAATTTGCTAAAGAAATATCTAAAGAAGAGGACCTCAATTAGTTTTAATTTAATTAACTTTATAGGTATTATATATTAGTTGGAAATATGCTGTGGTTATGGTTGGGTGATTGCCTCGCTTGTCTGATCGCCTCGCTTATTAACTACGTTATATATAGTTTAAGATCTATTAGTAGGATTATATAGAAAGCTATATTAACTTAGATATCTATATAATATATTTAGCCTATATATTACTAATACTAATATAATTTATAGTATATTAAAGTTCTTTAGATTAATATATGAATTAGTTAAAGTTATAATTAATATCATTTATATTTAATTACTTTATATATTTTTATTAATATTATAATCTTTAGTCTATTTAGCTAAGTAGTATATACTATAGAGGTAGATATTAATATTATTAAGCTTTACTAATAATAAAAGTAAACTAAAGGTTATTAATATTACTATATAATACTTAATTTCTAATTTATATTATTCTTTATAGATTATTAAGTATTAAATAATCTAAAAGAGTTAATTCCTTTATATAGCTTATATATTTATTAGCTAATATAGAGTACTTTATAAGTAATTTAAAGTTTTTATACCCTATAGAATATTTATATATTTAGCTAGTAGATTAGAGTATTCTATATTAATCTTTATTAATTATTAGATACTAAATAAGCTAAAAGGGTAACATAGTTAATAAGTAAGTAGATTAGATAAGTAAGTAGATTAGCTAATAGCAACTATAGTAAATTTATAACTAATAACTAATATTAAACAAATTAATTTAATATAAACTAGTTAAGATCTTCTTCTTTAGATATTTCTTTAGCAAATTAATATATTTATATATTATAACTAGTATTCCTATAGACGCTATATCGCTATTAGCCTATCTCTATCCTTAGTTAGCAACTACTACTCTAATGCGTTTCCTCCTCAATCTAAGCTATAGCCTCTCTCTATAATTAAAGGTCCTCTACCTTAGCTATAGTGAGACTTCCTCCTTATCTAAAATATATTTTCTTAGCCCTCTAGCGTCTACTAAGTAGGTTATTCTCCTCTTAAAGGATCTAGACCTTAGACCTTAATAAAGCAATCTAGTATATAAATCTATATACCCCCTTTAATAGATACTCTATAGCTTTAATAATTAAAGTTAGTAAGCTATTTTAATAATAGGAAATTCTCCTCTTAATAAGTTTAGACTAAGAAGATACTTCTATTAGGTTATTTAGCGTCTAAGAAGTCTATATAGGGGGTATTATTAAGAGGGACCCTAGAGGTATTAAAGTATATAACTTAATATTAAGCTTTAATAGTATACTTTTTATACTAAGAGGGATAAGCCTAGCCCCTCTAAAACCTCCCTAAATATTTTTAACTATAAGGGCTTATATAAAAGCCTTATAAAACGTAGGGAAGAAGTCTTCCTTTATAATATAGGTATTACCCTAGTATATCTTATCCTCAATTTATTAACTATATACCTTCTTTAGTAGTCTAAAATACCTAATATTTAAGGGCTAAAGTAAATAAGAGGAATAGGCTAATATATAAAGTATAATAATATTATTTTCCTTATAATATATCTTAAAGTTAGTAGTATAGTAACTTTTATACTTATTAATAATAAGGAGGCAATATCTACTACTTATATATAGTTTTATATACTAATTAAAGTACTAGAGCTAATTTAAGCCTCTTTTATTTATTATCTATCCATTTTAAGACGTTATAATAACCTAGTTATATAGGAGACCTATTTCTATATACTAAGTAGAGAGGTAATATTACCCTAAAATAATAATATATAGTAGAACGCTATAGCTTAATAAACTAATAGCCTAAATAACTATAACCTATTTATAATTACTAAGCTATATTATTTTTATATTTAAACGCCTCTTAGCGCTTATTATAACTATTCTAAATATAATCTAGCCTATTATAAACCTAATCTTATTAAAGTTATAGATATCTAAGTCTATAATGCTATATTTTATAATTATATTTACTATAAGCTAAAACTATATATTTATTATATTTAGGTCTTTATATTAAGCCCTCTTATAGTTATACTTATAAAAAAAGCGTATCTAGAGCTATAGTTATTACTTAATAAAGTTTAAACCCTAACGCTTCCTAATAGGGGGTATATTATAGTTAGTAAGTAGTTAATTAGCTATATCTTCTATACTATTAATATAGAGAGGAAATAATTAGGAATCTAAGTTAAGAATATATTTAACTAGCTTCTCTTCTTTAAGTATAGTTAAATTTTATAACTTAGGTATAGTATTACGTTATAATCCCTTTCCCTCTAAATAATAGCGTAAGGTTAAAAAGGGTACTAAGTAGATATAAGATATAGCTTAAATACTAAGAGTTAGTATCTTTTTAATAGCTTAGATTGCTAAGTTTATCTAACCTTTATTACTCTATAATAATATATTTAGTTATAGTGTAACGTAATATAGAAGTTAGAAGATAGTTTCACGCAGTCGGCTAATCCACTCGCTTATCTAATCCACTCGCTTATCAACTACGTTAGTTTATTTATATTAACTATATATTTATTAGTTAACTTAAAGTACTTTATAAGCTATTTAAGGTTTTTAATATTTAACTAGTAATTTAAAGTATTCTATAAGTAATTAAAGTTTTTTATAACCTATAGGGTATCTACTATTTTTATAGATTTTAGAGTCCCTTATAAGCTTTAAAATACCTTATAAGTTTTAAGGTTTCTATACCCTATAGGGTATCTATATATTTATTAAGCTATTTAAAGTATATTATAAGTAATTTAAAGTATTTTATAAGTACTATAAAGTATTCTATAAATAAGTAAAGTTTTTTATACCCTATAGAGTATTAATATATATAAGTATATTAAAGCTTTTTATAAAAGAAGTTTTTATACTTTATAAAGTAATAATATATATATTAAGTACTTTAAAGCTTTCTATAAGTAATAGAAGTTTCTTTTACTCTATAGGGTATTAAAGTATATTATAAATATATTAAAGCTTTTTATAAGAGAACTTATTATACCCTATAAGGTATTTATATATTTATTAATAGGTAATTTAAAGTATTTTATAAGTAATAAAAGTTTCTTTTACCCTATAGGGTATTAAAGCATTCTATTAATATATTAAAGCTTTTTATAAGAGAAGTTTTATACCCTATAGGGCGTCTATATATTTAGTATATAATTTAATATACTTTATAATTAAGCGCTACCCTATATATACTCTCTTATTAGTCTAAGCTTATACTCCTTACCTTATTATTACCCCTAACTTAATACCCCTTAAGCTATAAGGCTACTCTACTAAGCCTAAAGTTATTATATAGCTTACTATATTATAATATATAGAGTATTATTAATAGCTTATTCTCTATTTTAAATACTACTTAAGCTATAAGTTAGTCTAAATACCCTTATAGTATTATATAAATAATATAATATTTCTAAATTATTTATTTATTTAATAGAATAATATTTATTATAATATTTTTAATATAATATATTTTAAAAGTCTTTTAATATACTTTAAATAAAAAAAATAGTTATTCTTAATATTATTAAGGGGTTAAAAATAATAATTAGAGTTTATAATTATATTAATAAAGATATTAATATTAATTAATATAAAGCTAAGGATATAAGAAAAAGATATTTTAAATAAATAAAAGAGGGAATAAAAAGATAAAGGTTATAATATAATCTTAATAAAAGGGATAGTCTCTTATAAATTAGTATTCCTTATTAAGGTCTTACTCCCTTTAACCTTAAGAGTAAAGCTATTTATATATTATTATATATATTATAAAGCTTATTAAGATAGAGTTTTATTCTTTTAGAATATTAAATATTAAATATATACTTATTAGGTATAATAAGATATCTATAACTAGATTATAAGGTAGCTATATTATATTGCGCGGCGTATTGCATTTATTAGAGTCACTGTGCTAGAGACCGTTATCTTATACGTTGCAGAAGGTGAACTAACATATACGTCGACAATCTCAAATCCAGACGTGGTCTAAAAAGCAGAAATCCTCACCTCATCCTACCCCACGGACGCATCAACCCCTCTCTAAGACCTAAGTCAAGACGTCTCACTGACTAAAATGAGAGAGTAACCATTTCAGTAAAGCTATAATGCTGCAAGAGTTCTCCAGAGCGTTCCAACACATTCAGCGTCCAACAAAGCAAATATACCTCCGCTCACCGGTCTTAATCATTCACAACGAAAGGAGATATCAAGCCCAGAGGTGCCTTATGTCAAGAACGAGGACCGAACCGCCACAGACAGAATATCAAGCAGCAGCGTTCTAGGACTCAGCGTATAAGAGCCTCAAATGAGGCCGCCAAAACAAGTTTACCAGTTTGTAAGTCCAAGTCCGGCAAGACATAACTGACATAAATCCATAAGGACGTCTAATATAGTGGGATAATAATTAAGAAGATAAGTAGTGTTATATTAATAGCAGATGTCACTGCTTCCACCCTCCAAGGCAAACGTCACGACTCTACACTGAGATTATGTTCCCAATATATTCCCAGCAGGTCAGAAGAAGAGACAAACGCATCGATTTCAAAGGCACTCTCTTCGTCTTATAGACCATTATTCTTTTGCTGATGGTAGTACTCGTTGAGGGAAGCCAGGGTGCTAGTGGGATTAAATTCAAGGTCGCTGGAATGTCCAACACCATTGCAAAACCGCTGGGCTAGGAGGAGTCCCAAGCCGTGTCGCGCTTGAAGATGGTAAAGTGAATTCCATCCGGTGAGGTATAGCTGACAGAGTTGTACAAACGGCCGAGATGATGTCAGGGGCAAGATGAGCGCCGACATCGACTCCAAAGTGCGGTGCACAACCTAACGGCGGCTGATAGAAACAGTCGGGTTTTCAATAGCCCGCCCGGTACATCTGAATACCTCCTATAATTGGTGACAATGTGGCAGAAGCTGGAAACAAGAGGCCTGCTCTGGTGTCGCCGCCTAGGATAAGCAGCATCCTCAAGAAGCGATTCGTGGGCTGCAATGTAGTCAATGAAATCCACCGGCCAGAGGTTCCTCGCAGAAATCCTATACTGCATCTATGGGCTGCAGGTATGCCATGGGGAATCGAACACCGTTTTACACCAAAGAAAGGCGATCTTGTGGTGTTGTCTTTGTATAGATACGTGAGAACACTTCCTGTTGCTGATGCCGGACCAATGACCTTCAGTGAGCTTATCGAACTGTGTTTGCCTTTATTGATGTCTGAAGGACTAAGGACGCTTCACTATCTGACATTAAGTCGTGTTGGCACTGAAATAAATGATGATCCTGTAGCTAAACCGGTTTTAGTTAAACGCATCTACGTTTCGTACTGAAATAAGCCTTCTGGTAAGATGAATAAGGACCAACTAGCAAACAAGATTGGCTGCTAGAAGTCTGGGACTTAAAGTCTGTTGGACGTGATATTCTCTGCACTAAAACAAGATTTGCAATTTTTAAAATGTAGCCTTCCCCTTGAATTCTCAGCTGGCCTCTTAAAAGATATAACCCCTTGTGAAATGTTGCAGACCCCCTTCTATAATTTAGTTTCTGAGAAACAGGATTTATGGTTGCCATCACTGCAATCCCCACGCCGTGCTCGCATTCTCGGACTTGAGTGCTTTGTGATGTGGGTTGGGCTGGACGCGCAGGGAGATAGATATAATATACCACAATTAGCTTAGCGAGGATGAGAATAGGGACCTTGCTTCTAGAGCTGACTGGTTTCTGACGTAATAGTTTCCAGTATTGTTGATCTTGTAATAATTATCTGGAATAGGTGCACGATACGGTTCGGCGAGGGTGGTGATCAATCTCAAGAACCGTTCTCCCAACCCTATTACCAACAGAGTTGTCAGCACAGAGTGTAAGACGTCACTATTCTGCTAGGATGTCAGAAAACGCCCACAGTCATCAATATGTTGACGGGTGAGGATGAGGGGAGACCTAAATGCCTTCCGTGGTTGATTCACGTCTTACGAAAGGCTTACTTTGAATACCATGTAAGTCTACTTCTTCTCGGATCCCGTCTCCTTTCAAGCGGTACTCACTGGGAACAGTTCACATCGATGTCGTGACACCTTCTTGTAGTCTTTACTGCAACGCTTCTCAGCTGTGTTTGAATGTGATGGTTTTCTGAGTACAAAACAACTGTCATTGTCGGCAGAGGGGTATTGATAATCCAGCTGTTCGTTTTGCAATCCGGTCACTACGCATTGAGGAGAAGCATTCAAGCACAATGGTGCCGCTCACGTTTCAACACTAAGAGGCTCTCGAAGGTAGAGGAGCTCCAGGCTCCGTAAAACACCCCATATGCTACCATAACTCGAAACAAAAGGCCCGCAAACAATCAACTACCCATTCAGACGTCATCACTCTCCGACTCCACACCAAGAGACTCACGGCTCTTCATCCTCTCTTCCATCTCCTCAACAACATTCTCATCGCGGGCAAGCAGAAGCGCGCTTCGAGCGGCGTTCTTCGTATTCTCCAGCATCAATCTCATGCTCAGCGGAAGACCAGACTCAGCGGTGAGGAGGGGGGCCGAAACAAGCATGGCACACAGATTGAGCAGCTGCTGCAGGTTGTCGTCGTTGGCCAAGGCGGTCTCGTCATCATTCCTTAAAGGGGGTGGGCTCCCAAGGTTGTCGCCGCCTGGGCGGTCAGGGGCAACAAAGCCACTAGTCATGAACGAAGATAGGAAGCTTGGCTCTTTGTCAGCCATTTGCTCGTCGTAGGCGTCGCGGGCGAGCTCGCTCAGCTCTTCGGAAGAGACCCGGCGTCGTTTGGACTGTCGGCGGACGGACGCGACGGATTCATCGTCCTCTTCGTCATCAGCCTTCCGCTTCCTTCCAGCCCGAGAAGCTTGAGCAGCTGGCCTGACGGCCTTGGCTGGTGCGGCTTTTCGGAGCTCTAATCACGAGAATGTTAGTTACATACGACCAAGGAAAATAAGTAAACCACAGGCTATATCGACTTCGCACTTACGGTCTACAGCGTTGGTGACGTCGGCGACAGAGGGCATGGGAGCCATATCCTCTGGTGAAGCAGAAAGCATGTGGCGGCCGACCATCTGTTGGCGGATGGCATCGGTGATGGCAGCAGCGTCAACGGGCTCGTGAGACCGGGACTTCTTGAGGCTGGAAATCGCCTTGAGAGAGTTGGTGGCAGCGCAGATAGCCGGGCCCAACCAGAGAAACAGGAAGATGGGGTCGACGAGCTCGAGAGCGAGGGCGGCATTCTTCAGGCGATTAGCCCCTTCGGGCTTCAGCTTAGCGGTGTTGAAGTCGGCGGCGAAGACAAGTCGGAGGAGGATATCAAGGCGGTCGTGAGGCACAGCCTCAGTGATGAAGGAGGGGAAATCGAGAATGTGGTATCGTCGGCCTTGGTGAAATCCTCGGCGGTTGATGTCGCTCGCAACCTTCCACCAGCTATCATGAAGCTGGTCCCATACCTGTCTGACCGTGGTAGCCGAGGCTTCATTGTTGTCTAGGGCCTGGGCTATTATACGAAGCTTTGAGTCGATCTCGGGCTTGCGGCGGAGGGTGACTCGAGGATCCTCGATAGCCTCCGGGGAGCCTCGCGCGGAATGAAAGGAAGAGGAGGCCATTGTACTGGATAGTGGGGGAGAGAACGGACAACCGAAAGAAGAAGACTGGTTCAAGGACCGACGACAAATTCAAGCACCGCGCAGCAGACCGAGCGAAGACGTTGGTACCAGTTTGCTGACGACATGGATCAAAAGCATGCCCGCAGGGGAGAACCGAGACACACTACTTCACAACGTCTATCATGGGAGTTCGATCAATAGCCAGGACCTACCCAACAACTACCCAGAATCAACCCAGGAACTACCCGGTACCTGCACACTGAGGTAGGAAGAGGAGCAAGAAGGATGAGCAAGCGCCTGCATCGTGGTCTGCATATAAAGGCCAAGGTCTGCACTGATGACTGCACCTGCAGCGGGGAGCCAGCTAATGGCGTCGCAGGGAAGGTGGAAAGAATCACGGGCTCAGACTTGTGCACACGAGGAAAGAAGAATTCAACATCGCGTCATTGCCAGGCACGGGCTAAGTGAGAAAACCCAGCAGAAACCCAGCGACTGGGTCTGGCTTGGGTTTCCCGTGATGCATGCGGTACGGTTGCGTCGCAGTGCCGAACATCAACTTCTGTGAGGAGCCCACCAATTGAGCTGACGGCGGGTGCGACGAGATTGGCCCACCCGTGCTGCCAATGTAATGTCGAAAGGTGTAAGGCAATGTCACCTGCAAATGTGCGGGCTGTTACGAACTGTGAGGAATTCATCTGGTGATGGCTGTGGGCGTGGTGTTGTTTGGGGATGGATGAAGTTGACGGGGCGACCGGTGCATCGTGAGGTGTCATGTAGCGGTGGCGGTGATTGCGAAGGCAGGAGAGATAGAGTGCCTGTCCGAGTCAAACATCAGCAAGCAGTCATTTCCAATTCCTTCCTGCCGCAACAGATGAAGTGGCCCGAGGGAATGTACGAGCGGTATATGGCGCTTTCCCCTGTTGTGTCGGTACCGCACCTGTGCCCTCCGCCACTTCACGGAGACGTCATAATCACGGCTGCACCCATTCAAATTTAGAAAGACCCCTTCACATGTGCTTCTTTCCCTCGCTTCTTCTTCCTGCTCAAGACATCAATGTGATCTGCGCCCCTGCCATCCAACTCGCCCCATCCAACTCGCCAACTTCACCTATACCTCCACCTTCGCGCCCACTATCAAACTTCACCAAACAACATTCGCGCAACCAGTCCCGGTTCTCGCAAAGCTGCCGGACTGATATACACACGCTGGTTATCGCTCAATTGTACACGGCTTGGTCCATATCCGTGCGTCCCTCCCGACGAGGCAAGATGTCATCGTCAACACCATCAGGCGGCCAGAAACGGCGCCGCGAAGAGCCAGGTACGATGCCATCACCCTTCCATCGCAACCATATATCCACAACTATCCGTTCACGACCAAACACACCGTCGTTAACATCAAATATTACAGAACACCTTGGAAGCTCCATCGCTGTCGATACTGAAGAATCCTCGTCGTCCGCGATCGACTATAACCTCTTGGCCACCACCCTCGTGGCAAACAACCTCCTCGCCACCCCCAGCGAGTCGTCACCCATGACCCTCCAACGAAGCTCCGAGCAGCATCAACCGTCTCAACTGTCCCCATTCCCGCCCTTCCCGGTTGACTTCAGCGACCTGAACCCCGAAGCGCAGCGCCGCTACCTCATCTCTGTGTGCAGGGTCCTCGCCGCAAACGGACCCGCCACAGCAACCGATCGAGCCGCATACCCAAACGACGCTTCGATTCAGACCCTCGACTCTCTATTCGCAACCTTGTACACAACGGCAGAGGCCATCGAACTGCTTACCCGAGATATGTAAGACATAAGGCCCAGGAAATAGAACGACGGCTGGAAGGACAGAATATGACGGCCCGGCCGAGTCGCAACTGAATGCAAAGATGTTGATCCTGTCAGATCAGGGTGCATCCTGTTATCATTTGCTTGGGTGCAGGAAAGGTGTTCGTGGCGAGCCTGGCAAAGGCAACGGGTGATGGGTTTGGGAGCAAATAGGCCGGGATGGGAATGATGATTACTTATGAGCAAGGACACCCATTTAAGCATGAATTCGTGGCAAACTCCCCCCTCTCTTGCCATTGTTTCGTGGTCTGGCCTACATCTGAACATGTCTACTGCTGTATGGTGATGGAGAGGGAGCCGCTGGGACCGCAGCTTGGCGGTCGTCACATCTCATGTACTCTACGGTCGTCTTCTTGTCACGTCACCACGGCGCACAACCCCGCACAATATTGATTCTGGAGAAGCAAGGTCAAAAACTGGTCGAATCTGGTGAATTCGGCTCAGCAAGTTGTCATGACGAAATCAATTCTGCTGTTTATGTGTGTTAAGACCGATGTCACACGATGACCGTCGGCATACACAACCATATCTGGAGAGGTCGGCAATGATTGGGTTCGAGGTAATAGCTGCGTTGATGGACTTGATGATACCTTGGGAAGGAATTGCACAGCCCATATCAGACGAGGCTGAGTTTGAAGGTTGGGAAGTGCATTTCCAAGGTTTTGTCGGACGAGGCTGGCCTGCACTGTGGCGGCCGGCTGCACAGCACTGGAATTTTTCCCGGGCGCTGGGCGTGCATCAGCCGGCTGGGCACTGTGCTCAGGTGTACTGTGGATCCCCCAAGGGAGCGCTGTAATTACAGTGCCCGCGACGGGACTGTTCACAGCCCCGCTGGAACCATTGGATCACCTGTGCCCCGAAGCACTGGCCACCAGATGACACTGACCCCGCTGGCTCTGGGAAGATTCTCGGCCTTGATTGGAAAAAAAGTGAGGTCATCGCGAGTTGAGAAAAAAAAACTCGTATCATGCAACACCAAAAGAAGTGAGACGACTTACGAAACTAAAAACCCGTATCATGCAACACCTTGAAAAACTAAATTTCGCATAACACCATATTAATGATGCGATACCCAGTATTCAATGGGACAACTGTGTTTGTGTTCGAGGCTCACCACGCTGTCTCGGCAGTCGGACAGTGTTGAACGCCGGCTCCGTGTCACCCGTAGTTTCCTTTCTGCCTTGATGACCCAGCCACTTACGTACGTAGGGGGTAATACACTTCAATAACACATAATAACACATAACCAGTGTCTACCAACACCTCACAAATGTCTAAATACCTGGAAAGCTATGTATCCAGAGCGAGAGTTGTCCGTACGGATTAAATCGCCAAGCGTACGGACGTGCACGGTCCGTACGCTGAGGGGCCCATTCTACTATTGGCTCGCCGAGGGAACGCTAAGAAATGCACTTCGGTCATTGGTCAAAAAGTCCTAAGTGGGGGTACGGATGGCCCTTGCCGTACGTGCGGAGCCGCTCCAGTAGTTTCGCGGAAGGCTTTCAGCGTCTGCAGTCTCTGGTACGCATGTCTTCTGCTTTGGAACTCTGAGTTACATAGACGGTTTTTTTTTTTTTTGGGAAGATTGTCTTTTGTCATTGACTCTCTTGAGCCACAATGAATCAGAACGGCATGACCGTCGTCTTTCAGTCATGAACCTTTGACCTCAATACCATATCGTAGCCTAGTCCAGATCTCAAGTAGCAAATCAATCATAATATTATGACCGGCATCTTGCGGTTATGAGCCTTTAACCTTTTATGACCGTACCGTGGTTTGGTCTAGGTCTCAAGCAGCAAATCAATCATAATAGCATGACCGTTAACCTTCAGTTATATATCTTTATCAACTTAAGACCGTATCGTGGCCCAGCCTAGATATGGCACGGGTTTTAAAGGCCTAAGACCTCGACTTTATCTGTTGTAGCTGCCGTGGCCGTTGCTTTATCGCTTTTGATATCCTCAATAAAGTCTCTACACTTCTCGCTATTTAACTCAATCCTAAATCAATTGTTGAGATCCCATCGGTGCAACCTCTGCGACTACACCGTGTTGCATCTCACGCACTCTTTTCTGCGATGGCTACGCGAGAGTTCACTAACTGCCTTTATATAACGTTTCCACATTTAGAAACCCTGGGTGGCTTCGAGATTTACGTTTGTTAACGGATGGTGAGGTGTGGAGTGTAAGTATTTGAAGATGGGCTCGCGTACGCACAACGTAATGTAGATAATCTCTATGTCTCGGCCGTTCTTCCTTGTTCAACCGAATCCTATCTTAATCTCACACTTGGTCATTGCACCCAACCCCAACTGCGTTCCTGATGGCGTCTTGGAGCCCCCACGTTCTGCAGCAGCAGCTTGACATCATTTCTACCCCTCAGGTCTTCCATGCGGTCGAGTTGAGTGAAATCCTGCGACGCACACGGAATGCCGGATCTTTAAACTTGCCTAGAACTCGGATGAAATGCATTCTTATTGAAGACTTTCTGTTGAGTTGGAAAGATGTCTAGCCCGCTAAGTACGATACCATCCGGGGAACTTTTCTAAGCAGCCGTTCAAACGAAAAGCATCATCCAAGTAATAACTCCTAACCTACCAGCCGTAGGCATTAGGATCAACAGAGAACGCAGGGTGATAGAGATTCCCCGCGGTAGAGCGAAGAAATCCGGAAAATTAATATGGGACTCTGGAGTCAAAGGCATTTTGTTAAGATATGGATAGCAATAAGCTATGACAGCTGTCGTTCAACATCAAGTTGTCCACAGATCTTGAAGAATTAAACAAAGTCCCACTGTCTTTATTGACACGACGCTCGGAGTCTCTATATCTGAGGGGGTCTCGCGGCACGCAATCGGTCACATTAAGGTTATGAATTGTGTACGTTTGCAATCATCAGGGCTTTTCGGATAAAGGCGATAGGTGTTTAGTAAAGTCTCAACTAATAAAGAATTACAGGCTATCTAATTATTCCCTTGTTTAGGCGTGCTTCACTGTGGACATTGCTAAATAGCAAGAGGCTAGAGAAGATGATATCTTGTGACTCATTGCAGTTGAGTCGATATTTTCTGATCACCACCTGATTTAGTATCTCCCCGCACATGAATTAAAACTCCTCCTTTTTGCTAGATAATGTTAAAGCTCCGTTTATGATATCTACGCTGTGGCCGGAATCGCTTATCATTAGATCTAAACTGGATGCTGAGTGAAGCAAATGATGGTGAATAGTCACCTAGTGAGAGAATCTGCTCAGCGGCCCTGTAAGCAAGACTATAGAACTGTTGGTATCTCTTCTGCTGTGAAGCTTCCTGAAGAGGGGAGACTTCCTCCTATAGCTCTGCTGATCCTATTCCTGTCCCGTCCTCCTTTGCCGATGGACTTCAACTGTTCACCTCTATGTCACTATCACCAACGACATCGGCACCTCAACAAGTATGATAACAATTCTTTCTCTCCGTCTTCATTCAGAGGACTGCCGGGACAAAACCATTTTGTTGCACGGATGAGATCTGACATGACGAGATAAAACTGCGTCGCCGTCGTCTTCGCGCATCGGAACCTCCGGTGTTCCGGTCATCTCCTTCACCGGCTAGGCGCTGCGGAGAATGACGCGCAGACCTCGATGAAACACCTCAGAGCCAGGAACGTTCATCTACGGTGGAAGCCTCGCGTCAACATCCAGTCCTATCTCGAGCGGGCGGGCGTGGCCACCACAGCCGCCCTAGCTAGCCATGGTGCCGGGACATTTCGGTAAGTCAACACCCTGTTGCTTCCATGACCATCATGAACAGTTGCAATGATCTTGCAATCATTGCCAAAACGCTCTCGTGGAACACCTACCCATGGACAGAAATAACAAAAACGCGAGACGACAAAAACACAGCCAGACATACTTAAGACATTCAGCTTTGGAACTCTTCTTCCCGGCGGTCTTCCGTATGTTTCCTGGTTGATCTGGCACGGCGACGGCAGCATCTTCCAAGACTGGATCGATGCCGTGGCCTGTCATCCATCACTGTTGTATCGAATTCGATTCGCCCTGGGATGATTCATGGCAGGGTCTTCACGGGGGCTTTCGAAAGTCTAGAATCATGGCGGTCGCTGGTATGTGGGATCTCGTTACAAAATACATGTTTCGATGCATGTTGAAGAGTCATTACGAACTGGTTCAGGGCTTCCTTGTTGAATCTCATACGACGCCCCAGTCTGTGAGTCACAAACACTCTCATGAAGTATGTACTCACAGCTCATTTTCTCGGGGAACCCCTCAGTCAGGCGTCTCATGTCCAACGGCGTATCACAGCGCCATGCAGCATCATATGCCAGGAAGCACCGTCCACAAAATTTCCAGAACCTTCCGATTATCAGGTTAGTAGAGTTGTTGTGGTATGGCTGTTGTGCGGATGTGTGAGAGGAGACATCGGTATTATACCTTCGATTGAAAATGAGACCGGTCTTTGGAACGTATGTGGGGATAAAGTTCTGCCATTCTGGCTTCTTAAAAACAAAATTGCCTGGGAATACAAGCAGTTATGTGATCATGCATATCCAGTCCCGTATTTCACCAGAGATGAAATCGTGGGCGCCTCGGCCTCGGGAACATCATCTGAAAGAACCTCACATCGCTATGAGCATTGGGAACCCCGTCTCATTCGTCTAAAAACGACTGCTAGACCTCGTAATAACTTTGAGCCTGATGTTTCACTGCGTAATTCCAGACGTTGTTGCTGACCCTACTGCTGCCGTTTGACTATTACCTTTCGTTAATGAATATCTCCTCGGCGGTCTCCCGTGTGCTAATGGCTCCATATAAGAGCCAAGAGCATCTAACTCGTATCACCCCATTATGAATGTTAACAACAGCTATATCGTTAGCGTACTTTATACGCGAAGCAAAGCGTTTTCTCCTCATCTCTCCTTAAATACAAAGTGGTTCGTGAAGGCGACGTTTGAGTGAAAAGACG